TATATATATATATATATAGTAGTGCTGCGTTTGTATTGCAATTTCACACTTGCACATCTCTCTCTCTCTCTCTCTCTCTCTCTCTCTCTTTTCATTTCATTTTCTTTTCTTTTTAACCACCAGTACTCGCATTGCACTAGCGCAGCTTATTTTTCGAAGTTATTTTTTTCCTGAACCACCCTGAAAGAACACAAGTAGCAGAATGAATAAAGTATATCAGAGACTATAATTGAGAAAATACATAGAAGTGCATAAAACAACGTTCTATATTTATTCTTCCGTCATATACAATAGAAAGTAAATTAATAATCACAATAAAATGGTGCGCCGGTATTAAGCCTCGCGCAAAAAATTCAAGCGTATGTCTATGATTAAGTAATCGGGAAGAATAATTGACAGACTGTGAAAGATTACGCACAAAAATATTTATTGCTGATAAATCAATATATAAATCAATAATAAATCAATATTGTTTACTTAGTTAATCACTTGTCTTATCGAAGAGAACATATTCCTTGCGTTATCTTTCATATTGGGAAAAATTTAATATTTAAACAAGTGCGTTTGTCAGCCATGCACAAAGCGAGTACACACAGAAAACTTTTTTATGTTAACAAGCAGCTTGCAAGCAACGTACATATGATACTTAATATGTGTATTATATAAGAAAATAAAGATAAAAAAAGAAGGGAATGAAGCAAAAGCGAAAATTACAGAATATATTGAAATTATAATATCTATATTATATTGCACTCATATACACGGATATATGGTTATCACTATTTGTTAGTAATATTCCATGGACAAGTTCCTTTATCGTTATCTATGTTGCAAGCAGTATATTAACACGATGCAAAATGCTTAAATTAAAGACCACATTAAAAATCATGAAAGCGCACATTAATCATAAGCAAAGCGAATATTTATCAATATCCCCTTCAATGTCAGTTTGGTTCATTATGTTAATATCCTTAAAAGGAATAAAATTTAGAAAGTAAAAATAACATGAGCGATATGTAGAAGCAATAAAAATATGTTAAATATTAGTATAGAAAGTAACCGTTGATGTTGTTACAACAACTGATTAATTTAGTCAATATATACACCGTTTCCTTTCGCAGTGTACCCTTTACCCCAGTGTTTGTGCTGATAAGGAATTTTGTCGTATAACTATGTACATTTTTTTTTTAAACATCTGATCCGTCTCTATTTCTAAACACTTATTCCGTTATTTATTTACTGATCGATACAGTGTTACGAGTTTTTGTATTTTTCTGCAAAGAAGCGTAGCCAAAATATACAAACTATTTTTACCTCGTTCTTAATATAACGCACATGTATCAAAATATGCGAATATGTACCAATTTAACAGCCAGTTTCGTAAGTTGTAAATCATAATCGACAAGAATCAAAGATGGGAATAGAAATAATTTTTTTTTCTAGCCGTTGTATGTGCTGAGAATACACAAGATGCAGGACATTCAGTATATAATAGTCACAAAATAAAATATAAAGCCAACAATAGGCACTGTGCAACGTGTTTTTGGAACATATACGAATATAAGTGAAGCCATAGATATCAACTCATAAACAACTAATAATATATTAAATAATTCGCACAATATTTGGATAAATTTATAAATAATTTGACACATATGTATATTTACAAGATTTTGTATGTCACTTATAAATACGGTAAAACAAAATCAAACGTGGGAATTGATTAAAAATTAAGCTTCATCTTACAATTAACCGGACATAATATATCTATTAAGTTTTATATTAGGTAACATTAACGCACCAAAGCTTGTTTAAGATATATGTTCCAAATAATAAACAGACTAACAGTACTATTAATATGGCTCACGTTTACTATGTGACATATGAATTTTATTTCTTGTAATATTAATTACATCATATAGATTGGTTCTGATGTTCTTTTTTCTTGGTCGAATAAAAAAGAATATGTACTTTTGAAATGTATTTTAATTTGACTTATACTACTTCTAGAGAATATTTGTGTGTATAACATTCTCACTTTTCCACTAGCAGTATCTAATATGGATCTAGTTTTTTTTATACTAAAATAATTGTAATTAATAGAGTTAATAACAATGTGAGTTATCGATTTTATTTCAAACTATTGAAAATATTTTCTGTGCCGTATTTTTGTAAAGTAAATAAAATGATATAATATGCAAATATGAAAAAAAAGAAAGAAAAAAAACTGGAAATAATGCATTTATGAATACGAATGTAAAAAAAAGTCTGATGATCGACAACAGAATGACGTGTGTGATGAGGAAACTAATATTCGTAAAAATAACTTATGGTAAGAGACCTGACATGAATGGCTAGCGGTAGTAATCTACTATTAAATCTTTCGAAAGGCTAGGAGGAAACATTTCAGTATCTCATCTTTAGATTTGCATACCTGCGAATCTGCGCCGTTTTGCCATGGTTTTCTTAGTGGACTGTCGAAACAATCAAAACAGTTAAATTGTTATTGATCACAGAGGCAAGCATTTTAACAACAAGGCTATTTTTGTTTCTTATGAATCGTACGACTGTGGAAACCTGTGGTCGTTGAATATTGATAATACAGGTTAATGCACAACTAAACCTCTTAAACCAATTCTTAAACCTTAATTCTTATTTTTATATAAACAAACACTGGGACAAAGACTACTGTTGAAATAAAAACTTTCCAATTCGGCTTATTGATGGATCTATAGGAAAGATACGAATGTGGCCCAAAAATCGATCTCTCAAATATATTAGACTGCCGACTTGAAAGGAAGTCGTTGTCGTTACGTCGTAAATTCCCTCAAATCAAGATTCTTTGTTGCTTTAAACATGAAGAAACCGTAAAAAATATAACGCTTCTCTTTTCCAACAGATAGTACTATAGAAATATAAAAAGTAAAATTCAAATATAACAATATAAAAAATGCTGCAAATGTATAATATGATATATTGTTTCTCGTGATTTTTTTTATATATACATATGTATATAATTTTTTGCGTTTCGAGGGAAATGAGAGTTTACTATCATTTTTCAAGTTCGCAGATGCGTCTGCGAGTCGACTATTGAATACAATCTATTTATTTAAGGACGACGAAAGAATGATAATAATACTTTCTCACAAAAAGTCAATGATTTAATTCTTTGGATACCTGTACAAATCGATACTAATATAATACCAATATTTACATGTAAATATGAATCTCGCGGAAAATATTGTTTCAAATATGATTGTATCAGAAAATGTACCGGGTGAATTACAATGCGTATTACTCTAATATTGTCTATATGCAAAAAATTGAGCTATACAAGTGCAAAGTTTATAAGGTAATCTTTATCTACATCATTTGATTGTTGTACTAAATTACATGCCATTTGAACGTATGGACACCTTTTGCTTTCTTATTGATAGCCACAGTAAAGTAATATGTACGTTGGAATATACAAAATCAATCTACTATAAAGTACTGATTCCAGATACAAGCTACTGAAATAATATTGCTTTTACAGTAGCAAATAAATAATAATACAGGACTCAATATTATCACAAAGAATAGTCATATTGAAAGTAATGAAATACGTATATATATATGTACATATAGATACATATTTTTTTGTTACACATAAAAGTCGCACTTTTAGCAAGGAATACACTTCTTAAAGTTTCACATATATAATACCTTATGTTGATAATCTGTTAACTTTTCTAAATTTCTCTGCCGCGCATTTCTATTTTATACTTTTAATTAATCAGGTGTATCAAATAAAAGAAAAAGTACATAATTATATTATATGATATATTTCACACGTAACATTAATATATATATATATATATATATATGTGTGTGTGTGTGTGTGTGTGTGTGTGTGTGTGTTTATATATATATATATATATATATAAAATACAAAATATAATTTTCTTTCTTTCGAGATCAAGATAAAAAATGTTATAATGTGACAAATGCTAAAATAAAATATGTATATCATTTTCGCATATCGCTGGAGGTCATTGCAAAAGAGATACACCCTTCGTGAAGAGACTAATATTCTTCGTAATATTGAGCCCAACAAATGTGTCTCACATTTCAATAATTAACTGAAGTGCACCTATACAATAATCGAGCCAACAGAATTTGTTCTCTGTCTCAGATCTATAAGTTTACCTTCCTCCTTTTCTTGTTCTTTTTATGTTGCTGACCAATCAATGGCTTCCGACTAGCCTCTGTGTTGTGATCTGGCATATGACAAGATTTAGAGGAGTATTTTGTAGTAAGGGGGCTGTTCTCAATTTCTTGTTCAGACTGAACCAAATTGACAGGCTTGGTTATGGAATTGTTTGCAAACTCTGTGTTCTTGAAGTATTCTCTGTATTCTAATGCAGTTATCAGAGTTCGAGACGCTAGAGGAGGCTGCATTCCAGATACATTATTATCTAACTGTTGACAAGTCGTCGCATGTGAAAACGGCAATTTATCAAATAAATAACGGACATTGATGCAAATTTGTAAAATTGCCGTTCTGATAATTCACTACAAAAGTTCGTGATTGGAACACAATGATTGTGCGGTAAATGTGTAAATTTTTAATTATTCTCCAAGTACAAGAGGAAAATCGTAAAACACAATCTTACTATCTCAAGGAAGCGATTATCCAATCACGATTTCATAGATAAAAGACTTTTTTTTACCTGTACCAATGTGTATACATATACAAGTAACAATAGCATTAGTTTTTTTCTTCTCTGCTGCGATATATAGATGATGTTATAAATAATCAATAGTTCAATATTTATCCATTATCAATAATTACTGTGGTATATAAACTGTGATACAATTTATATATGTCCAGTTTTATATCGGAAGATTTTATCGATTACTTGCAACAACATCTATACATACGCAGTTGATTGCTCAGTTATCACTCACACAAAAGAACAACAAATCACAATCGTATGACTGTTCGTTAGTAATTATCGCGATTTCTCGTGATTAGTGAGAGTATCATATCAGTGTCTTGCAGCATTGTATGATATCTCATGCTTTTTTTAATACAGGACAGAACTCTGTTATTATGAATATAGCAGAAGCTGTATAGTATTTCCAGTAAAAGAGAAGGCACTGTATAAGTACGAATCAAATCAACCTTTACACTAATAGATACTAACCTCGGATTGCAGAGAATCTGATGTGGGTGGCCCGTTCAGCATAGATTGTTCTGAGCTGCTGCAACCACCGCAGATCTCACTCTGCAATTAACAAAGCAATATCTTCTATATTTCTTTGTACAATCGCGTGCGTGCGTGCGTATCATCGTAAGTGAGAGAAACACCGAACGACGAACAAAAAAAAGCAAGTACCTTGAGTTGGATCACTTCCTCCTGAAGTTGCGTGACAAGACTCTTCTCTTGCGCTAAACTCGTTTCACTGGTTTCAACGAGGGAGCGCAATTTTGTCACTTCAGCATCCAACGTTGCCCTTTTGTTGCATTCTGTTTGCAATTCCTGCGACAAACGTGTCTTCTCCTAAAATAACAGCGAGGAAAGATGAGATTAAAAAAAAAAAAAAAGAAAAAAAAAGTGATAGTTATAAAATTATTTTGAGATGTCTAAATATCTGTATTTTATATCACACACGCACATTTCAGTGCACAAATTGCGCAACTAATATATAGAACGAAATTTAAGTATCACGTAATAAAGGTCCTTTACCTCTTGCAGTTTTTCTAGAGTAGCGAGCTGATGACTTTCCGCTTCCTCCCTAGAAACAGTTTTTTGCGTGGATCTGAGCGCTAATAATTCAGCGTTGGTCTGTTCCGTAAGAGATTCGGCATTGACTAATCTGGCTTCTAACTCAATTGTCTTTTGCTGAAGCTAGAAGTAAAACCGGAAGTGGTAAAAAGAAAAAAAAAATACTCTTATATCGAAGAGCCATTCTAAGATTATCGCGACTTTACCTTTTCGTTTGCTTCGTTGAATATCGTCGTTCGCTCGTTTACTTTGCTTTGAATATCCTTAAGTTCTGTTCTAAGGTTGGCCACTTCGTTCTCCTTTTGCCGAAGTTGAACCTGCCATCTCGTTTCCTCGGATTCCACATGACTTTGTAGCTTATTAAGCATACTTTCCTGCAAGTGGCAATTTAAATTAATTACTCATTCATTGTTTATAATGGAGCTGGGAGAAAATATCCGATAGAGGACTCACCGTTTCGTCAATAACCTGCTTGTAATGTGAAATCATCCCTTGCAGATTCTTATTTTGTTTTTCTAAATCTGGATTCTCCAGTGTTGTGCTTTTCTGCTTTGACTCATTTAGAACGGTGCACACTTTATGTTCAAAAACTTTGAGCCATTGTTCATGAGTCTTCTCCGATACTTTAATTTCCGGGAATATCCTCTGCAGAAGAGCCTTGGTTATTTCCTCCTGTTCCACTTTGATTTTCTGCATAATTTCCTAGGTAAATAAGAGCAGACGAAATATTTTAGAAATACATTGTTTTAGACGTATCAAACTATTTATTTTTAAAGAGTAAATTTGTTGCGAAGAATTGCCGCCATGGTTGTCGTCCACTTAGTTAAGGAGATATCAATAAAATTTAATTTAATAGATCTGTAAACAATAAAATAAGGCACAAGATATTTATTTAAGATAAACTTTTAACAGAACAGATTAAAGAAAAAAATAACAATGTAATCCTGATTAAGCATCATGTACATTACATATCAACTAGTAATATTTTTTTTGTAAGTTCTTAATATTTTTTGTAGTAACACTAATTCCAATAGTGAAAAACGAAGACTTACTTCGCTACTCTTTCCACCACTAGATTTGGCACGCAACTCAGCAGCAGAAAGAGCTTCCATCACTTTCCAGTTCTTTGTGCGTAATTCCTGTTGCGCAGAGTAGAGATAGAAATAATAATAAAATGTTCTTTTCTTGTTTTTGTAACAAAGTGTAATATACGTGGAACAGCGTGACAATGAACGAGAACACACAGATTTTTGTACGAAAGGAGAAATTGGTAAAGTGATGGAAGCAACAAGAACCGACGCGAGAATGGCAAGTGACTTCAGACACAACGAACGAAATGTGACAGAGACAAAATATATCCAACAGAAACGTCAAATTAAATTGTTCACACAAACAGAAGGCTTACATTATTCTTAGATTTTTGGATCTCCAAATCATCCCGTAGTTGCCTAGTAACATTATCACGTTCAATTATATCACTTTTTAACATATCTATCTGTTTATTTAACCTAATAAGCTCTTCCTTCTGTGCTAAATGCGTCTTTAATTCATCTAGTAGAACTTTCTCGTCGGTGGATCTGTACAGAAGAAATTTTTCATAGAAATTGATTAAGTCAGCTTCACAAAGTATAAAAGTCTTACAGTAATTTGTAAAATACTGCATGTTTCGATAGACAATAAATAAAGGTCGATAACGTATCATCACGTATACATTACCAAGAATTCAGATTTACGGTAAATTAAACATTTTTGCGTACGGATGCAAAACTGCGTGATCCGAAGACAGAAGAGTATTTTTTTGACTTTCGTCTTCCACATTCTCACGTCCCTCCGCTGCCGGACGCTCGAGTTTGGTTACAGTTAACATATTCGCAGACATATCTTTAGCACGTTGTTGTTGTTCCTTCTGCTGTTCCATGACATTCGTAAGCTGCGTACATTTTAAAAAAAGTACAATATATAACAGTCAGAAAAATCTATACACTTTTTGTCCTTAACATTTTGTATACACCAGTGTGTGTATATATATATATTAAGATATTCTTATGTACGAAATAGTTTCACAGCGCAATATAAATTATTTGTAAGCTAAAAATACCTCAGCACGCAGTCTGTCGTTTTCCTCTTGAAATTTCGTAATTTGCAATTGGGCCTCTCCCGCTTCTTTCTCCCGCAGTCTACTGCTGTAGTCCCGTAGTCTATTGTTCTCAGCCTGTAAAGCTTCCAATGCGCTCGCAGCCTCGTTAATCTCCTTAATCTTAGCATGAGAATTGGCCAAATCCGTTTGTACATTAGTCAGTACATCTTGCGTTTTCTGCGCCTCGTTTTTATACTTGTTCGCATCGTTTATCGCTTCCTTCAAATCACGATTCGCCTTCTCGCACTCAATCCTTATCGTGTCCAACTCTTTCCGGGCAGAATTCAATTTAGATTCCATGTGCGTGACTTGTGCGTTCGATTGCTGCAGGTCATTCTGCACGGCGCTTAGCTCGCCTTGGGATTTCTTCAGTTCGTCCTCTTTGTTGCCCAATGCGGTTTTCAAGGCTGTGACTTCGGCCGCTTCCGACTTCGCTTCGTTCATCGTGGCTGACAGTTCCGTCTTCAGTTTGATCAATTCGGACTGGACCTTGCTAAGTTCGGCTTTTAAAGTAGGAGTCTCGCTCGCTTCGTTCTTCGCGAGACCCAACTCGGCCTGCAACGAGTTCACTTGTTTCTGCAGCTCCTGCTCGTGACGTTGCACACTCTTCAATCTGTGGTCCAAGTCCGCCTGCGCGCGACGGGACTCCTGAAAATTGCAACGGAAGAGATTTAACGTTGATAAACAACAGACGCCCTTCAACGAACATCCGGAATTGTGTCTCTTACATCGAGCTGTCTAGCGACATCCTGCAGCGTACCGGTTGTCTCCTTGTAGTGCTGCAACTGCCCTTCCGAGTGCATCAATTGACCTTGCATCAATCCCAATTGCTGACGCAACATCTCCATCTCTGCGCTGCTACTCTCGCAGGTAGCTTGGAGCTCATTTTGCAATTCCTGCACCTCCACGTTCCTCTGTGCGAGCTGCGACTTCAACGTGTTCTCGGTATCGCGCATCTGAGCAAACTGTACCTCCATCTGTTTCCGTTGGGTAATCAACTCCTGTTGCAGATGGCCCTGAGTCTGTCCTTGATCCTCCTGCATCTTGTGGATGATAGCGGTGTCCTCGTTCACCTTAGCCTGCAATTGTTCGATCTGTCTGGCGAAACCCTGCTTCTCGGCGGCGTGACTCTCCAGAATATGTTGCATTCGTGTGTGTGAAGTTTGGGCTTCTGTCATTTTAGCGCTCAATGTCTCCTCAAGCTGTCTGATGTTCGCCGAGAGCCTGGATCGCTCTCCATTTAGTTCAGCCCGCAATTCCTTTAATTTATTTTGGCAAGCCATGCTGATTTCGTGCTCATCGGTTAATGCCTTTTCCTTCTCCGCTAATTGTTTTTTCAGCTTAATGACGGGATCAGCGCGGCCTTCCGTCCATTCAGAATGCTCCAGTGGGTTGTCCATTTGCTTATTTAAGAGATGGTCAATGAGAATCTGTATCTCAGATCTGCTAAGTTCTGCCTTCTGGATAAACAGCATCAAAAGTTGAACGTTGACAGCATCTCCTTCTAAAAAGAAAAAAATTATATTAATATTAAATGTTGAAGTCAGATATTTTTCAAATTCATATATACAAATTATTATTAAAAAATACTGTATATTGTAATAAAGTAAAAATAAATAAGTTTTAAAAACTGATCAAAATATACATTAACGGAAATGTAATATTTTGTTACATATAGAAAAAATAAAACAATATAATTTCATGAATTTATATCCGTAAACTAAGATAAAATGTAATATATTGTTTATCAATTATTTCAATTATTTTCCGGAAATGCACCACATAAGTGTTAAGTTGTGATCACACGGCAAGGCCCCAGGTATCAAGAGTACGGACATTGACCTCTTGTATGTGGAAGGGGAAGTGATCCTACCTCAACCACATTCCAAAGTGCTTGGAAAGAATCTACCTGGCTTTGCTTTGAGCGGATTATTCACATAGCTTAAGCGAGCTTTATCCGACGCTCTAATTTATTATATTATAACAAAATACTTTATATTAAATAAAATTGAAAAAATTTTTTTTTACAATGACAATCGCAATTTTACCTTCCTTTGTACTATTAATTTAAACATATACTAACATATTGAATATTCGTAACACATTTAGAAATATATGAATATGAATGCGAATATCATCATCAAATATCTTAATCTGAATTCTGCGAAAATAATAAATTACAAGTTACAGAAAAGGTCACATTTCCAATCAATTAAATTGCAAGCTATAGTGTGTGACATATAGGTTAGATATTGATTTGCGTTCTATGAAAAACAGACGAGATTAAGATCATCTTCAATATGCTAAGCATGCTTGTCATTTACTGTCAAAGCATATCTCGTTAGTAGATAATTACAAAGTTGTATAACTGGACAAAATTATGTGCATAGTTATAAATCAAAAGAACAGTAGAAACATAGAAACGACAAGAGAAACGTTTCTTACCGATCTGAGCTAAAATATCATTCTTCTTCTTCGTCTTCTTGGGCTCCTTGTTTGCGGACTGCACAATTGATGCAGTTTCTTTAACAGCTTCTTTTATCTCCTTAACTGGTGTTTCTTTCTGCTGTTCCTTTATCTCCTTCGCTGCTTCCTTATTATTAGTAACGATAGATGCATTAGTTTGAACGTTAGTCTCTTGCTTCTCATCTTTAGCGTTTTCATCTTTCTTCTTTACGACATCCTTGTTGTTCTTCTTCGATCTAGTTGGAGTATCTTTTGGCGACTTGTTCGCCGCCGTTTCCGACTGAGTAAGCTGCTGAAGATTCTCTTTCTGTTATGTAACGGACATGTGTATTATAATGCATATTATACAAATTATAATACGTTATCTTTAGATTTCATGTAGCTAAATAATAAATTTTAGAAAAAAAAAACACAGCATATTTTAATATTCACAATATTGCATCAGTGACTGTATAAAGACACATCACCACCCAAAGTTTTGTTCTGTTTCATGAACCAACATGATTATTGTTAGTCGTAAAAATGCTAAATGTCGATCAATTAGTATATATACATGTACATATTGCCATGCATTAATTATTCTGTCAACTAACAAATATAAAAAAAAGTTAATAATAAGAATAAATAGTTGATGAAATGTAAGGATAGCAGTTTAAGACATATTAATCGTCATAGCTTGAACTTAGTTAGTTTGTATTTTTTAAGTACATCACCCTTATACTCATAAAATTGCAAAACAAAACATGAAAAGAGCAGGAAATACACGAGATATTCTGCAGATAGCAATCACTCACACTGTGACTCCGTACGAGTTCAAGGTCATCTTTTGGATGAATGATGTCAAAATGGTTAGCCTCTGCCGAGGGAGATTGTGAAGAACTTAATTCAGTCACAATAGCCAATGGCTCGTCTTTATTTACGAGGATTGGTTTGATCTTTTCAAGCTTTCCTTTCTTTTTATTGCCTTTGTTACTCTCCTAAGAGTTTAATGCAGATGTACAATGTTTTCTATTGCTTATTTAAGCACTATCATGAAATATATTAAGCAACATGTTTAAAATTTTGCATTGTATCATACAACAATGGACATATACATAATTTAATATGGATCAATATATTTATTATTTAATGGATTCAATTATTGTATTTTATTCTATACAATTTAGTGTAATTTACATGTATATTTATTTTAAGTTACCTTAATATATATTTAGACGCGAAAATTACTGATACTGATAATTAATCAACAAATGAATTTATCAATTTGGTTTTCACCTTATCATTATGTTTATTTTGTTCTTTTGTTGAGCAGATAAACCTGGAATTTATGATTTTATATCATTTGATGTTTTTTTTTTGCAACATTTTCACCTTAAACAGATTCAAGCAATTTGTACGTCAGAAAGATTTCAAAATTTTTATTTATAATAATTAAACTTGATTAAGTGTTTATAACAAGTGCTTCATTTTGTCATAGTATTGAGGAAATCTATGTTTTGCTCTCTTATAATCTATGTGATAAGATGGTTGCGAGAGTAAAGCAGTCTCATCAGAATGCTGTATGAAGCAGTTATTTTTAGCGAATAATCTTGTGGACTTCCAAAGATATATTTATCAATGGTACACGTATGCAAGGAATAATCCATTGACAGTTTGAGAATCCAATTAAAATGTACAATTGGCTCTTCTTAAACGACTATTATTATATATATGAAATTATAGTATTACTAGTTATATATCATTCGAAAAAATTGGAACAATACTTCAATAAGATATATAATTAATATATGTTTAATATACTATTATGTTCACAATGAATTACTTTTCTTTTATATGTACTTTTATAGAAATTATCTTTTGCGTATGTACATATTTGGATGTAACAACCTCGAGTCAAATTAAGTATCTTTAGATAACACACCAAGCCATAATTTATATATGTGTGTGTGTGTGTGTGTGTGTGTGTGTGTGTGTGTGTGTGTGTGCCACATTAAATTATTGAATTGTTGATAAGTAGTAAACTATTGCTTTCTTAATTGAAATATTATTAATTTTCCAAATCGAAATGGAATAATACAATGCATTAAAAAATACATACATATAAAACAGAAAAGTTGAAGATCGTGATCAGAAATGGCGAACAATTGAAAGTGATAGTCAAGGAAACAACGGCGCATCAATACGTAAAATATCGGAATCTATATTAAAATTTTTTGTTTTGGGAACGTATAAAGACCCTATAAAAGAAATATGAAACTTGCTACTGGTATGGAAATACACTTTCTTACAAGGATTTTTTTACTGTAAGTTGTTTAATGCCCATTGTTATATGACACGTGTTGTATAAAAAAATTTATAATTAATGAGTACGGGAATCAATTTCAGCATCCTTACATGCAGTATATCTATGATAATATAATGAAAACGTTTCATTGCATAAATTTGTAAGAAAGTCACAGATAAATGTAAAGGTTGAGAACTATCAAGTGATAATAGCTATTTTTATACAAACATGCTTGGCAGATTGCATGACATGAGAAGAAAAACATGATGCTCTCTGCGCATAAGTCTCTTTCAATGCTATGCAATGATATACCATATTATGTGTCATCTAGGTTACTATATTTCATGCATGAAGAAAAATGCTCAGATCTTACTCATTTCCAAGTTAGCTTTATATACAGCTACTATTTTTATGCGAATAACCAAAATTCTTATATATCTGTATCATCAGTAGACAAATTATATACATTGGGTTAAAAGTTATTTGCATACCTCATCCTTTTGAAGATAAAAGAGAAGTTTCAATGTGTTTTTATTCAGCATATTAATATAACAGAAATATTCTAGTAAAAATATTGAAAACATATTTTTGTGCAAGTTTATCCCAAGAAATGAGATATACAAACTTTTTTATCCACTGTAAATTAAAATAAAAGTACATATGTATATTTACGTTAAATTTAAAGTTGTACTGATGATCTTTCTTTTTATACTTTAAATGAATACACAGTCCACAATATATTTTTGTTAGATTTTATGAATTGAGATTCATATTTTAAGTATTTTTTTAATGAATAAAAAATAAATTGATGAGACAAATTTACCTGCACTGGTGGTTCTGGAGGCAATATTTGGGGCGTTTCTTCAAACTGAACATGCTCAGCCTTTTCATCTTTATCATCCTTCTCATCTTTCTCTTCTTTCTTCTCTTTTACTTTCTTTCCAGCTTTATTCTTATGCTTCTTCTCTTTATTTTTATCTTTCTTGTCTATAAATAAGAAATACTTGTTAAATAGACAAATAATATGTACAGATTATTTTCAATATTAATTTATATTTTACTTATACCTCTACTGAAATTAATATTTTCTAATTTACTGTTAAAATATCTCTTATTTACATATATATTAACGTAGGAAATTTAGAATTTGATTTCTCACAAGGTTACATGCAAAATAATTCACATACTTGACAACAGGTCATCGGGAAGTTTTCTCTGCTCGGCAATGGCTTCTTCGTAAGATTTTTCTTTTGTTCCGAACGTCGAAATACATAAGATAAACAAAGCGGAAATAACAACCACAGCAACACACAAAAACGCTGTTTGCACATCCATGTTTGACTGCTTTATCTGCAAGACAATTAAAAATCAACATATTAAGGTAAAAAGTCGAGGAGTTTCTTGCATTGATTTATAATTTACAACACATGTATCAAAGGAGAATTTTGTTCTCCGCTCTCACAGAATGGATGCCTCTTTGCATTAGCACGGGTTAATTTGGAAATTTTCCGAACTTCAGAATCACATCATTATCCGAGAGATCAAATGTGAGCGCATTGCTCATTTGTCACGAGGAGAAAAGAAGCTCGAAGTAATTATTGCGCAAAACACGCGCGAGGGCTCGGCTCTGTTCGGGTCCCGCGAAATCGCCACTGAGGGGGGAACTCTCGAAATTCGACGACGAATCTGCGCACGAGATACGATCTCGGTGGCGACGCGTTGCGACACCTTGTATACGTGTACAAGCGCTGAGCGCGACAGAGAGGAGCGAGCGAGCGAGCAAGGAAGAGAGGAGATGCATCAACGACGAGGAATCGCGGCCGATCGTCGTGCAAGATATCGAGGAAGAAAGAGAAAGAGAGAGCCCGTGAAATCGGACGATGACATATGGATGACAGTGCAGGTCAACGACACGACGTATCGCGATTCGACCGGCGACGAAGTCCAATCGGCAGAAATCGCCGGCTGCCGCGACACGGTTTAACGGTAAAACACGCCCGGTTAAACGCGACGACCGGCACGCCGTTCTTCCTCTTTTTTTTCCTCCCCGAGCAGTTTTGCCCGCGCGACGTCACTCACCGAAAATGTTCGTCACCGTCGTCGTGGATTCCGTCGAGGAAATGCGGCGATCGTAGACGTAACGCGAGGTAGATGCGCGCAATTTTCAACGCGGTTCGTTACGCTGTGACTCGCCTGGACGTTCGCGCACGGGGATCTACCACGGGGAGATAGACGAGAACGGGACTTCTAAACGCGCGCACACACGCGACGATCTCGCGAAGCACTATGGCCGCCGGACATGGAGCGAGCTATACCAAAGGCTCCAAGCCACGCCTATCGGGCAAGCGGGCGCTTCTCATTGGCGGGCAGCCACTGCCACGTATGCAAGACGGTCGCGACGACGACGATCGTGTGCCACCCGGCTTCTCGCCGAGGTCGTGTACCACGCGAACGGCGCCGAGCGCACGCGACGAACCGGTGAACGACCGCCGACAATCGCCTAATTTATTACCTCCGAGCAACGTCGAAACTGTTGTATTTTGTTTGCGCGCGGTACTTACGTGCTCCCCGAACAGTCGACAACACGCATTTGTCTCTGCTCGTTCGCACACTTGGCTAAGTCAAGAAGACAAGACACCGTCGACGATCAACCTCGCTGCTGTCCCCTTGTCACTGATTGGTTGCTTCACGTCGTTAACCAGACGAGTCTGCAGATGGGGCTGTCTTATAACGAATTCACGGTTGTTTGCACTGAGTGCGTACTAAGGCCTGTTCATAGTCTGTTGTTATATTTCAAGATTACCTTAAATACATTTTCAAACAATTTGACACGTATAGCATCCGTACGCATCATTTCATTAGCTAAGAAGTTTTAAAATATATATTTAAGGCATGATCTTAAATGTAAGAGTGTACTGTAAGCTACCGAGTTCGCTGTTGCAGCTGCAAAGCAACGAAGCTGTGTTCAGCGGAAAAAGCAATTTCGCAACTGTTGTGAAATTCGTGAATCTGGTGTATATTCTTTAACATTTTAAACGGGGTTTACAATGAAAATTAAAGCTCGAAGAAATCGACCAATTATAGTCGAATGCGAGAATAATCGATTGTGATTGGTCAATTTCTTAAGGTTTATTGTAGACTTAGACTTAAGTTCATCTGCAGATGTTTCGTAGCCAATGAAATGAGCCGTACAGTATCTGAGGATAAACTTAAGCCAGTCTTAAATGTAAGATCTGACTATCAATACCGGCCATATTTTTCTAGTTATATTTCTTTACGCGATGAATGATGTTGGGGCAATACTTATGGTTACCTGGAAGCAATATTTTGAGAGATCGCTGCCTTCTCCTTCACTTCTCACCTCCGCCGGTCCGTTTCGTATACATCGAATTCCTTGTGCTCGCGTCGATAATGCAGCGCTCGCGTTGCGTCCAGTGTCATTGGTGGTGGAATATTCCTCAGTGCGCAGCTCAGTGACAGTTCTCCGTTTTACGTTTGAATCCCTGAAAAACGTCTCGTCGGGCGCTGTCATCGGCCGTCACCTCCGTTGACGGATTCAAGATGGCCGCGGGACACCACAGCGGAGGACATTTCAGCGATCTCGACGGGAAGGCGTGATTTCTTCTTCTTTTTTTTTTGTCCACAACGTCGCAACAATACGCGCAACACGTCCGTGAGCTTCGGTGTCGAGGTCACCCCCCCTGCGATTCCGTAGCCCCGTGACGGCGCTGCGCGAGAAGAACCGCGAAAAAATGGCGTCCGGTGACATTAGCTGATTCCCGCGAAGGCCTCCGATGTCAGGTCGGTGAGGAGGATGATCTCTCAAATTTCCCGGCGTTCTCGCCCCTGACCCTGAAGTAAATCCACTGGTGGCGGTGAGTGTATCCGATTTTCATGTTCGACTCGCGTGACTTCCGACGAAACGACTTCCGTCGGCCGAGGTTGACAATTTGCACACCTGTGTGTGATCGCGCTCGTACGAGGTGAGGAAATTCGCGGAAACATCGGATCCGACGACACGACGCCTGATCGTGTTTCGCTCTGGTTATCGAGTAGTTTCGGTAAGGACGAGCGACCGAGTTATATGTCACTCGAGAAGCTTTCAGATTATATAAATTTCCCGTGCTCATCGTTGCATTTAGAGTCTCATCGGCGGCGAAGTAAGGCGAGAAGTATGTAACAGCGCAAAAGACACACGAGAGTCCTTGTGGACAGCATATTAAGTAACATTGCGCATGATATTAGCAGCTGGCTCATTGTAGTTGCAGTAGAATAGCGATACATACGTCAATAGATGATGGTGCATAATGTTTACAAATGACGGTCAATTATTGCCTGAGGAAGATAGCGCATATACAAGGACTAAACTGTATTGATTATTACATGACGATATTTTTGTAACATACAAGGGAGTAATATCACAGCTAATCAGTATGTTCTACTGAATTATATAAGTTATCTTGCTTGAAAATTCCTCAGTGATTTATGTCTCTGCGACACACCTTGTAACACTGTTACTTCTGATTTCAGGCCCGCTAGATCATCGATATGACTCCGCCGTTGGGTCGGAAACGCGGCTCGTCTGTCAGCTTTACAAGAACAAAGGACGATGGCGACGACGCCGAAGACGAGATTCACATATCCTTGGCACCGTATATACAGACGTACTTGGCACACAGTGGCCAAGGATTGGGATGCTGCGGTATTAATCTACCCGTGCCGTTCGAACGGGCAGCGCCACGGTCCTGGTGGAATCCGAGATTCGATTCGGAGATCCTCGAAGAGCAGTACAGAAGAAGTGCCTTTCCTCAAATTAGATTAAGATTTCGGTTCGTATCGAACAGGAAAGTTGCAACACTTTTTCGGACAAATTTCGTGTAATGTATCCAATAGGAAAGTTATTATCAGGAGATATGTCTTTTCATTGGATTCATAAAAAAAAAAAGTTTCAACCCATTCTGTCTGTACCACATGTGTCATAAGACCAATCGTAATCAGAGAGGGAGAGAAAGATTTCTAATTGGTCGTTACTTCACGCAGGTACGCTCTCACATACATCTTGCTGGTGTCCCTATCGTGGTTGGCGTATTTTGTGATAATCGGAATAGAGAACGATACATCGACCTGGCCTGCGATAGCAGCCGTTCTCAGTGTCGTCGGCGCGATGGTGGCGGCGGTGCTCTATCTAACATACACGGATCACTACAATTCCTACGTACTACCGACCTCTCTGGGAGTCGCGTCCACGCTCTGTTTCCTGTCCCTACTCTTCCTCGCCATGGTGCCGCCTTACGTGGACGGATTAACTCTGGTCGGACACTTCGCCCTGTGCTCTGAGATCCTATTAGTTATTTACACGGTGCTGCCGATGCCGCTCTATGTATGCGTGGCGATATCTACGGTTTACTCATTCATGTTCGAGTTACTGACTGCCTATCTGTACGGCTCGAGGGGAAACGGCGGCGGGCGAAATAATTCCTTGGAGGGGGACATGCGGTCGTCTGAAAAGGATCCTCTAACTATTGCTGGTCTACAGAATGTGATACGTAATATTAGTGATTTTACTACAGTTAACACGGAGACAATATCGACGTTGCGCGAAGCGAGAAGCACGGGAGCGAGATTCTTGGAACGAGAGCTGACACTGATTCGACGGTTGTACGACTCCAGCGTACCGTCGACGATCGTCAATTCCACCGTGAACGTTATTACCGTCGATAACTTACTCTCCGATGATATTGATTTCTCGACGAATCTCACGATACGGATTCTGATGCAGATCTGCATTCACTTGATAGGCGTGCACATCTTGATAATGACCTTCGTGAGAATGCGCGGCACCTTCATGAAGGTCGGCCAGTCCTTGCTGGTCCGCCGGCAGCTGGAGATGGAGAAGCAGCTGAAGGAGAAGATGATACACTCCGTGATGCCGCCGAAAGTCGCGGACTGGCTGATGGAGGAGAGCGAGCGCGAGAGGGAGCGGGAGGACTCGCTGAAGAAGGGCTCGATACCGTCCAACAACACGGACATCCGCTCGTTGTTTCGTCCGTTCAACATGCACTCGATGGAGGACGTCAGCATCCTGTTCGCCGATATCGTCGGTTTCACCAGGATGAGCTCGAACAAGACCGCGGAGGAATTGGTGGGCATCCTGAACGATCTCTTCGAACGCTTCGACGATCTCTGCGAGCACCACGGCTGCGAGAAGATATCCACGCTGGGCGATTGTTACTACTGCGTGAGTGGGTGTCCCGAGCCTAGGTCCGATCACGCCAAGTGCTGCGTAGAAATGGGCTTAGGTACGTCCTATTATTATCTGTGCCGAAATCGCAGTAGTACGAGTCAATGAAATGGTAAGTCGGAAGGAAGACTTACTACCGAGGATTTCCAGATGATGAGCATCAACCGAGTGACGCGTCGAAAAGAAACGCCTCCCTCGGTTGATACCGTTGATCTAGGACGTCTTCAGAAGGAAGCCGTTTTTCCTTATACAGAGTCCGACCTACCGTTTTTATTAATTCGGGTAATTGGAAACTAATGCCGCACACTCTTCGATTGAACAGCCATGATCGAGGCGATCAAACAATTCGACATCGAGAGAAGGGAGGGCGTGAACATGAGAGTGGGCGTGCACACGGGCACCGTGCTCTGCGGGATCGTGGGTACGAAGAGATTCAAATTCGACGTATGGTCGAACGACGTAACGTTGGCGAACAAGCTCGAGAGCACGGGGAAACCCGGCCGTGTGCATCTGAGCGAAAATACCCTGAGATTCCTGGACGACCAGTATATCATGGAGGAGGGCGAACTAGTCAATGGTGAGTAAAGAGAGGGGAGAAGTCTGGAAAGAGGACCGAACGTTTAATAACTTCTGCTTAAATTAGATCATTCCTCAGTCTCAGCTTAGGAAAGAGTTGCAAAATATACGTTCTGCTGAACACGCTCATTGTTTAACAGCCTGCCTGAATTGACAAAACAACGCGCGTTTATTGTGTGTTTCAGGCGTTAAAACTTACTTCATCAGAGGCCGCAAGTCGGACTTCATGAGTCAATTTATCACGAACGTTACGTCACCCAAGAGTATCTCACCGTTGCTGCAGTCGCGCAGCCGTCTGGCGTCGTGCAATACTCAAGTTAAGCCGCGCCATCATTACCTCCACATGGTCACCAACGCGAGTAGCTACAGGATGAAAGCGAATTCCTTGCCGAGCATCTTGGATTCCGAAAACGACACCGTCGACGAGAAGGAGGACTCGAACAAGAGCCCGACATCCACCGCCAGTTACGGCAAGAAGAAGGCGCGGAACAAACCGTGGAAGTATCTGCAGAGGCAACGGACGACCGAGGAGATGGCACCGCTGGAGATCGAAGAGGGCAGGAACATCGCGATGGGACGAGCGAAGCCTGATATTCAGCCAGCGTACGAGGAGTGCAATGGATTCAGACGGGTACTTTTCCCCTCCTAAGAAAGCGCGCGAGATTCTGTTCTTTTCAGCTGAAATGGCTGTAAGACATTGTACGTACGCAGCCAGTTCAGGAACAGACATCATGCAAAGTTTTATTCTAGTTACTCTCACGATTGACTTTCGCCCGCAGATCCCTCTCACCAACGGCGTCGAGATGGATCCGAATCCTGTACCTTCTAGTCCTTTATTGTCTGGTCAAGAGCCGATTAGTCACGCTTCTTCCATATGCAGCAGGAAAGACTCCGGTATCAAGAGCAACAGCAGGCGAAGTAGCATACAACAGCAGGTATCGTAAATCAATATATTCAGTTCAGCGACGAACCCATGAAAAGTAGACATTTTCTAATTTGAACATTTTCCGCCCTAGGGGAGATAAGCGCACTTACTCATCCATGTGACACGTACAACTCTGTTGCAGTTGTTCCTAATGAACGGCATGGCCCAGGGCGATCTGTTGGGGCACCGGGTCAGCGGCTATTACACTTCCAGTTCGACGTTAAATTCCACCCACGAGCCTTCGTCGTCGGTACCGCCGTATCCGTTTCCACCGATGGTAACGGACACGTTCGGCGCGTGCTTTCACAAACTGCGGAAGCAGTCCGACCTTCAATTGATCAGGTAAACGAAACGAACGCGGCGAAATGTGAATACCGTTAAACTCCGATTTTCCCGATTTGCCCAAAAGGTGCGTCCAAGACAACGTGAGCTCTCAACGTTCGTACTTCGTCAAGCCGCCGCTCTCCAGCGTCACTCTCTTCTTCAAGAATAAGGAAATGGAGAAGGAGTACCGGGAGAACGCGCACAAGGCTAGCGAAGGCATCGGCGGTAATCCGCCCACGCTGGCCACCTCGAGGTTTAACACGTACTTCGATATCCTGATATCCGCCCTGGTCTACACGGCCATCACGATCTCGCTTTTCCTGCTGTGCAAGCCAACGATTCACTACACGGTGTTCTCGGCGGTCGCCACCGCCGTACAGATAATAGCGGTGTCGCTCTGCATCAGGCAACTTCTCTATCCGAACACCGCACACGCGACGTTCACGCAGAGGATATTCAAGCTCTTCTCCCGTTGGTACCCGTGGCACGTGTGCGGCGCTGTTCTCGTCGGTCTGCCGATCATCTCTATCTTGCTCAACTTCACGTGCAACAGCTTTAAGAGTCTCAGCAACTTCGAGTACTACTACAGCTACCTCATCTTCGTCGGTTTGGTGCACTTCTGCAACTTCACGCAGCTCAACTGCTGGATGAAGAATCTATTGGTCACGCTCACCGGCGTCTTGTTCATATGTCTCGTGATGAGCCACATATCTTACCACCGTGACTTCCTCGACGCGTCGGCGAAAACGCGTCGGACGTCCTCGGGTGAAGCTTACGCTATCCGATACAACGAGAGATTGTACAACTCCGAGATCTATCTGGACATGGTGTTGCTGCTGCTGCTGGTCTGGTTCCTGAATCGCGAGTTCGAGATCAGCTACCGGCTGTGCTTCCACGGCAATGCGGTAGCGGCGCGCGACAAGACGCGCGTGCAGTCGATGAAGAATCAGGCGGACTGGCTGCTGCACAACATCATACCCAAGTACGTGGCCGACCAGCTTAAGACCACCGCCAAGTACTCGCAGAATCACAAGTCCGTGGGCATTATCTTCGCCAGCATCGTCAACTTCAACGAGCTCTACGACGAGTCGTATCTCGGCGGCAAGGAGTACCTGCGCGTGCTCAACGAGCTGATAGGCGACTTCGACGAGCTGCTGGAGAAGCCGGAGTTCGCGAACGTCGAGAAGATCAAGACGATCGGCAGCACCTTCATGGCGGCCGGCGGCTTGAATCCGCAGGTGAGGGAGCAGAGCGAGCACGAGTACACGCACCTGTTCCAGCTGCTCGATTTCGCCGTGGCGATGCACAAGGTGATCTACGACTTCAATCGAGACCTGCTGGGCTTCAAGCTGATCCTACGAGTCGGCTACAACTACGGTGACGTCACTGCCGGCGTGATCGGCGCCACCAAGCTCTACTACGATATCTGGGGCGACGCGGTCAACATCGCGTCGCGAATGGACTCCACCGGGGTCGCCGGTAGGATACAGATGGCCAGCGACTGCTTGGACGTGCTGTCGGAGCGCTACGAATTCGAGCCGCGCGGACAGGTGTACGTTAAGGGCAAGGATAACATGGACGTTTTCCTCTTGATAGGCAAGAAGGAGAACAGTACGAACGCCAGCGCTTGAGGATATTCAGTGTACCGCACGCATAATCCCGAAAATTCAAGAGATACAACTTTCCCGATTATGACTTGGTTTGCATCGATCGTTTCACACGTATTGTATTCGTACTAAATTGCTTCTAATGGTGTAAACGATGGCGTATTAAGCTGATCAGCTTGGGAACTTTTAAGGACCTTTTTTCGCTCGCTTGCACGTAGCTATTTTCTGGCTTATTTTACACAAGCATATGGCTGATTAACAAATTTTCAGTTGATAACACTATAAGAACCGAGTTTCTTAATAGTTTTTTTTTCCCCCCAAAAAAATCTTGCTGAATTTTTAAAAGTCCGACTAACAAACTTGCAAAGAGAAAACCAATAATACTCTCCGTATCTATTTTTTTTATAATCATTAATTAGGACCGTATCCTTATTTACCACTATGTAAAATGTAATACATGTTTCATTCGAATTTAATCTTACGCGGTATTTTTGACAAATTTGATACATATGTTGCAAACATTGCAGCCGTTCAGTGTAAATGTAGTCGAACTAAACATATGGTGCGCATCACTTTGGTTCGCGTTAAATAAAAAAACGGTAAATTAGCAGCACTATCCGGAAAACTGAGTACCAGAACAATCTCCCGAAATATTGACAGAGAATAAAGTTATAATTTTGCGAAATGACTTCAGTGTTTCGGAAGACTGTCGAGGTATTCAATTTTCGGAATAATTTTATGCTCTCAATATTTCAGGAAAGTTGTATCTCGGGAGATTGTTCCGATATTCGTTTTTCGGAATTGTGACTTTTCGGGGTCCTATTTTCTATATTTCGGTGCTTTTTTGGGAGGGAATACGCATGTCCACCCACTTGTCGAAGATCTAGGTATCTAAAATACGATCATAAGGTCGTGTAATCGCAGTCGTTCGAGTCGGTCCACTTTTAATTCCAGCGAATGTACGGCCTTGCGACCGCATTGTAGACCCACTATTGCGCAGCAATCGTAGCATTTAGATTATTATCAGTCGACCCATGCCGAAATAATGATGATAGAGAGAGAGAGAGAGAGAGAGAGAGAGAGAGAGAGAGAGAGAGAGAGAGATATGTTACTCGCATATCGGTAGTCGTCGGTAGTTGACGCTACTGGCAGCATACTCGCCTTATTCGTTGACTGCTCAAATTCTGCTAAAACGAGAGATATTTATTGTAACCAGAGATGTTTATTGTATTTTTGTAAATATGTCGCCGAATTACGTGACGACGAGAGGGGAATGTACCACCATCGTGGGAGATTACTCTTCTCGGTGTACGAATGATCGCCGTTTTTTAGAGAGACGAGAATAGTTCACATGATAACTTGGCGAGGCGAGTTATCGCGTGGTTCTCTCTGTATTTGATATTCTAAGGGCAGCGAGGTGCATATCGCGCGTGATAAAAGTCAACGAAACTCGAATACCCCGCGTTTACGTGTTAGATAAATTTTAGGGAGTAGAAAACAAAGTGAAAGATTTCACACGGTCTCGTCTTCCTGTATCTATATTGATATTGGCGACACGTCGTCGTTGTGATACGTAATCGATCTCCGGGGAAAAATGATTATACATGATTATACATAATTATATCAAATCATGTGAGAATTTTGCCCATATGTGTGGTTACACATATGTCCATACGAGAAAAAATGATGTTATGTCATTTAATTAAGTGTCGATATCATGTGCTGTAGGACACAAGTAGCCAGAAGCATTTACTTCGATTGTATTCGCATATATAATTTGTAAACAACAGTATTTTTCGCTATAGACATATATGATTATATATAGTCATATATGGGCAAATTTTATGTATGATCTTTTTTTTCCCGAGTCGATGTAGAACGACGAGGCGCGTCACTGCTGCGTCGCTCGAAGATTAATCTACGAATAAGCGATAAGCGAAGAATCATCATCGATGCGTAATTAATGAGATGAAACGCTAACATGTACATACAAATGTAAATATGAAATTGTACAACGTGCGTTTCGAAGTGAACTTGCGAACGCGACAAGAGAGATAATTTTACCAAAGAACAATAAGCTTAACGATTCAGGCCACGAACGTGCGCATAGAAATGCAGATCGTGCTTGAGATTGAATTGCCGTTGCAGAGGAACGATGCACGTGGGTGGGCAACAATTGCGTGGAAAGCAATTGCGTAGACGACACATTCCAAGCGCAGCTCTCGTGACGAGCAGGGTCGTCGCGGATATCGCTCGAATATCGACGAATTGCCGTTGATTAACGTCCGCAAAGTGCCGCTAATAAGTTCGCCGTCGTCGCCGATTAATTAAACGTCTCCGTTATCCGGGCAAACCTGCTATGTCGGATTCCAAAGAGTACTCTTATTGCATTTTCTCTCTTTTTTCTTTTCTTTTTTTTTTCCTTTTAACTCTATAATTTAAGCAGCGATAACTGCGCGCGTTCGACGGGATTCATACGCTGTATGGCGATAGTATTTATATGTGTTGTACATATTACAGTGATTTCGAGGGTTTATTCGAAAGACTACACACACACACACACACACACGAGGGAGCTGTATGCTTTGCGGTTGTATACGCGGTGTAACGGTGTGCAATACAAATTCGATCTGAATATCACACACACACACACACACACGCGCGCGCGCGGCATCGTACGTCTCGCGTTGTGACGCACCCGCGCGATGGACAAGCTCTGATCTGTGGTTGTAATTTTAATATATATATATATATATATATATAGCGTTAATTCAACGAAATAATACCGTTAGGCGTGAAAGTGAATAACGTCGCGTACGTAGAGAAAGAGAGAGAGAGAGAGAGAGAGAGAGACGAGCGATCGGACGAACGCATCGATCTCTGTAGGTATCATATACACTGTAATATATTTATGACTCTGTTGTGAAAACGAAACGTTTTTAGAGAAAGAAAGAGGGGGGATATAGCGCGGTGCTACACGGAAATTTGTCAAATGTATTATTTTGCGACACTTGTCGCGCGTTACGTGAGACGATATTATGTCGCACAAGACATTTCTACGAAGATCACGGTCAATTATGAGTTTTCTTGCGTTAACGAGGAGGCGACAGCTCGCTCACCCAAGAAAACTCTCTCGCAAACGTATAAACACAGATCATCTGTGTGTAATATCATATATTACAGATTGTATATTCGCCGATTATATACATAGAGAGGGATACGTACACGTGTTACGAGATATATCAAATAAATATATTGCAAACTGTATATTTATATATCGAACGTATACACACAAATCTTACGGACAACGAGAGAGACGCTAGGCTATATTGATGGTACATGTCATTATTGTCAATTCAATTTCTTTATTACAATATCATATATACAACATCGTAGCTGATCAGTTCTCGAGCTGATGTACAAAAACGCACGGGCGAGACCGAATAACTCGGGGGGNGCGAGCGAATTCGTCGCGCGTCTCGCCCGCTGACATAATCAATGGTCGTTGGAACATTAACATTACATCAAAATGTAATGAGTACTTTGTCGATAAATACATATATTAACAATCAATATATAAAAAAAGAGAAAAAAGCCATCCGGGTAGTACGTGGCATTTTCGTTTTCGTCTAACTGTCAATTAAACGTATAAATACATACAACGTGATCAACGTTATCAAACGTGTTGAACGATATCAATAATAAATGAAAGGAATTGTGTCACCATAGAAAGATGTTGCAATTTCGATGATTTGCACAATTTCTCAAGTCAAGAGCGAGAATATTGCGTATCGTGGTTCTCAGATGTATTTAATGTCTGTGAGAATTACGATTGGCTAATAAGAGTCGCACAGGTTGACGGTTGCGAATAATTGCTTCTGTCGCGGAAGGATGATACCTAGATAGACAGAAATACTGAACTTTAAGTCTGTTTTCCATTCTTGAATTAGGTTGCACCTTTTAAAGTGAGACAAGTATATAACTTAATGTTCAAAAGGAAAAGGAACGAAGTTCCAGTGCAGTTCCAGTTCAGGAGCAGAAAATAAACCTATAATATGCAAACTTTAATATATACACAGAAAAAAAATGAATCTTAAATCAAGAATTATTTGAATTCAATTCAAGACTAAAAGTCTTTTAAGAAAATTATAATATTCTTGCTTATATATATGAGAATATCTATTTTCTATTTAAGACTATTTTTTCCTATATACTTGGTGATGTAATAGTGCAACATGTTTAAAATATGCTTGTTTTAGAAATATTCATTTATTACGTCATGATTTCAAATAAAAGTATCGGCTTCTTATTATTACAATTTTAGATTATGTTTCCTTTCGGGCAAAATAAGCGGCAATATTCACAGTATCGGAATGTCATCGTAATATTGCCGCAATTTCCACAGCATCAAATGACTTCTTTTATATACTGGCAAAATTCTTGTCATATGAGGACGCATCTTCACGCACGATACAAACGATGTGCTAAATTATGACTATCAGGGTGACGTCGAAATATTGCACGTATTTTTCTCGGTCTTCAACGTATGCGAGGTCGTCATTTGTCGCCTCTTTCTAACATCAAATCGACCTTACATCCCGATAATTAATATTTGAAGCCCCCACTCATCCCAGACTATCCAGATTTCGTCGATGTTATCTTCCCGCGAAAAAGTAATTATTCGTCAACCTGGGCGACTCTTGGCCATTGATACCTCTTGTCGATTGATTCTCAGGTCAACAGAGACGCGAGAGTCATTAAGGGCAGTTTTCGTAATACCGGAATGGCTTCGACTAAGTATCCTAATTGATTTTTGTGCCATACGTAGACTTCGCCGATGATATTAAATGTACCGTTTACTCGTACAATGGCATTTGTGATGTTTCTCGAGAAACAATGGAAGAGAGTAGTGCGAAGTAAAAGATAAGTGTAAAACGCATTGATTCTGCATGTTCTGGCGTCAATTCGCCCGATTAGAATACGGACCTTTGTATATGACACGAAAGTTGTGGCGATTTTGACTTCGATATACAGGGTATCCGGCTCAACTCAGGGCTCATGTGATGCTCATGTGCAGATAAAACGGATCAACAACAGGGCCGAACAGGGAAATTATATACCGTTTTACAAATGTCACAATAATTATTCAGAAATAAATCAAATAATATGAACGAATGCACGCGTGGGAAACGATAAGGACGGGATGTCTGGAGGAAAAATGGCTTCCGACTTGTGAGAAAGATGTATTACTCTTTAGGGTCTCCTACAGCAACAGTGAGTATCAGCTGATGGCGAGAACATTATCGCTTCCTGTGCGCTTATTCCATGTTTTATAATTAATTCGTCAATAACTGTTGCGAAGTTTGCGAATTGGTAGATGACCTCCCTGTTTGGTCCGTTCTTCAAGCACGCGAGCGCTACACTTTGAATCGTCAGACTGTACACTCGTATTATCGGATTTCCGTTGTACAAATGAGCAAGCTTGTTCCTCCTACGAACGGATGCAGCAACAAATGTGCAAACGTGTCGTCTCATCGTCGTCTACGTTCCATTGAAAAGTTAAATGCTTTTGCGAGAGGGCGTCTTATATAAACAATGGAATCGTTTTCCCTGCTTTGTTAATCGTATATATATAAGCTGATAACTACTTTTCTCACACACACTATGAACCGCACATGGTGGATTGCTAAGCGCAGTGGAATGCTCGAGAAAGTAGTGTACAATGCAAACATCTGCGAATTTAAATTCAACCTAAAAAACATAGAATTTCCCGTACAGAATAGAGAGAGAGAGAGAGAGAGAGAGGAAACGAGGGTGAAAACGAGGAATGCTTGATATAACAAGGATAAAATATGTAATAACAATCATTTAAAAGAATTCGTTTTACGCGCACGGAGTATAACGATCTAGACAAGAAGACAAACGCGATACAAGGAGATAAAAATAAGAAAGCTCACGGGAAAGCCGACTAAAAAATGTTTTTGATATGTGATATTGCAACGATAAAATCCCGGCAAACCCGTGTGGTTACTTTCTTCTCGTCTCTCGCTTTAAAAAACATATTTTATATTCTATATTCTAAATATACATGTGTGATTTCTTTTTTGGAGAGAGCGATATTTTTTGCTTCGCGGTATAACGCGGTTCGGATTTTGAATTCCGTCTAATCGGTTGCCTACTTCTTAACGCATTACATGAATCATTACGTGCCGCTCGCACGTGTCGCGTTATTCGCGTTCTTTTGTGTGTGTGTGTGTGTGTGCACGCGCGCTCTCGCGTAGATTATATATCCTCTTGATTAAAACTGCCGTTTCGATTCGTATATATGTGTAAATACATCGTGTAAATTTAATTGATTCGTCGTAAGTTGTATCGCGGTTTTTCAGTTACTTTGCGAGAAAACTCGGCTGTAAGGAAGACGTTGATCGACGTTGTTGCGCGTGATTTGGTGTCGATCTACTTATGCCTTGGAAAAAATCAACGAATCGTATAATATGAACATTCGAGAAACAAGTATATATATAATATGCGTGTGTATGTGTATAATGTATGTATGTATAGAGACGAGTGATTATACAATTCATTCTCTTCTACTCTGGCATATAAGATCAATCACTATAAGATTTTAATGTACAATATGTATATACTTATATAAATATATGACACCGATGTGTGTAATAAACTATAACCTCGAAGTTCTTAGCGATTATAGATACAATAAATTTGCTCTGCTTAGCCGCACTTTCCGAACTTTCTACTTTCTTTTCTTTCTTTATTTAAAGCGCACGTACTGATTTTCAACAATAGTGAAAAAACAAAGAGAAGACAGGGGTGGGGGAGGAGGGACGGTAGCTGAAACAAAACATATCTCTAAAGTGCCGTTGAACTATGGATCTCGAATTTACTAATTGCGGTGACAATAAGATAGCGGGGAGTAAAAACAGAGAAAAGAAGAAATAAAGAATATACGTTATAGTGTTTTGCGTTTGCACATATTAGTCACAGCTCGAGACGCGCGTCGCCCACCCTTTTATTTCGTTTGTACAGAGCAACGGCGCGACCGTGTTCAAATTTCAGTCGCTGCGTGTCCTTATCACAATAGTTCGCTAAAATCCCGTTGTACATGTCTCTCACAATCTCAATAAGATTCACATCCCGTACAGTTCATCGTGAAAATGTTGCGCGACGTATATGAATATCTCGGGAGCCGCTTTCAAAGCGGAAGATTAAGATATTGAATGATGGTGAAAGGACAATAACGCGCTAAAGAACATCCGCTACATGAAGCTATATGAAGATTCAATGAGAGATTGTAGGTTACACTCCGAAATTCGTCAACAAAACTGAACAACATTCCCTGCCTCCTTTCGTGCGATCTTTCGTTTCTCGTAATAATGTGATGTGTACAAAAGGTTAATTAAAAAATAAATAGAAACAAATTATCTACATCTTCTTTCGTATTCAAAATTACGTCATGCTGCATCTTCATCAGTTTGAAATTTATCGTCAATTTCAGAGTGAAGAAAGTGCAGAAAAATTTTCAACAATTTTTTTCTGTTTTGTTACAGATGCTCTCTCTTATGTTTCGTTGCGGATTTCTTCTCGCCGTGACGAGACGGCGACGGGTGTTGTTTGTGATTTATGCGTCACTTGAAGCACCTAGAGTGATAGAGTGAGGACGCGACATGTCCTAGGATCTCCGAAGCATCGCCTCGATATCCCACCACGCGATCGAGACTCTACAAACTGATATATTTTTTGTCTTATTGTATCAATCAATATTTTTCAGGAGTGTAAGAGTGTAATACAAGGCGATACTTCGAGCGTTTTAAATATAATTTGTTACTTCCGTAATTCTCACACGCTGAAAACACGTAGGATTTCTCGTAAAAAAGAAACGTGTTGTTTCAGTGGTGTCGGATCAAACGTCGTCCCTCTCTCTCTCTCTTTCTCTCTGTATTACTCTGCACATTGCCGCTCCTGAGAGAGAGAGAGAGAGAGAGAGAGAGGGAGAGAGAGAGAGAAAGAGAGAGAAGAGACTCTTCTTTATAATAATTTATAATTATTTATTGAAATAGACCAGCTACGCAAAATGTAATTCTCTAAGACGTTCTGCTACGTAGACCCAGCGAATAGAGCTGTTATCCCCGTATCAGCTGCGTTCTCCGAGATCTCATCCACGCGTACTGGCGGAGACTTGCCGAACCCGAGCAATTCGATTCGCGGTAAATTGTCTATTTTGACTTCTTTGCGGAACAACTGACCTACGCTTCGGCCGATAAGCTGCGAAAGATTACATATTAAGAGATACCAGTTATTATTCGGGAGTTAAACTCGGGGGGGGGNGGGGGGGGGGGTCAATAAAAGGGAGAGAAAGCACACACACACACACGATACAATAATAATTTCAAACTACATTATATTATATTACACACTGCGAATTACCTGATTTGTAATTTTCTTAAAGAGATCCTTCTTGCCCTTCTCGACCTTGTTGCCCTTCGTACTGACCACCGACATCTTCTCGTCGAAACGTTGCAGATCGGCGGGATTGACACCCGGGATCTGCTGCATCACCTCGATGATGTTCGGGAACTTGGGCCGGAGGCACTCGTACACTTGGGCGCCCAGTGTGACGAGCGAGCCCTGATTGGCTTCGTGTTGGCCGTGCAGCTGCAGACCCTGGAGAACCGCCACCATGATGTGCGACGCCATAGAGGGAGTGAGACTACCGTCGGCCGCCAGTGCACGAACGACGGGGCCGGTCAACATTGTGGCCTTGAGACTCGCGTTCGAGTCATTCCACGCGAGCGCACTGCAAGTATATAATCAGCGCGTGATGCTCTGTTCGTCACGACGACGACGAACGCACGTATAATTACCCCAGTACGCATAGGACAACGCTGTGGCACGTGGACGGGTGGCGCAAGACGAAGGCTCCCAGTTCGCTGACGACCTCGGCGACGATACTGTTGCCCCGCGAAAGCGGAGGGTCCACCGCCATTCCCCCACTGTCCTGCTCCATAGTGTCCGGAGGGGCGGCGTCACTCGCAGCACCACCGACCAGAGCCACCTTTAGCACGTCCACGAAGTCCCTGGTCAGATTCCGATTGAGCATGTCGTCGATCACCTCCTGCGTGTCGGTGTTCTCCTCGTCGAGGCCGCCGGACTCGTAGAGGTGCGCGATGTATTGCCATTTTGCGCTTAATCTTTGGCACACTGCAAGAAAAAACGGGTATAACTGTGACGGACTGAATCACACGAAAACACAATGAACTGTTCGTGCCTTTTCAAGGTGCGATCTCAAAGCTAAAATACACTTTTTTGCGTGTAATTGTAGAATCGCGAGAGATAAAGAAAAATGTTTACAATGAAAATTTAACAGTAAGTTAAGGGCAAAGTATAGTTTTGGAAGGCTCGAGAAAACTGTTTCCTTTTTTATTTTCATTTCTTCCGCGGATCTGTTCTCGGTTTCTTTCACAAGGATAGAGAAATTCGTTTAGAAAAATTCACGAGTATTCAGTTAAAATCTTTTTTTTTTCGTAAAGATAAAAAACCGAGAAAACCGTGGAAAAATGGGGAAAAATCTGGTTTTCTCGAGTCTTCAAAACTATACACTACAAAGTGATATAAAGAGAAATGAAAAAAATTTGCAAAAAATTTTCTTTTCTTAAATTTCTGTTCACTCAGTAGCTCTCAACTCACCATTAAAATTTCTATTCTAAAGATTTTTCTCTAACGACGCGGAGAAATAAAGGAGGAAACGTCTCACTTACTGTGTGTGGATACGTGGGCCAGTACAGGTACTAGTACGCTCTCGTAGAAAGCCGGCGGGCAAGAGTATATGAACGGCTTCATGAACACGCGTATGATCGGCCGTAGTCTGTAGTCCGGAATAGCCTGAAATACGAAGGAGAAACTGAATTATCACGCGCTCAGCGCTCAGAGAATAAAATTCACTGCACCCAGTTTCGACAGGAAATTGCTGATTCTGAGATTACCTCCATATTCGAGAAGACCGAGTTCAACAATGCCGGTGCGAGTCCAGGTAATTGATAAAAGTCTCGGCCGATCATGTGACAGCCGCTACCTAACATGTGATAGCACTGATCGTGAATCGTGCTGAGGAATGATTGCATTCGGACCAAGGGAGTGTTCGAGGATTGATCCGTTTCACTAGTGTTGTCGTTAGCCACGTTCAGACCCAATAGATGCGCCTTCTCCGACTCCAGGAGTCCATAGGCATTCTTGTAGCCCTGGAATAGAGGCAATCGACTAGATTTAGCGAATAAAATGCGTTTGAAGTGACTATTAATACATCAAGTAATAATAGTACAATTAAAGTTTCGGAAAAATCGCTTTTCCACTTCACCGGATTCCGTTCCAAGGGTGCAAAAATGTTTTTCCGTATCAGACTACGAATTGAGACTTTGGATGGAACTCAGTGGCTCTGATCTGTGGAAAAATGTCAATGCAATCCATCCTCATCCGATAGATGGCGGAAAAATTCCGGGAAAAAGCGATTCTTTCCGAAACAAATATCGGCAGAGTGAATATTACCTCGGACAAAGCGGCCAAAGCGGCGGGGCCGAAGAGAGCGTTCATCGTGCGGAGCAGCGCGAAGAGCGTCGGCAGCACCGGGATCACGTGGGGCGCGACCGGATTTCTGTAGACCGGATTGCCGCTCTCGCTGAGCGCGGCGACGAAGCCGCCCCTGGCGGCGCGGTCGGGGTCCTCCGGAATGGAACACCTCTTGACGACGCTCAGCACGGTGCAGACGCAGATCATGAGGTCGGTGCGATTGCGGCCAGCCGGGTCCTCCAGCATGCTCTCGACAGGCGGTCGGTCCAGGCCGACGAATCGCATCAGCTCCAACGGGCCCTTGAACCACTCGGCGCCGAGTGCGACGAATTTGCCGGAGCCCTCGCCGATAACCTCCGCCACGAAGCGAGTCTGCCTCTCGTAGTCGCAGAAGTGATTCGAGATCAGCAGCAGCGCCTCGTAAAGCATGATGCTCTCCATCTTGGACAACGGGCTGGGCTCCCTGGCGAGGCCGCGCACCATCGTGCGTATCTGCTCGAAGACCGGCAGCAGCAGCAACGGATACTTCAGGCTGATCTTCACCATGAGACTGGCCGCGTGACGCCGGACGCTCTTGGCCGCCTTCGAGCGATTGCCCTTGCTCTCGCCGGGCGCCTCGAACACGAGAGCGGCGAAGATCTTCTCGAGGACGCGCGGCAGTACGGCGATACCCGGCATGGCCATCGAGCCGGTCGACATCGACAGGAAGACGAAGAGGGCGCTTATGCAAGACAAGAGGGCGGACAGGAGGCAGGGGTCCTGCGGCGAGTAGCCGAGACAGAGCTCCAACAGCTGCAGGCCGGTCTGCACGCTCGGCCTCTCGTTGATCAGCAAGATCCTCGAGACGACCGAGTCCAAGGCTTGGGCGAGGGCTTCCCACTCGAGGTACTCGCGATCGTTCTGGTCGCTCTTGTACCGCAGGTTCCCCATACCCTTGGTTATCTTCGCGGTTAACCACTGTTGCACGTACGTGAAGGTGACCAACGGCGCCACCATGGTCGCGTGCCTGAAGCCCTCGAGCAGATCGGTCCTGAAGCGGTAGAGGAAGACGTTGAACTCCTCCTCCGAGTCGTAATCGGCGAGGCAGCAAGCGGTCATCCCGTTGCTCTGTCTGCTGTGCGGATACGCCACTTTGATCAGCTTGGGCGCGGTGTTCTCCACGTACTTCGGCACGTACGTCAGCAGCAGCGAGTCAGTCTTAATCTGCTCGTGTTTGAACAGCATCACCCAGATCGCGTTCGCTAAATGCGTGAGCGTGAGGCTCGAGTACATGGTGAAGGTGAGAACGGTGTCCAGGAAGATATTGAAGTGCGTCGGCCGTATGCTAGAGGCGTCGTCCTTCCCCCATAAGGTGCACAGTTGCGTCGCCATGCCGGTCAGTACCTGTGTGAGTTTCTTCAGGAACAGATAATGATTCTCGTTCGTTGTAGGTCCGGTGAGAGGCGGTGGACTGGTAGCTGCCGTGTAAATACACCTAAGAGCTTCCTCCGAGAAGAGGATCATCAGTTGCTTCCGATCCTCGGCTTTGCCCTTACGGTTCACGATTTGCAGCAGACACTCGGCGGCGGAACACTGAAATATGGGATTGCCCAGCAGCAGGCACAGTATCTGCAACAGCCTGCCGTCTTCGGCCATCACGTGATTTATGGAGACCCACTCGACGAATCCAGTTAGCGTGGACAGTACTACCTGTCGAACAGATGAGGGATTGATCTGATTGGTCAGGAATATCTTCCCTTATGGGGCTTACCTGCACGACTTTACTGTGTGCCGCGGCATCGGACATTTGTCCTAAGGCACTTTTCTTCTGAAACTCGGAAAAATGTTGCTCCATCAGTCTCAAAAAGAAGCTAAAGATCTCCGCCATGTTTGTGGTTAACGCCTGGTATATGTCTTTCCTCCTCTGGTTGGACTCGAGCGTCTGCAGAAGCGCCACATCCTCCACTAGTCTAAGGAACACCAACAGAACCAGTTCGGTCTGGCTTTCTCCGCGCGTGCAAGCTTGACAGAGCTCGGCCAGTAGCGTCGGCCACTGCTGAGGCCACTCCCGTTTTATCATCTCCACTACTACACGCGACAGGGCGTCCTTTATGTGCGCTTCCTCCTGTAACAGCGGCTCAGTACCCTCCTGAAGCAGTTTCATCGCGTTCTCCTTGATGAAGATCTTCTCCGACTGTGAGATCTGCGTCCACCGGTACTTCACACAATGCTCCATCAGCTGCAACCCAAAATGGCGGACCACCGAGCTTCTGTTGGGAGACTTTTGCGCCAGATACAGACCGCATTGAGCGCACAGGGGCGAGGATTCTTTGAATCTTTCGCAGGCATTGTATACTTCCAAACGCTGTTCTTGAGGTACGTCAGGCGACATCATCACTTCGACCACACCTGCGAGCTCCGCCGATATCTGGGCGACATCGCCTGCTCCGAACTCCATTTCTACCTAATTGTGCTGGAATATAAGAAATGCAAAAATGTTTATATACGTCGATTGACAATTTATGTATGATATTTACATATTTCTTTCCCATGTCAAGATACATACATTGTATAAAGATATGATAAAAAGCATTTACATCCCGCCAGTCATCAGCATATGTACACATTTAGCACGCAAAAGACGTGGTCCAAGTTCAAAGATTTTTCCTCAAAGATAATTTACAATCGGGAACATTCACATAAGTCGGATTAGCAACGCGACGAACTAAGCATATAGGTCGTTTCCACGTAAACTTATCTCCTCGTCAATCGAAGCAATCGTAAGTGAAATCCTCTGAACTTGCAGCACGTGTCTTTTGCAGAAGCTGACGCAAGATACCTCGAGGCAGCGATTAATCCTCGCCGAGAAACGAGGAACCGGTGTAAATATTCGAGCAGCCTCCTCGTGCAACGAGAGCGGCCCTTCCGCTCGGGAGGATTGTTCACGGGCCACGAGGACGTTGTTCGCGCGGCGCGAGAACGAAGCAGCTTGTTGTTGCGGCGGTGTGCGCGCCGAGCATGCCTTGACAGTAGTAATATAATCACGCACGTACTCACCTCGCGAGAACGCAGGTCGAAGCCACGGCGGCGTGATCGCGATATGGCGATTTGACGCGTCAATTCATACCTAATTCCACCGATAAAATTGCGGGGAGCGACGCTCGCGCGTGTCGGACAGACGTTCGCCTCGCACACTTCGGTGTGAGATGCAGCGCGCACGCTGGACGAATTACTTACACACACGCTCCCGTTCGTGCTGCCATCTCGACCGCGCGAGGCTAACCTAACCCGGGCGTGTGTTTTCTTTTTGCACCCGCGGAGGAGAGCGACCGTTCCTCTTCTCCCGGTTTATTTATATCGCGCGATTGTATCCAGCCGATGGATTGATCGACCGGCGGGAAGATTACTCGCGCGCGAGCTTACCTCGCACAGGTTGTACAGGTTATGCCGGTTATACCGTTCTCGCACGCACGCACGCACGTATTGACGTGAGGAGGAAGAATGGACGAGGCAATCACCACGCCGCCTACGTTCAAACGGAATTTCTTCGAGCGAATTTACTGTGTGGAATTCTCGCCGTACGAATGGTCGCAGCATCTGATCTGCATCGCCCTCGCCAAGGAGGTCGTCGTCGGTACCGTCCGATTTCAGGTGGGTCCGTGCAATCGAGCGATAATTATGACTAAATCAAATCGGGGATTGAAATAAAGCTCCACATTATGAGAGAGAGAGAGACGATGTGCAATCGCTTATATTAATTCCTCCAGGATGAGGACGACGCTGTGGAGGATATGGTGTACAATCCTATTAGAACGTTTCATCACGATACCAGACCTCACGCGATCGCTTGGAGCCCAGAGACCTCCTTGAGCGTCGTTCCCAAGATCCTGACTTTCTGTGTGGCTGGTGCAGACTTCAAGATAAGACTGTACAACAGCAATTTAAACGACATGAATATGTACGAGGTGAGAGATTTCGAGTTGTATAGATTTGTAAAGATATTTTAGACGCGGTGTTAAAGGTGGACAAATCTTCGTCGGTAGGTTCTAAAGGGACACAAGGATTACACAAATGCGATATCCTATGAGCCGGAAGGTGATTTGCTGGCATCTGTTTCCGACGATCACACTTGCAAATTGTGGGCCGTTAAAGAGGATCAAAAGTGTGTGTCTACGTTTTACTTGACGTCACCCGGTGTCAGTGTATGCTGGCACGGTGAAGAATCCGGCAAGCTGCTGGTAGCTGAAAAGAACGGTTTGATACGTATGTACAACGTCAGGAGTCAACAAGCGATCATGTCGCTCGATTCCGGTGTTATTCCCCTGACCGCAGCAGATTGGGGCCCTAATCCTTTGAAGGTTGCATCGATAGCCGCGGGAGAGTTATTACTGTGGGATGTATCTCGACCAAGGTAACTGATTTTCCTCAGTTAAGCGGGGTCTACAATGAAGATTCAACAAAATCATCATTGATTTTTCCTCTATAGTTCGATTGGTCAATTTCTTAAATTCTCATTGCCGACATCATTTCATGAAATCTGTCCTCTCCCCTTCTATTTTTCAGCCGCCCTCTTGAATCACGAACGCTTCACCTGGAAGGAGGTTTGGCGGTGAAATTCTCACTCTCGAACGAACATTTGGTCGCGAGTATCGGATGGCCGGACAATTTACTGAAGATTTCCAATTTGAAAACCAAACAAGTGATATTGTGCGGAAAAGTCAAGTTAGTGGGTGGAATGACGTGGCACTACAAGTTACCCTATGTCTGTGCTGGCAGTGACAGAGAATTGTGTTTCTGGAGAGTGAATATAAATTAAGATGCACCGAGAGAAATGAGTCCAGAAAGAAAATCCCTCTCTGTGACATTTTATACACTTTTTCATGTTACATTCATCATAGAGGGCAGAAAATATAATACTTTTTTTTACCATACTTGATACTCGATTAAGAATCGGTTATTACAGCATACTTATAACGGATCAACATTTTCTAGAAAAAAAAATGCAATTACACACGTGTAAACTTGTATGAAAGAAATGTACTACTTTTATACCGTATTTCATACCAAAGCCACTTGTTCGCAAACTTAAATGACAATAAAGATAATTTGTGATACTTCGTCGTTTACAATGAAAAATATGCGTCCAATGTTGTTTCTTCTTCTGTTTTCACTTCACTATCCGTGTTTGCTTCGATATTGCAAGAAGCTGGCAAAACTTGCGTTCGATGCGTATCATCGTGCAACATTTCGTACAAATCCAAAATACGTTTACGAATGATTTGAGGATTCGGCACGCTGACTCTTTCCTCCACAAAATTTCTCTCCTCAAGTTTCAGATTTTTGTACGACTTGTAAAGTTCATCCTCTTCCGTGGTATCGGTAGTATCGTCTACCCTGTTAACTGCAAAATGCAAAATTGAGTTGAAATGACGAGCGAAAGTATATAATGAAACTGTTAGTATCGTGCGTAATCGTCAAAACTGGTGAGAACGTTGCGGAAAGAAATAACTCACGCGAGAGATCCGCGACTCGGTCTCCCAGTTGTTTTATTTTGCAAACGCGTCGCACATAATCTTCCGTTTCCTCGTCGAAGGCATCTTCCAGCAACGTATGCACCAACTTCACAAACTGAGTCTCTTCCTCGATTGATAGACGCTCTAAATCGCTTATTAGCCAATTTATGAGGCCGATGCATAGATAAGCGCGTACGCTCGTCGATACGGGACAATTGCTCTTTGCGTAAATGCTATCTTCATCCGTTGGTTTCCTCATGTCTGACGTAACAAGAATATAAGTAAAAAGACCCTCCGTCTTGTGTTGATACACTTTGCCTAATGCCGTCGCAATATGCCTCAACCGAGTCTCTTTTGCGTCGGACATGGCTGCCAAAGCGATCTGATAACTAGCGTGCAACAATTGCATCTGAAAATATACGTTAATAATAATCATCTTTGTATCGGAAGAAGACTTTCGTTCTCTTACCGTCGCCTGATTATCCGTAACAGTGCGTGTGAGGAGAGCGTTGCTGCGCTGCAAAGCATCGTAATGAGAGCCATCGTGTTTCTCTTTCAGATCTCGCAACATACCATAGTCCGATTTTCCTTCCACCCACTTCCGCATCGTATCGCACAGAGTTTCTCCGTTGCATATGTTCGTTATCGCCTCGTAAGCGTCTATGTATATCTTTAGATGCTGCACACGAGAATATTTCAGTTGTTTACAGGGTTTGTACGACCCCTTTTAAATCGAAATGTACACAACATACCCGAAAGTCCTGAATGTCCCCGATGAGGGAGCGTGCTTTCGAGTAATCGAGCTTCACGAGAGCGTGCATCATCGCATCCTCAACCAAGGACAAGCTGAATTCGACGTCGCCGCATATAAGCGCTAATTGAGACGCTAGTTCTAAGCAGTCTGGATCATTCCGCCGGCTGAGAATCTTGGCCGCTTTCGTGAATTCACCTAATTTTACGTAACTAATGTATTTGACAAACATTAATTTACCATGTAATCTCATGAATTACTTACACATCCGCTTAAGTCCAAATATATACAACATTGAGTCGCGCGCATACTTGCATGTGCTATTTTCTAACAATTACGACTAATAATGAATTAGCGATTATAATGATCTCACCATTGTGCTGCTAATTCCAGCTGACCGGTAGTGGTAGCGTACTGTGCCCAAGATTGCAATACGATCGCTACAGTCGGGTCATTATCGGCAAGCTTAAGTCTGGCGAGTACATACGCTTCCTTGTATAAGCGCGCGTCCAAGTACGCTTTTACGGCTTCGTAGATTTTATGTATACAAAGCAAATACGACACCGCTTTCTCCACGTTGCCCTCCATTATTAACTGGTGCGCATACGCCTCGCACGTTTCCCTCCACGTCCTGCAACAGGTCCGTTTTTTCTTTACGTTCGCATTAGTGTCCACAATAGCTATTTTAAGCCTTAAGAAATTCGACTAATCACAGTTAATTTATTCTCTTCACATTCGATTAGTCAATTTTTTAAAACTTGGAGCTTAAATTCTTATTGTAGACCCCGCTTAAAAAGTACAGCGTACTTTACGGAAAGACTGGTTGAGAGAGATACTAAGAAGTCATTCAGTCGCTTCTCTTTGATTGCACATTCTATGTCTTGTCGCAAACCGTCGCACCACATTTCCATTTCGGTCACGGTATCATTTTTCTGTCTTATGGCGTGTCCAAATTCTATGCGAAAGGACAAATATTTAAATAATAAATGACATTCGCGCACGTGTGACAATATATTACACACAGATAAGTAAAATTTGCTGAAAAGAAAACAAAAACTTACTCTCTTTTGTGATAATTATTTGAAGGTCTTCCTTTCCGGAGAACAATGACAACATCGCGTCGTTCACTCCGTTTTCCGACTTGGAATTTTGCTCTTGATTCTTTCGAATGTCGTTTTTGATGCAATTCAACATAGCATGTTTCATATTCATCGTTTTATTATGTATCGGAAAGTACGACAGCTTTTTCTCTTTCCTCTTTCCTACATCCTTAAGCACTTCCGGCAGAGATTCTATAATTAAATGTCTCGATCATTACGATATCTGATCATACAGTTGCCTGATTATCTGATGTATCTAAAGTATTGTAAGTGCCTAATTACTTGTTTCGACTATTTCAGTATTCGTAGAGGCAGGAGAGTGATTAGCGGGACTCGTCGAATTATTCGTGGCCGATCCATTCTTTGAGTTGGCCGTGGTATCATTCTGTATTTTATACTTTTGTGCCTTGTATTTAGGCTTTTTCTTCTTATCTTCCGAAGGTATTTTCGGCGATTGTTCCGGAGACGTATAATCCCATATACTCAGTGTGAAGTCTGACGAGCCAGTGATGATCAATTGCGGTTTAAGGGGACTCCACATGCAGCACAGCACGGGCCCGCTGTGTCCCACGTAGGTGCCCATCAACTCCTGTTTTTCAACGTTCCACACCTATTTTTAAAAAAAAAACATAGATCTCAGAAATAAAATAAAATGATATAATATCTAAATAAGTATTAATGGCATACATTACTAAATGAGTATTAATGATATACGATTACTATAAATGGATATTAATAGCATATATCTCTACTAAATGGGTCATTTAATATCGTTATCAAATGACTATCACCGTCGGCGAATACGACATTTAGATATATTTGATACTTGTACCGCTCAGCGACGGTAAACTGTATCAAAGTCCACGAACTTGCAAATCTACGAATGTAAATTTTAGCGTAAGCTCGATAAAGTAAATGAGCGCTATCGGATGTCATAATATCTGATTATTTAAATGTGATACCGTGCAATCTACAAGCAAGTACATCCTACCTGTGCGGTGTAATCGTAACTGCCAGACACCAAGTGCCCCGTGACATGTGGACTCCAAGCCAAACACACAACTTTGTCACAGTGCCCGTTTAAGGTCGCTACTAACTTATGCGCATTGCGCTGTTGATTGTTTCCATTCTGAGTAGTAGCAGGTTCGATGATTTCCTCTCGAGTTTCCAATCTCTTCCTCAGGTCGGAGACATCGTAAATCAATATGGTAGGCGAGTCGGAGGCGATCGCCAGGTGGTCTTTCATCGGCGAGTTCCACGTGTCCACCGCTGTACTTTCGGGATGCCACACCAGACAATTCACCGTTTTCTTCGGGAGGTAAATTATGTTGCCGCATTTCTCGAAATATTGATTGTAGAATAAAACCCGTCTAAAAAAATATATATATATACAAACAAGTTCGATATTTAATCACTCACATTGAATCGTTCCTTAAGTGTACAACTTACCCATTTTCCAGTGCGATCGCTAGCACCAAATTATCAGGATTCCACGAAAATTCCGTGCACTCCTCCTTTATTATGGACATGGGTACTGAAATGCATGTCATCACAGTCAATGACACTTGACTCGATACAACGACGAGACACTAACGCCTTACCTTTGTCTGGATTTTTTACATCGTAGACCACCAGTTCTCCTTCCGAACAGGAAAACACACCTAAATCTTCTTTGTTTGGCACAGGCCCCCATTCGAGCTTGTAAATTACATTTCTATGGTATTGCTTAAACAATATTGGTACATTCTTTATTACGTCGATCAAACCAACGCGACCTTCGGAAGTGCCGAAAGTTAATAAACGTTCGTTTTCAGGCTGCCACGCTATCTGTAAAATATTTGTTTGTATCATTTTTTCTTTCCACGTGTAAATGTGCTTCGAGAAATAACGTCTCACCACTCTGAGCTTTCCTTTTATCTTCTGCCAAAACGTAGTGACATCGAAAGTTGTTGCATGAGGCTCGGACAGATTCCACACACGAAGCATCATATCTCCAACGCCAAATGCGATACGCGAAGTATCGACGGGACAAGCCGCCAAGCAATAGATATATCCTCCTTGCGTAGGTATCTTGTATTTCAGTTCGACAGGTTTGTTTTCTCGCTTGCTGCAACATGTGATCCAACGATCTTGCGCCAATGTCCAAATTGTAAGTCTGAAATTTGGTCACATGAGAAGTCAATTACAATATCTATCTTGTACAATTTCACACGTAAGATATATAACTTACTCAGAATTTTCCCTCCAGTTATCGGATACTTCATTATATTTGGGTGTAACGGCTATACAAAACAATCCTCTGTTATGGTACGTATGAAGTAAGTCATACTGCTTGATTTTCCCGCCTTTGTTCGCAGAGAGATTCCAAGAAAGAAGCTCACCCCAGACGGAACTAGTTAAAAGCACATTTGGCTCTGCCCAACATACCGTAGTCCAAGCTCCGACTGTAGCACCGAGTTTGCTTTTGTGCGGCTGAGGCCCAAGCGACTGAGAGATAGCCGGTAGTTTTGGTAAATTTATCATAGACTCACATCTACCATCTCTACCGGCTCTCCAAATAAACACAGATCTGAATATAAGAAAAGATCAATGCGATATAACCGAGCAACATAATTATAGATATTGGTTTGTTATTTTCCATTATAATGTGCATAAAAATCTCATTGATATAATATTTTATCTTACTTGTCTTTAGAGCCTGAAGCTAAGAGAAGATCTCTTGAGCAATCTGTAGATAGCACATTGATATCCAAAGGACACCAAGATAAACTAACTATTTCTTCATCGTGTCCTCTCATTCTGTACAATATCGACCCATTTTTATCAAGATCAACAATGTAAATTAGTCCGCATTTTGCACCTACTGCCACAAGACCAGCCTCATGAGGACAACAAGCCAGACAAGTAGCTGTTAACTTGCCCAGAGGTATCTTCTTAACAGTCTGATATTGTATGTTACAAGACAGTAGATAGCCTTGTGAATTCACTGCACACGCAAGATTGTTATTTTTGACTGACCAATCGACTCCCACAATTGGCTTAGCCTGTATCGATACAAAGAAATCATGTATGAAACAATTAATAACAAAGAAATTCTACTATTTTTTTTAAGAATTTTCTGTTCATGACTGTAGACCGTTATATGACAGGTGATCAACTGTCTCTATCTTTTGTTACTTACATCACTGAAAGAAAATGCTGTGACCAACTCCAATTTATCTATGTTCCAGATTTTAGCTTTATCGTCATCGCCACAAGAAATTATTAACTCTGAACTATCTGGCTCAAATTGCGGACAAAATGCTAACGCAGTTACTCTGTCTGCATGAGCATCTTGAATTGTAAAAAACTCCAAAGCTGGATCATTCTTTTTTTGCTTGGCAATAACAATACAATTTCTGGCACCCCATGCTAAAGTTTTACGCTTCGAATAAACAAGAATATTGCTCAGGTACCAGTTTGGTGAGGGAGGCAGCACAGTTGAATTCATATTGCTGTTGTATTCTGTCAACAAGAACAATTTTTATACAATTTCTGCAAGAAATTATGAAAATTGTATTCTTTTTTTTTATTATGATAAAAAAAATGGTAAAAATACCAAAAAAGATACATTATATACATGACTACACTATAATGTTACAAACATTAAGAAACATTAAGAACAATATTTCTCGAATTAAAATGTTTACAAACATACATTTATAGAAAATAAAATTCCTACAGAAGTTAACCGGTGATTAATATAACAATAGACAAAATCGAGCGTAAATTCCAAAATACTTTACTTTGAAGCAATAACAGAAATCCCATGTGTCCTCACACGTCTCGAATTTTCACAGGTAAAGTGAAAGGTAAATTGTTTCTCCTAAGTGTACTTTTTACCGATACGTATACATATAATTATGTTAACCGTTCGTATAAAATATATAAATATTAAACATCAAAATATTTATCAGAAATACGTTATGAATTTTAATTTTAGACGTTCATAGCTTATTATAAATCCCTGTATTAGTAAATAAACACAATATTTACCTCAAAATAGTAGACTTGTTCTTCTCAGTTGAACCAGTACATCAAAACTTCGATCTTTTTCCTTTCAATGTTGGATTATATACTCGTTTCACTCTAATGACGAAAGGTATAACTAGGCTAAAGCCCGTATCAGATGTATTGGAGATTGAGATTAAATTGAATTTGGCCAATCAGTACAAAGTTTACTAAACTCAAGTTTGGTGAAATTTAGCGAACTTTGCACTGATTGGTTAAATTTCAATTCAATCTTAATCTCCAATCCGTAGTCTGATACGGGTATTATGCGACTGTTTGATACGCCCTCTACATTCACTTTTGGATGTTGAACTATTTCACTACGTCCACTTTCTGGTAGTGCCGATAATGTCTTCATTTAATCGATCGGTTTGCTTAACTCGCATTGGTGAGCCTCAATTCGGCAAATCGACCAATACGATTAAACATTGTGGACGCGGCCTACGCTCGCGATCGTTAAATGAAACCTACCCCTAATACACTCATTACGCAGTATTCACACTATAATGACATCCGAGAGGAAGTGAGAACTAGTGTAAGCTAATACAGCCAGTGCAGCAATAGAAAACAGATCCTTATTATGGACACCGTTTAAAGCGAGATAAGGATTCCAGCTCTAAATTTAAGTTCCGAGAAAAACCATTTTTAATCATCATTATTTTTGCCGAAGTAAAAACTCATCGAATTTCACCTCTGGCCGAGAAAAATAATCAATGTAATTATTTCTTGTAATTTGTAATTTAATGTTTATTGTGTATATAACGAAATATAGTTTACGTGTGTCGAAAGAGAAATATCGAACGAACATACTTTCGTCGAGTTTTGAGACGAGGCAGTCCGTATCGAACACTAACGTAAATCGTAAAATTGAAGTGAAACGGATAATAACGGAAATGGGAAGCGGATATAGAGAGCTTGGTGGTGAGGGGAAGCGGCTTATCTCTGGAATACGAAGAGCGCGCAAACTCGAGACAAACGCGGATCTGATTCTTGCTAAAAATATCGGACTATGGAACACGCGCGTGTGCGCAATCGCCCGTGCATTGATGTTTTGTGCGACTCGCATATTTATTTATATGACCTATCTCAAAGTGACTAATGTGATGATATCTTTTCTCCTTCTCCTCTCTTCCTCTCTCACTCTCTCTCTCTCTCTTTTGCTCCTTCTCGGATTGATATGAGTAATCGTTAGCGCAGACACTTATATTAATATACAAGAGAGAGAGAGATACGAGTGTTAGCCGGCCATATTTTCTCGCGCTCGTTACTTTCCTCCTCGTCTTTACCGGTGATCATACTTTGTCGGAAACAGCTCGCTAAAGATTGGCCGTTCACAAAGGACCCGACGATGCGGCTGACGGTCGCGTGTTTGTCATTGCTTCACGGATTCCTCGGTGTCGTTGCGACGCTCGAGAATCTACCGCAGCAGAATCTCTCGCTGGAAATGTTTATGAAAATGTTGTGGTCGAACAAGGAGCCTTCGGTCGTCGTTGATAATCCCGACGTCGTTCTCAACACGGTAATCCTCAAAACTGACATCTTACATTCTAAACTCGAAGATTTCGGTTGTTTTTTTAAAATACGAATGTTTCTAATAGTTTTTTGTAGATATATACACTTTTTCTTTTTGTATCAGACTTTTTCTCACAGCGCAATCTTACGGATAAGTTCAAACGCACATTCCTTCTTCTTGATCTCGGACATTTCTGTAAAAATGTTATCAAATAACGTTCTATCATTTTAAAAACATATCCGCAACGGATTCCATTCGATAGATTGATAGTGGACCGAAATTTTTTTTACCTGCCGCGTTCTTCTCTTCCCTCTCGAGTTACATGTTTCTCATGATTGTTGGTTAAGCGGGAAAACGGCAATGTATTTGAAGCATAAGCATTGACATTTTGACATTTTGTATACGCCAGTAGAGAATTGTGTAAAGAGCGCGATTTGTAACACACGAGAGTACGATTCACGGGTGTTTTAATTAGGCGCCTTTTTTCAGCTGGAAATGATAAGAAAAGAAGGCTACCCTGCAGAGGCTCACGTTATACCGACGGAAGACGGCTATCTCTTAACATTGCATCGCATCCCAGGTGATAAGGATTCCCCAACTGTCTTTTTGCAGCACGGTTTATTAGGCAGCTCTGTCGATTGGGTTATCCCCGGCAAGGATAAAGGACTCGGTAAGATCTTTTAATTAACTTTCCAAAATTAAAAATATAATGAATGAGAAAATCTCATAGATCTAATTTTATAATATATTGTATTACTATATATAATATAATATATATTTTATATATTATATATATATAATTTTATATAATTATATTATGCAATTTTTATATTATGTATAAAGATATATTTTAATGTAAATTAATGGAATATAAATTATTATTTAACTTAACTTACTCGGCAAAGTGTAACACACGCATTACATAACAGTTACGTTGTTGAATAGGAAATTATAACTAACAGTTTATAATTGCAATTTGGTGTTTGTTGGGTAAATTATTATTAAAATATTAGCAGAACACATAAATTACTTAAGGAATACGTTAATATTTTGGTTTCTTTTTCTATTCTTCAGCTTATATATTAGCCGACCAGGGATATGATGTATGGTTGGGCAATTTTCGTGGCAATACCTATTCGAGAGCACACATTAATTTGCCGACATCGGACTCGAGGTTTTGGAATTTCAGGTATTCACATGAAAAGTCGCGATAATGCGCTGAGATGTGGTTACAGCAATATTTGCGATAATTGTTGAGCTGCGAATCTTTATGCATCTTACTTTCCAGTTCTGAATAATGAATTTATTATTTTCACGTAATGACATTTCGATCGAATTCTCCGTCAGCTATCACGAAATGGGCATCTATGATATACCCGCAGCGATCTCGTACATTACGAATATGAGATTTCAACCGTTACACGCGTACATCGGCCACTCGATGGGCACAACAGCTTTTTACGTTATGGCAACAGAATGTCCGCAAATCACGGAAATGGTAGAAGTGATGATTAGCCTCGCACCAGTGGCTTTTATACAACATATAAAAAGCCCGGTGCGAATTCTCGCACCTTTCAGTAAGGACTACGAGGTGACGTAAAATGCAAGAGTCTTGCTAGAAAATAATCAAATTATATAATTCACAGCAAAACAAGAGTAGTGTAAAGCAACATGTTCGAAATAACCCAGATAGACATATTTTGATATATTGTCTGCATCGTGACTAGCATAAGTACATTGAAATACACCTGGTGAAAAAATGTCTCAGAATTTTTCATATTATTTCTCAGTATTTCTATGAAAATTTTAACATTTTCTTAGAATCTTTCAGATTTTTTATACGAATTGGAACGTTTATCAGAAAAAGTCAGGCAAAAAGTTGAAAAATTCGAAATATTTCCGAGTATTATAACTTAATATATTTCTTCCGAACACTCCGAACTCAAAATTTCATAAGATTAAAAATTAATCAATTACGATGTGTTATCAAAATATAATTTTTCCGTGAGATACGCGCTTCGCAGTTCCACAATTGTATTTGTAAGAAGACAACATTTTTATAAACCTTACAATTAATTAATTTTAAATCTTATAAAATTATCATTATAACGTTTTCTTTCACTTTGCCATTTGGAAAACTGTGAAACGACGGAATTATTATAATAATAAAAAGTCAATACTTTGATTAAAATGATGATGTAAAAAATGAGTATTTCTTAAAACAAGCATATTTTAAATATTGTTGTGTTGTTGTAATCACGGAACATATATTCAATCTTTCCACACCATATACAATATTTCTGTCTATCTGGGAGTATCCTCTACTATAATTTTCTTTAAATTAATATCAAAATTATCTGAACTTAACGTTATGGTATCTAGTACGAGATTCTCAAACAACACACATTTCCGAAAAATGCCTTAAAGATATCCAAAAGTCATCTTATATTTCCTCAGACCTTTTTCAGACGTCTTTAGGACATCTTTTAGAAATTTGTGCTGTCTAGGTTCATAGATTTATTCGTAGACAATCGTCGCTTTTGAATCGAGCGTGCTCGTTCATTTTCAATTGTGTTCTCTCGAAAAGACGCGGACAGTTTGACGGTAAATAAATGGCTGCATCGCAAATGAGATCTCCGATAATTGCAGATAATCGCACACTTTTTGGGCGAGGATCAATTTCTGCCGCAGAACGAGTTTCTGCGCCTTTTGTCGAAGTTCGCCTGCGACATTGACATTTTCGAGGAGAAGATCTGCGCCAACGTGTTGTTTCTGATCTGCGGTTTCGACAAGGAACAATTCAATTACGTAAGTGACTCGGTGAGAGCGCACGATGAGATGCGGTCGTCGCACTTCGCAAAGTATTTCGGCAGTTCATCGTCATGTCATCCCCATGCGTGTCTCCTATAAGCGCGTAATATTTCTAGAATATTATAAAAATGTTCTTAGAATATTAAAAAATAATAATAATATAGGAAAAATATATAAATAAGAAAAGATTTTTATTATTACTATTTTTTAATATTATAAATATATATATATATATATATATATATTTATATTTATATATAATTTTCTTCTAGTATAAAACGACTTTCGACTTTCGACTTTATTAATATAATGAAACAATTAGTATTGCAATATATTTGAAATAAAAAATTATACATATTATATATACACACACACATAAAAAGTTGAATATTTAAAAAATATACAATATTACAATAGCATTGAATAATATTATTTTTAAAATATTATTAGGAATGGACGTATAACCATTTATTAATATTCAAGAAATCTTACTTAACATTAAATAATATTACGCGTTTACAGAGCCACATCAAAATTTTATTCCACGTGTTGTTCCGCAGACTTTATTGCCGACGATCCTGAATCACACTCCTGCTGGCACATCCACCAAGACGTTCGTTCACCTGAGCCAGGGGATTCTGTCAGGCAAGTTTCGCCCGTACGACTACGGCGGTCAGAAGAACCAGGAGATCTACAACGCCACGCAGCCGCCGGACTATGATTTCACGAATGTCACCGTACCGATCGCGTTATTTTACTCCGACAATGACTGGTTCGTCGACAACTCGGTAAGCGCAGAATCGCGGGTAACGAGAGATCGATCGCGCGACTACTCATGAAAACAATCCGTGCGAATGTTTGTTTAAGGACGTGAAGAGGCTTTACGGTATGCTGGATAATGTAGTAGACGTGTACAGAGTGCCGTATCCCAAGTTCAATCACTTGGACTTCATATGGGGCAAGGACGCTCCCCAGCTTGTTTACAAGAGACTGCTACAAGTCATCTCGAAATCTTACTTTGATGGATACGAGAAAATCCGAACATCGCTCTGAATTACGTGAAAACAATATTTCTGATAGCGTATGCAAATAATTAAGGTTAAATGTTAATTATAGAAAACCAGGTGCGTGTATGTTTTTTGCATAAATAAAACCTTTTCATCGTAGATTAGATCTTTGTGAAATAATAACAAAACAGTCTATTATGAGAAAATATCGACTGTTTTGTGCTCAGAATTCCGTACAAAAAAGAAGCAATAGTGCTCAGAAAGAGGCGTCAAATTTTTGCTGACATTTTTCTTCTCTTTATTGTAAGCAGTTCGGGCGTATGTAATGTGTATATATGACTATATATAATTATATATGTCCACAACGAAAAAATACTGTTGTTTACAAATTATATGCAAATACAGTAAATGCTTCCGACAGCACATGATATCGACATTTAATTGAATGACATAACACCATTTCTTTTTGTATATGATCGTATATGTAACCACATATATGGATAAAATTCACATATGTTTTTATATATAATCATATATAATAATTTTTTCCCGGGCTTCTCTATCTACTTTTAGCCGTTAACGCGTCACTTTATTAGCTTCCCGATAGTTTCCCGAACGCAGCCCCGGTATCTTCTTGAGAATCATGAGAGATACTTCGCGGCAATTTCGAAGGAAATCGATGTGTTGGCGTACAATCGATCGATCGATAGCGCGCTCGAGCAATCGAATCGACCGCGCGATAGTTCACGGCGGCGGTACGGGGAGCTTCGTCGGGCACATTTTCATGGTCGAGGAAGGAGCAGCGAGCGCATTTTGATGCGTGATCCTTCGTTGTCGGGCTGACTTGCGTTCGCGTCGACTTGCCTGAAGTGTGGTTTGACGGGCGACTCGACACGGTGCGTGAGTGGCGAGGATGAGCGAGAACGCGGAAATCCCGGCCGCGCCGCAGGCCGAAGATCTGGCCAGGGCGGAGATGTACAAGGAAGAGGCGAACGAGTATTTCAAGAGTACGTTCACGTGGAGCTCGACGTGACGCAACACGACACGCTCCCCCGGGATACGATTGATCCGAGACATGGTCACGTGCGAGTTAACCAAACTTCCGTTCCGGACGTGTTCGCGCGATTATAATGAAAATAAATGACGGCGACGACAAAGAGGAGCGCGATTCTTCTCACTAATTGCCGGGGAATCTCGATGCTTCCTCCGCGCTGCTTTGCGCGATATATTCGCTTCAACTCTGAGTCTTTCTTTGTTGTGCGCGAAAGGGGAGAACAGTCGCGTAACGACGTTACAATGAACGCGATCTCGGATGATAATTCCGTATTATTGATGAGAGAACGAGTAGCCGCATCTCTGTACAACAACTGTGATCCATTTTCTTTTTCCCATTTCCTTTCAGATCAAGTGTACGACAAAGCTATCGAACTGTATACCAAAGCCATAGAATTAAATCCGTCGATAGCCGTGTACTATGGCAATAGAAGTATTTCCTACCTGAGGACTGAATGTTTCGGTTACGCGTTGACAGACGCGTCCAAAGCCATCGAGTTGGATAGAAATTATATAAAGGGTTATTATCGCAGAGCCGCTGCTTATATGTCACTGGGCAAGTTCAAGCTGGCGCTTACGGATTACAGAACCGTTATGAGAGCTAAGCCAAATGACAAGGATGCCATGGCGAGATTTACGGAATGCTCCAAGATGGTCAAAATGTTAGCATTTCAAAAGGCTATCTCGGTAGAAGAAAAAAAAAATATAGCCGACATGATCAATCTAGAAGCCATGGGTGAGTATTTCGTAGTAAGCTGCATGGAATTTCAAGCTTTATGACTGTTCTTTTTAGTTAAACTCGCTGTATTAGTTCATGAAATTTACACACACATTGAAGCGTATGTATGAGATTCTAACTTGTGTACATTTTTTTAACTAATGCAGTCAGTTTAAAGCTAAAAAGAGCAGACCATTTGTGTGCATTACCATAATATTAGCTTGTGATTCTTGAATATTCATAAATTCTTGATATCTGTAAGAAGCAGTCAACAAATTTTTTATGTTAAGGTATAAATAATGAATATAATGAATATTACGTGATAAGATATCAAGATACATGTATCTGATACATAAATATTTGTAAGTGATAGATAATTTTGAAATTGAAAATATTAATGATAGAGGTCGCATTAATCGAAGGTCACAGTATATTTTGCATTGTGTAAGCTTTTATACTATTATAACTCGAGTTACTTTTCTGATTTTTTATCTTAATATACACACACACACATATATATATATGTATAAGGCTGAAAATTCTATAATTTTTTATCTAAAGAGTGATAAGGCATATATGATATCGATCGTTTTAATAGAAAATATTAATAAAAGATAGGTATGTGAGTGATTCACCTTCTTTCTTTGTAGTAGTAGGCAGACATGGTAATGATCCACTGTTTTTCGCTTTTCTTCATTATTTTCAAATGTCTCTCACCGTTTCTTACTTTAATATTTGAAAAAACAAAAACGAGGAATTCAATTTCTTTTGTGAAATGTTTTATTGTATCTGAATATACGCTTAAAACTGAGTTTAAAACAAATTTTAAATCTTGTATAACTCTTTTGTTCCCCAAAATTCAAGTTTTGCTCTTCATTGACTTTGACTATAAGATCAGTGTTTTTAATCTGTCAGAGAAATGCCGTGAAAAATAAACAATTTAATTTTTAACATACAAATCATTTTGGAAAAGACTCACCTTTTACTCATTTCTTTTAAACCCGACTCATTATTTTCTTTCTTTTTCAAGAATGGGACTCATTTTTTTGACATTTAAACTGCTCCCATGTCTGATAGAAGGTCATAAAGTCATGATACATCTGTTCAAGTTATATTATTTTTATAGCCATTGAGGATGAATACACAGGGCCTAAATTGGTCGATGGAAAAGTCACATTACAATTTATGCAAGAATTATTAGAATGGTATAGAAAACAAAATAAACTGCATCGTAAATATGCTTACAAGATCCTGTTGGACGTTAAATCATGGTTCATGGCACAACCTAGTTTAGTGGACATCACAATTCCTGAAGATAGCAAATTCACTATTTGCGGTGATATACACGGACAATATTATGACTTGCTTAATATATTTAAGTTAAATGGATTGCCATCAGAAACTAATCCATATGTATCCTTTGTGAGAACGAAATGAATGTAAGGTAATGCAGACCGCGTTACATCAATTTATAGACTTCAAAGTCCAAGTAATATCTCGCACAGTATGTGCGAGTAATGTTATACAGAAATGCGTATCACACGGGAATTCCTCAGGAATATATTCCTTAACAGCTACACAGTTATTTAATGGAGATTTTGTAGATAGAGGCTCTTTCTCTGTAGAATGCATATTCACTTTATTTGGTTTTAAGTTATTATACCCTAATCACTTTTTCATGTCAAGAGGTAAGCGATCTCCGCTTCTCGACATTTTTGTATTCGAATCTAGTATCACTAATGACACGAATCACGTGTTCAAGGCAATCATGAATCAGCAACGATGAATCAAATGTATGGATTTGATGGTGAAGTCAAAGCTAAATATTCAACCCAGATGGCGGAATTGTTTACAGAAGTATATAACTGGCTTCCTCTTGCACACTGTCTTAACAATAAAATACTCGTAAGTACCGCAAATCTTGACGAAAATCTTTGTGAACATTGCGATCTGCGTGTCCAACTGTAATCGAATTGCTACCTACCAGGTGATGCATGGCGGCTTGTTCTCGCGGGACGACGTTACATTGCAAGAGATCAGGGAAATCGATCGAAACAGGCAACCACCTGACGAGGGACTGATGTGCGAACTGTTGTGGTCAGATCCGCAGCCGCAAATAGGCAGAGCACCCAGCAAGCGAGGCGTAGGCGTTCAGTTCGGGCCTGACGTCACGCAAAATTTCCTCACGACGAATTCCCTCGATTATATCGTGAGGAGTCACGAGGTCAAGAATGACGGTTTCGAGGTCGGGCATGATGGGAAATGTATTACAGTATTCTCCGCTCCGAATTACTGGTACGATGCATCGACCGAACTGTTGACGTCACGTTGTTTCGTCGCGACACAGCTTTGTTATTATTATTTTCGTCATTTTCAGCGATACCATGGGTAACCGAGGTGCCTTTATCACACTTAACGGTAAAGACATGAAACCTTACTTCACGTCGTACGACGCAATGGTGCGTATCTTGTATAACTTTCCGATTGAAAAGCTCGTCTCGACGTGGATTTATGTAGACCACGTAAAAATGATTACACTGTGTTACACTCTGTTACAGCCTCATCCAAACGTAAGGCCGATGGCTTACGCCAACTCTCTACTAAAGTTCATGTGCTAGTGGAATACTCCCTAGGTATTATTGATAAATAACAATAACTGAACATATATATATATATATATGTATATGTATGTATGTATGTGTGTGTGTATATATATATATATATATATATATATATATATATATAAGTAACCCATTCAAAGTGTGCGTAATAATATATTTGATACCGAAATATGGAGAAGGTAAGAGACACTTTAGGCTTCTCCGTAACAATAATTACTGTATTCTTTCTAGGAACACAATGAATTTCCTGTATTATATAAAGTGCATGCGACGAATGCATAATATTGATGGGTACAAAAGCGAGAAAGGTTTGCTTATTTTTACAACAGGCAAACAGTTTTACCGAGTTTTCTTATCTATGATAAGAAAAACGACTCATCAGACATCAACTAGCAACTTTGTGTTCGTTTGTAATAAAATAACGCGAAAAAAACGTTTCTATTTTGTACCCTCAATCTGCAACCACCTTGCTCGTTAAAGACGTATCCGTGCGCGCACACACACACACACGCGCGCGCGCGCGCGCACGCACACACACACACACACACACACACACACACACACACACACACACACAAAAGAGAACAAAGAATCGATCTCAGAAATCTCTCCAAGGAAGGGAACGGGAGGGTTTGACAACATATTATTTATCAGCGCGAAACGCTGAAAGCGAATACAATCGCAACACTTGTAGTTAATTCTTTAACGACCAACGGTGGTTTCAATGAAATCATTATTACGGAGATACATATATATATATATATATATATATATATATATATATAGCATATATGAAACACTTAGCATAAATACGTAGTACAATATTCCAGCCAGTCACTACTTGTTATTCGTGACAACTTTTTTATAAATCTATTGTGATTGGAGGGATTTCTTTGATCTAACATTTTGTTTTTTGTTAATAATAAATGATGTTTATAATGTACATAAAATCGGCATCTCATTTTATGCAAAACGTCTACGAGGCGACAACACGATAAATCACACGCAATAATGTTAATCGACGTGACTTTACGAAAAATGACGGATAATTTCCCCTGGCAGATTATTGCGACTCTGGTAGGACACGTTTAGAATCTTGATTCTCTCGTCCGCGTGTAATTTCTGGAATAGCGTCGCATGCTGTTGCGGCACTTTGTGTAGTTCCGGAATAGTCCCGATCACAAAGGCCTTCTTGGAGGTACCAAAAAATATATCCATTACTTTCCTCTTAAAGTCTCCGCTGAACAACTCCATTTTGCCGATCTCGTCGATTAACAATATATCCTGCAAAGTGTATGGGCCGACCGTTACCAAGCTGTTATGATCGATTCGTCTCTTAAGAGGAATCACTAACTCACGGCATCTGAATTCAATACTGGTAGCGCTACCGACTCGAAATTATTCAGAAAAACACTATAGTTTCCCACGTGATACTTGGAGTCCTTTTGAGCATCTGTTGAGCTTCTGCAAGAGATGAAGAGATGTTAAATATACGGTGCGCACTGTATGAGTTACATGCACGGCGTTTTGTGTATTATTTGAAATAAGGACGATACACCTCAGTCGCGCCAAGGACAATCTTCCTTCGGGATCTTTCACCCTGACAATGTCGAAACCGATCCTGGCGCCGCTCCGATCTCGCACCTCCTCTGTGTAAAATCCGTCTAACTTGCCGCCCTTCCTCTCCAACATAGACGCGACCTTCTTGCATACCGTAGTCTTGCCTATACCTGCAAAAATTGTCCTCAATGTTATGTTACAGTCCGTCGAGCCGATCCGTGTGTTTACGGTGTAAGTTGGAATGTCGGCTTAAACGAGAGAAAAGGGAACGCACAGCCCGTGATATGTACGTGACAAAAGTGCTGCCGAGAATTTTTATCTCTCATCTATCGACTGTTCATTTTTTAATCGAATTTAAATCAGGCCTATGCCAGCAAAACTCTAGGTACAAATGCGTAAAAATAATTTAGATAACATTCTCGCCACACGTATAATATAGATTTATCCCAATAAGCGAGAAACATGAAATCAACATTTTGAAACGTTGATTTTACGTGGATTTTGTAACCATTTGATATAATAATAATTTATAAATGTTTTTACAATGTTTTATTTTTTAAATGTTTTACAAATGTTTATTATATAATATTTATGTAATTGTTATTTAATATGATATTCCTAAATATTAAAATCATAATGTAGAAATATTATTTTTAATCTTAGGAATATTGTTAATAGTGACGTGTACAACATTAAGGATTAAATATTTGTCCTTAATTGTAACATGTTATGAAAAATATATAACGTGTTAATTGGTCTGTTCTTTTTAAAGAAACTGACGCACACTGAGAATTTTGTCTTCATATGTGTATGTATATTTCTCGACTAGTGCAGCCAGTTCGACTAAAAGGAACAGACCAAATGATTTCTTGCTCTTAATGAGATATATATGATTTAATTATATGTGAGATAATGTCATCTAAATTCTTTTCACGTGCTTAGACTCTCAACAGGCCTGATTTAAACTCGATTTCCTCATCTAAGAGGGTCTACATTCAATCTTACTCATTTCATCAAAGCTCGGTTTTTCATCTTGTGGTTAACTCGTGATTATAAAACTTAAACTGATAATAATGCAAAAGTTATGTTCTTACTAAACTGATAGTTTTGTATGATAGTTTTGAATGGTAATTATGAAGATTTAACCACAATATAAAAACAGAAGTTTCATCATGAGCCACCAGAAAACGAAACCAGGCGCACATAACATGAAGAAATTGATGTTAGTGATAATCACGCGCCCTCTTGTACGCCGCCTCACCTGGAGGGCCGGTGAGTAGTACGTGCAAGGTCCGCGAGGCGCCGCCACTTTCCATGTCTCGTCGCGTTGTTTACGTTCGGCCTGCTGCGCGTTACACGTGTAAACGGTCTCGCCGGTGGTCGCGCGCGACTCGATCGCTAGGCTAGACCGAATTAACGCGGTGCGGTCGAGAATGCACGGATCGGCGACACGTCGCGAACACGTCGGGGCGGCACGCGCAGCGGCGTCGTGGCAGTCGATGTGAGAGCGCCGCGGGGCGGTCGGGCGAGCCGATCAGCTGATCGAGCTGAACGAACCACGGTGAGGCGGAGAGAGACGGAGGTCGGTCGGCCGATCGGATTGCATTGAGGGACAGTGACAGTGATACCGACGACGACGACGGTTGGCGTTGTTGCTGGTGGTGGTGGTAGTAGTGGTGGTGTGGTTGACGGTGTTGGTTGTGACGGTGGGTAAGCTTTTAGCCAGTTTAGTTGCGGTGGTGGGTAGTGGTGGGTAGGAATAAAACTGAACGATAGGTCGCGTCGCCTTGCGAGCAGCAGCAGCCCTCTCTGTAGACATCGCGCTGCGTGCGTCGTGACGTGCTGATCTGGTTGGTCGTATCTTCGTGCGTTCTTCTCGGTCGGTGGGTCGTCGCGTGCGACGTAGTGCCGTTCGTACGGAGGATCCTCGCACGCGTTTCGTCGCTTTACCGAGTAAACATCGCTCAAGGAGGAAGAGGGAACGGACAAACGCACGCACGGCGATAGCGATTTGGCACGAAGGGGAGCTAGCTCGTTGCGCGTTCGGTAACGCTCTCGGCGTTCGCGCCTCCCACGCAGCATTACCGGAGGAGGATTGATAACCATCGTCCCGACAGATTTTGGGCGGACGGTGTGCCACGATATAATACGCACGACGGTGACGACGGCGGCGACGACGACGACGGCGGCGGCGGCCGCCGCGACGGCGGCAACGACGTCGTCGCGCGACGTTGCGTGGAAGAGGGAGGGCCGGCCAGCCGAAGAGGAAGGCAACAGGGTCCGGTATCGCGCCGGTGGCCTCAGACGACGACGTCGCCGACGGCAGTCGTGCGAGGGTAAAGGCGTCGGCGAGAAGAAGATGGCTTATCCGTCCGAATGCAGCGTGCTGTCGTACGTGATCGCCCGACAGATCGACGATAAGCTCGACTACTGCAAGAGCCTGATCAACGCCCGATTCGAGAACTCGGAGAATCTCTACAGGAAGGATCTGCTGTCCCATTACGGATGCGTCAACGCGATCGAGTTCTCGAATCAGGGCGACCTGCTCGTCTCCGGTGAGTTCTCTCGATCCGGGCTCGTCTGTCGACGTGATTCACGTTAGGGCATGAGATCAATCTCGTCGCACGTGTCTATGATTCGTTACGTATAGCGATGACTTCTATTTTTAGTCCCGTGCCGTGGTCAGTTTTCGAAAGTTTCGCTTTGAAACGCAGCTTCTCTCCGTTTCGGCTGGTGGGAAGGGGGGGGGGAGCATTGATCATTTGCGTTTATTTCCTGTTTTATCTTCTCGCGACAGTGCCCGTTGATATCGAGCAAATTCAACGGAAATAGTGGTCACTCTTTCTCTCTCTCTCTCTCTCTCTCTCTTATTGTGTTCCGTTTTTCTTTTCGAACGAGACGCATGCTTTTTAAGAGGATCTACCGATGGCCGACTTAATATTTATTGTATCGAGAGGGATAACACGTTGGTAAACAATCGTCGTCCAACGTGACGTATATTCTACCAAAGAGGAATGTGATTTGCGCTCTAAAGATAGAGAATCATTTGTTTGCAACGCTATTTCCACAGGTGGCGATGACAGAAGGGTCCTACTGTGGAAAGTGGAGCAGGCGATACGGGGTGTCGGCAAACCCACCGTGATGAAGGCCCAGCACGTTAGCAATATATTCTGTCTGGGTTACGACAACAGCAAGACCAAGATATTCTCAGCGGGGAACGACGATCAAGTCATAGTGCACGACTTGGAAACGTAAGGGACTCTCTCCTTGTGATGCAGCGTAAGATGACGACGATCACGTGTTCTCTCGATATTGTTGCAGGAGCGACGTGCTCAACTTCTTCCTGCACGAGAAGCCCGTCTACGGTCTGTCCATACATCCGCACAATGATAACGTCTTCGCCAGCGCCTGCGACGACGGTAGAGTCCTGATCTACGACATACGCGGCTCCAGCGCGACGGAGACGTTCTGCCTGGCCCAATACAAAACCGCCTTCCACTCCGTCATGTTCAATCCCGTCGACCCCAGAATGCTCGCTACCGCCAATGCCAAGGAAGGCGTCAGTATGTGGGATGTGCGCAAGCCTTTGGAGTAAGTGAATATCACACAGGTCTTGTCTGACGCAAGCAAACATGACGTGTTTAGGTTAATGCGAACAACGAAATCCTCTATCATTTTGCAAACAACCGTACCAAGTTTTGACTTACCAATGATTATTGGCCGCGTATACGGAGGCTTCTCCGATTAATTTAACTCGAAGATTTGCGTGATTGTTTGCAAAATGATAAGGGCTGTTAGCAGAATGGTTGACTTGTAATTTTAAGACAATGTTTTATGAATCTTTGTCTTGTTGACACAAGACAAGCATTGTTGCGTTACTTAAGATAAAGGATATTGCCTTAAATCGATAAGTCAGCCAAGGCTTTTAAGGAATGTCTTGCTCAGAATAGTCTAATCTATAAATATACGACAACTGTTGTGCCTAACAACAAACATCGGTATGTTAAACCTGTCCGCAACAGCTGTCATATACTTGTAGATTAGGTAATTTTGAACGTACCGTTTTGCAAATAAGCGCGTTGAATTATCAATTAAAGAAGCCTTCTTTACACACTTTCAATCATTAATTCCATAACTGCAAATGGTAGAGGACTTTTTCATTCATATCGACCTAAACTGCAAAAATATGACGATCGGACTATATAACTTCTCTCTCCGCCACTGATATCGTCACGTTACAGGCCTGTGCTGCGCTACGGGAGCGAAACTCCGGCGCAGAGTTGCATGAACGTCAGATTCAACGCTCTGGGCAACCGATTGCTGGCCTTACGGAGAAGACTGCCGCCGGTCCTTTACGCGGTCGATTCGCCCACGCATCTGTGCGAGTTCGATCATCCGGGCTATTACAACAGTTGCACCATGAAATCGTGCTGCTTCGCCGGGGACAACGACGAATACGTGCTCTCTGGTGAGATCCGCTGGTAGAGAAGAAAATAAAGATTGGCGTAAAAAACTGATGACGACACACCTTTGAATTCACAGGTTCGGACGACTTCAATCTGTATATGTGGAAGATCCCGTCGACGGAGGTGAAGTGGGTGGAATCCGCGCACATGGTGCTGCGCGGCCACAGATCGATCGTCAATCAGGTTCGATACAACCAGGCGAGTTGCATCTTCGCGTCGTCCGGCGTGGAGAAGATCATCAAGATATGGAGTCCGTTCCCACTCGGGGCCGGCAGTCTGGGAGGACTCAAGGTTCGTTATTAGTGTCGAAGACTTCTGCAGGCCGATTTCTCTAAACACGACGTGTCGTTATCGCTTTTCTGCCCTCTTTTTATGTTACCTGCGTAACGACGATACTGTTGTTATCAAACAGTTGTAGGATCTGAGGAGGCGCTGTGACTGTTCTTATTTAATGACGTCAGAAGAGAAAGAGGAAACGCACGCCAAGAATTTTTGCGTTACGTTTTCACGTAAAAAGATATATATCCGCAAGGTGACATTTTTCATCGGCAAATTTGTCAAATTGTAAGAATATTTTACTCGAACAATCGATAAATAGTCGTGAAGTTAAGGAAATGAGGAAATCATCAGGAAAGAGGTTAGAAAAGAATGTTTCGTGCCAAGTTAATCTTGCGACTATTTATTGATTGTTCGACGAGTGAAAGAAAAGTGTTCGTCCAATTTAACAAGTATGCCGAATCGAGTATCATAAGTATCATTTTGTTAATACATTCCAGTAAGCAAGAAATATTAAATCAATCTTCCGAAACATTGATTTTATGTGGATCTTATAAACATGTCGACACAATATTTTATAAATGTTTTTAAACCGTTACTTGATGATATAATGTTCCTAAATATTAAAATCATAGTGTAGAAATATTATTTACGGGTGAAATATTGTTGACGTGTAAGCATTACTGCATATTTGAAAACGTTACGTATATTCTAAAGTACCATTGTGATAACATTGTGTTAATGATTTCTTGCTTACTGGGATCTCTTTATCTGAAAGTATAACGCAAAAAATCTGGAAATAGATTTTCTTGCTTCATTAAACGAAGATAATTCCAGCGACCATTCGGGAAACTTAAAGCACCGATAAGATATGAAATGAATGTGTTCCTCTCCCCAGAGGGATGCCGGCAAGCAGGAGAAACAGCGGCGAGTGTACACGCACGACGAGTACATAGGCCTGGTGTTGCGCAGCGGACAGTTCATGACGCACGACTACAGTCACCAGTCGACCAGGGAGGACTCGCGCATGATGGCCTTCTTCGATTCTCTGGTGCAGCGTGAAATCGAAGGCTGGAGCTCCGAGGACGGGCCGACGGCGCCGCAAACCCCGAACGGCGAGCCCGAAATCAATCCGGTCACGGGACAACCGTACAGTGAATCGGACTTCGACGGTACGGCCTTTCAGTGATTAAAAGCAACTTGAATGCATTCGGCGTTATAATTTTTCACTGCCATTTCCTTCCGATTACTTTTGAGCCGTAAGTAGAAGAACAACTGTGATTGGTCATTTGCTTACGACTAAAACTTTCGCTCGTATTTTTCTCCCAAATTAACGCAACGTTACGTTTTGCAGCTGATTCCACAGCGTCAGAAGCCGGCGTGGCTCCCGAGAGGCCGCTGGGTTCTCCGAATCGCATAACTCGGCTCATCGCAGCCCGCAGAGAGAAGCTGATGCGATTGGCCGCGACGGATTGCGGCACGACGACGTGCAACAACTCGACGAACACGGCCGAGCGCTCGTGTTCCGCCAGCGAGGGGGACAGTGCGCGCGCCAAGTGCAGGTCCAAGTCAAGATCGAAGCTGAAAGGCGTCAAGAGGAAACACGCCAGGATATCCGGCAGGAGGAGCAGAGCGAGGAGAAAGTGTACCGTGTTGAAAATCAATAGTGACTCGGACAGTGACGACGAGCAACCCGTTGACGCGGCCCAGCCCAGCACGAGCTCCGGCGTGATATCGCGGCGATCGTCGCGATACGTCAGCAACGCGATCGAGAACGACGTCAAACACGCGAATTACAGCAGCAGCACCACCAGCAGCACCACTACCAGCAGCAGCAGCAGCAGCAGCAGCGGCGGCGGCGGCAGTAGCACAGGTAGCAGCAGCGCCGGCAGTAGCAGCAGTAGCAGCAGCAGCAGCAGCAGTAGTTCCGAGGACAACGACATCCCCGTGAAACGAAAACATTCTAAAACCGACTCGGACACGTCGGGCGCGAAGGCGCACCGGAGGAAGCATCGGGGCAAGTGTAAAAACAAATCCCGGAGCGAGAGCACCCCCGGCAAGAAGTCGAGCAAACGGGCGAGATTCGACGAGGACACGGAGGAGGAGTGGTTCGGCTGGAGGAACGGCGGCAAGGCTCGGGAGGACGGACCGTCCACGCCTACGAAGAAGCCCCTTCAGGCCCCTTGCTCCCCCGACAGCGGCATCAAATCGGGCGTGTCGACGGGGGAGAAGAGCAGCGGCGGGCAAACGCGCAAGGAACGGGACGCGGACAGTTCGGACCACGAGCAAAAGCTGAAGAGCTTCGAGTGTTTCCGCAAGAAGGTGGACGTGGCGAGGAGGAGCTACCGCAACCGGTCGTCCACTGCCGCCGTCGCGCCTCCGGCCCATCAAACGACGATCTCGACCACGTCCGAAACCACGACCGACTCTTCCGATTGAGCTGCCGAGCTCTCCTCCTCCTCGCAACTCTGCCACACACACACACACACTCAGCCCCTCCTTCCCCAATTTGTACATAATGTATCTGTGATTCCTTGAAGTATATTTTTATAACCACTAAGTTGGGTCACACGCGCGAACATGCGGTCGATCGTTTTTTTCTTTTTTTTTTTCTCCTACCTTGTTTTAGATCTTGTCTCGCCCGTACGTCTCCCCCTCCCCCGTATATCTCCTCCTACGTGCATGTACTGTGTTTCTCTCATCCCTCGTCGCGCGATCGTTCCTCCGGTGTTGTAAATTTCTTTCGTGACACACACACGGTCGGCAAATACGTTGCGTCGTAAGTAAGTCATCGGTCCGACCGGTCACAGGTACGGCTGGCGACTCGATCCCACCGGTCGCTGAGGGGAGAGGGGGGGTTAAGGTGAAACGACAAAATTACACGGTGTACCGCCCTCGTATATCTCTCTCTCGTCCCCCGATCGCCATTATTATCGGCTGTCAGCTTGATTAATCTAGAAGAGTTCGATTATTATTGCGCTGAGGACGGATCCTGTGTAATCGAGATCGTCGTCGAAACGTCACCGCGATGCGAAGAGGCTGAGATGAGGCGCCGCGCCAGCTTAAAACTTATCGCGAGAATGTGTATTGTTGATCATGTGGTTTGTGCGACGGAAAGTAATAAAGTAATAAATTAGTATACTATTTCTTTCCTATGCGTTGAACGTTGAGGAATTATTGTAACTATATATTACATTATTTAATTTTGCATTTATATACATCTTTATTAACTGATTACGAATAAATGAGAGAAAACGATGGGCAGACGAGATTCCTCTTTGGTTTTCTCTTGCTCCGCTCGCTCCCCGATCGTGCACGCGGGAGTTTCTTTCGTCTCCGACCTGATAAACGAAATGTTAGTCGGTGGTCACTAATTGGCGGCAAATTCGATTAGAATACCATGATATTGAATCTGCAGCCATATGTGACTACGTTTACACGGCAACCTGATTAGTGTAAAACCGATGGATGTGTGTGTGCGCGTTAAGATACTGCGACTATTAATGTTACATGTTATTATGGACGCAGCCAATGGAGGGGGGAGGAAGCCCACTCCTAAATTTTGGTAAGGAGAAACAAATTTATGAAAATTATAAAAAGTGACGAAATGTAACTGATACAATCTATATTCTACAGAAAAGCTCTACATGTTCTGTGATTAAAAACTAATGACCAAGTATCAGCAGTGTTTTATAAAAATGATTGCGATGAAAATTTCCCAATTTCGCTACCAGACGAGTTCCTTGGACGCATGTGCAAGGAGCACTATTGCAAGGTCTTTTGGTAGTTTGCGAGAGACAAAAACCTGCTTACGGTGTCAACAATCGCCTCAATGTACGTATTCTGAACTGACTTTTATCTATAAAAGTCCCATAAATGTGGCTTTTCAGCCAATCAAGTGGAGCCACTTTTAGAGGCACTTTTATCGATAGAAGTATACGGGAAAAAGGAAGAAGTATTGAGAAAGTTTATCGACGTGACTTTAATATGAGTACGCTAATAAGTTTTGCATCTCTCCTTCCCCCTTACCTCCAGAAATCCTGGCTTCACCCGTGCATGCCATACAGTATAGTTGTAACATAATTATTTATACATGTAACATCGATAGTGACAGTTATTATAGCGGAAATCATTCAACCGGCTTTATTCAGTTCACGTAAACGCGGATTACGCGGAATTTATTTAAATCGATTTCAGGTTGCTGTGTAAACATAATCCGCGGGTAGATTCTACCTACAAGGTCTACTGGCATGACAGCTTATTGGCGACGGAAACCAAGCAGGATCTGCAATATGTTCTCCAAATAGAGATGCGTGATAATCACGTTTCATCGCAACGTGGTTGTTCTGCTGATGACTTAATACCTTTCTAAAAATCATTACATGATTAACATGATGTATCGCAAAATCTGAACACAAACGATGTGAAAATATGCGTTCATGACGTGATTGCGATTAATGCTATTAGACGAGACATTTTTCTGGCATCATGACATGACCCAGCGGCGTATTATGCCCACGCATTTGTACGCATTTTTGAGATCATGTTACATCAACATAGCGCTACATGACATCACTTTGCTATCTGGGTTCCGTTTAAATATATTTAACTAAACGTAACAATTGTTCGTCGTTGAAACGAAACGGTAGTTTCTGCCGTCAATCTGTCGCACTAAGATGAAAGATTCGACAGAAATTTCGCTTGAGCAAACAACAGTTTTTCAACAAGCGCAACATTTTTTCCATACAATACAGACCTTCGAGAAACAAAGATATCCAAAGGAGGTCCTCAGCAAGCAAGAGACATTAATCTTCTAAAACATTGATTTTACGAACTGAATTTTACAAACATTTTGACATGATCTTTCGTTTTTGAGCTGTTACATTGATAGTATTATATTTTTTAATAGTAAAATTATATTGTAGAAACATTGTTTTTAATGTTTCGGTGAAATATTGTCAACAGTAACGTTCTATACAACATTAAGTACTGCTTAGTTGTAAAATATAATTGTAATAACGATTTCTTGCTTACTGGGGATGTCCCCAGGATAAAGGAAGTGTGCTTTTAGTCTATCGAATAAATTGCTATAACAAGCGATTTGTGTGCGTTCAGGACACAATATTCTTTCGAACAAAGGTGCGTCGTTGGATTTTGCCGCTCTTCTTCTCAGTACTCCGCCAGCAGGCGGAAATGTTTCTTTCTCTGTAATTACACAAATTTCGACCAATACATGATACGACGATCGCCACGTGCGATATTGAGACACACCACATCCTGTGGTCCCACCGCACTTTCCTCTCTTGTCGGGCGCGACTTCCCGGTGCGTCGCATTCGAGAGATATATCCTCAAGATGTTGGGCGCGTACTTGGTTTTTGCGCTGCTGATCCCGCGGCACGATCCATCGGCGTACAACATAGACCCGCGCAATGTCCGGGTGTTCGGCGATCCCGTGCCCGCGTCGCCGCAGCGACGCGGCAGTTACTTCGGCTTCTCCGTAGCTCTGTACGCGGGTGCGGGCGATCCCCTGCTGCTCGTGGGAGCACCGCGGGCCAACTCCACGGCGTTGCGCGGTGTCAACGAGCCGGGGACAGTTTTCAAGTGTACGATGAACGGCGAGTGCAAGGAATGGCTGGTGGACCGGTCCGTGAACGGTCTTCGGCCTGCCGACACAAGGATCCGCCAGGTCAAGGACAACGCGTGGATCGGCGCGAACATCGCCGTGGAGAGCAAGACGACGACGCCGAGAGTCGTGGTATCGATCATGTCAAAAAGATCCTATATATCATCTTATACAACGAACCCACAAAATACTGTTTACAAACATATTTCTGACAGCACACGATATCAATGATATCCTCTTTCATTCTTTTTTTCATTTCATCCAAATATCTCTTCTGTTTTTCATTCAATAGTATTTTTATTTCGTGTGGACATATATATATATATATAATTTTTTCCCCGAGTTTACAGAGCAGATTGGTAGACGGAAATAAAGCAGGATCTGTTTTACTTAAATACATTGAAATGGTGACAAAACAACAGAGATCCTGCTCGATTCCTGTCATCAATCTGATATCATACTCCAGCATAGCAGATTCTGTGCAATATCTGCTTCCGCTTGTTCGGGAGATGAAAATTTAGAAACAAAATATGAGATCTCCGTGTTACTGAGAACAATTGACTGTGAATAGAGTTTTCGTCCGGTTCGTCAGGCGACGGCGGAAAATTCACCAGTTACACCGACGAAATTGTTTCCTCCGTGTGTGTAAATCAGAGTTGTATCCAGAATGGAAGGTTTCCAAATTGCCTTGAGATTCTCTTCATAATACTTGTTTATTATTCAACGAACAATTTCGTCGAATAGGTTTGCGGACCGCTGTGGAAACTGACGGGCTATTTCCTAAGCGGTATTTGCTACGGAACTCTGGCTACCGGTGTCGAAGCGTTTGAGAAAGAAGCGGAGAAGTATTGGTTACCAACATTCGACGGTCCCAAACAGCGTGCGCTTAGAAAGGCAATAACCATCCCAAACTACGCGTACGCCGAGGTCGGCTTTTCCTTACACATGACTTCGCGGAATGACAGCGTGGATATCGTGCTGGGCAGTCCAGGCGTGAACATCTGGAAAGGCGACGCAATACTAATCACCGATGCATTCGAAAGCTCAATTTCGAACACGATAATCCCCAAAGTCGTCGAAGAGAGACAGATTGATTTTAACGATTATTTCGGTAATGTTACATTTCTTATCTCGTTGTATCCGTCCACGCTTACACGAAAAGCTGAAGGTATGAACAGCGAATGGAAATTTGGAAAATATGTACGCTATAACGAACGATTTGTTCGTAAAGTGGTTTATTAAAGAAAGCGTACGCTTTTATACACGTTACACATTCGCTTTTCATTCATTGTCGCGGAAAATGAATTTGGAAATTCCTTGCCTTTTACATGTTTCCCATGTGACAGTGGAGAATCATTTCGATTATCAATATGTAATCTTCAATTTTAACATTTAGAGGCAGGGGGAATCGACCAATCACACTCGATTATTTTCCTTACGGTCAATCGACTGTGATTGGTCATTTTTTTCACTTCTTAAGAATTTCTATGCGTTACGGCCCTATGTACATGTAAGAAATGATTCGTAAAGTGCGCAAATTTCGAATGCATTTCACTACAAATGTTAGATATAAAAGATATTAAGTACTTTTTAAGACATTTAAGGAAATTCTGAGCAAAGTTCAAAATTCCTTTTTCATATCTTTCCACTTTTTCTCCGAGCAACTTAAATTTCCATGACTTTTCTCTGTTTTCCAGATCTGTGGCATCCTGATTATTCGTTCACTCAGTGTACGCCCATTTTAATATAAAAATTGTATAAAAGAAAAAAGAATTTACGCAACATCTCCTTCAACGACCGAAGGAACCTTTATCTATGTGTCCGCATGGCGGTTTTTGCAGGATACGCTGTAACATCAGGTGCTTATTTCAAACGGGGGAAGATTCTGTACGCGTCCAGCGTAACGAGAGGCGCTAATTTGCGCGGAAAGGTCCTCGTTTTCACCTTTCCCCCGAGGAGTATCCAACACATGGGGATAGAAACAAGGGTAGAAGGCGAACAAATCGGGGAGTACTTTGGCACCGCTCTAACGTCATGCGACATGAACAACGACGGCAGGGACGAATTGATCGTCGGCGCACCGCAATGGGCCAAAGACGTGGACGAAGGCCGCGTCTACGTTTTCTCAGCGCAACACAGAGTACGCATCTCACTCGGGCCCGTATTAATAGTCGTTGGAAATCTGTCTCTCGACATATATTTGCAAGCGTGATTCAGTCGGAAAATCCACAACTACAGGTGCCTCTTCGTGCTGACTCCCGACGCTCCGACCTTAAGCGTCAAAATAGGTCACGTGATCCAAATTGTCGCTGGAAAACGCATGAAAAGAATGTAGCGGCGTTGAACGTTACACAACGTCAGTTCCGCGTAATTTCTTTCTAGGAATTGTCATTCCGAACTTTATAATATTATATATGTATATAATAATTAAAAGACTGTATATAGAGAAAATAATGGAACATAATATAAAACATTTGAATATTCAAATTGGCGGTTCATATAACGTAACGTTAAAACTGAGTAAAACCCAACTTGTTTTTTGACGCTAACGTCAGAGCAAAACCTATGTCATAGCTACGTTTAATGCTACAAAAAGTAAGTTCTCATGAATTGGCACCTTAATTCTAAAGTAGCCCGTACTAGTAGTCGTTACTTGAAGTTTGTTTCACGTGAGATACTTTGATTGAATTTTGAAGTTAAATTTGAGGTTTTCAATTGAATAATATATGTGACATTATTCCTGTAATCGTGATTCACCTGGAAAACTCACATTTAATTCTAAATTCCGAACCTGTGCATCTGAGGCAAATTTCCACTAAAGACTATTAATACGAGTCCAAGTTCTAATCTGAGTACCTCAACTGAGGCAAGTATACGGGAGGCCTTACACACCGACACGAGAATAAGCAGGGAGTCGCGCAGATCTACCGAGAGAAATACCTTGACGTTCTGATGAAATAAAATAGTGGAATCGCTTCTATATATATATTATTTATTATATAAATAAATGTTAAGGTAAAAGTCTGGGCATGTACTTAACTGTGGGTATTCTTGTTATTTTGATCCTCAAATACGTTTCATTTTTAAACATAAAATATTTATATATATTATTTAATATATATACGTATATTCTATGTTGAAAATTTGAATATTCATATTTAAAGAGCAAAACAATGTGTCGCATTTAGAGCACTTTTACCTTAGTATCCAGCAAATATTATTTTTTAGATACTTTTTCTCCCCTACACTTCCGGAGCATTTCACGAGGAAATTTTCGCGAAACAAAAAAGGCACGGCAAGCTATTCGATAGAGTCCGGTGATACTAAAACCCATAACGTCATGCTTTGAAGGCGGAGAGGAATTTCAAGTTGCTGAGCAAGATCGAGGGCGAGATCGCCGGCGGTAGATTCGGCTCCGCCTTGATGTGCCTGGGCGACATCGATTACGACGGCTACGATGACATCGCCGTAGGCGCGCCGTACGAGGAGGAGAGCGGCGGCGCGGTGTACATATACAACGGGCACGTGGACGGCGTCTCCAGGAGATACAGCCAGAGGCTGGTCGGCTCGCGTTACTCGCCGCTGATGCGCGGCTTCGGCATCTCCATCTCGGAACCCCGTGACGTGGACGGCGACAGGTATCCCGACGTCGCGGTGGGCGCCTATTTGTCCGAGAAGGCCGTTCTGCTGAGAGCCGTGCCAGTCGTCACGTTGAACGTGACGCTGGCGCGCCTGCAAAAGATCCGACTGTTGAGAAACACGACGTCCTTCGTGATCGACATGCACGTGTACTATGAGGGTGCATACGTACCGGAGAGCCTGCGTGAGTACAGCACGAAATTTGTCTTACACAATTACGTAAAAACGTCTGTGAGGAGAGTTTTTTTCCGCGACATATCGGCCAGTTATTCAACTTCTGGCGACATCCTTCGTTCATTTCTTCAGAGAGCTTTAATCCAAAACGTTTCACCGCATCGGATACTCACTTGAGCTCGTCGTTTCAGGAATCGTGAAGGTCCTGAAGATCGATCAAACGCACGGCAGGGCCGCATATCGTGAGCAGAGGAGTAACGACGGAACCTACAGGATACCGGACACGCTCTACAAGAATAACAGCTCGCGTAGTCAGCTCGAGATCAATTTTATGGTGCGCGAACGTCTGCGACAAAATCAGTGATCAGCGTAATCACATTCATATATTTCAGGAAGAAATACGAAACTTACTGGATCCGCTCGAGATATTCGTGTCGGTGGAGCTGGAAGACGACCTTTCTAACGAGAGCAAGAAGAGAGACGCACTGAGCACGTCCCACGTCGCGATAAACAAATTACGATCGAGAACCGAAGACCTCGTGAAGCTGCCGTTCGCCGTCGACTGCGGCGAGGATGAGATATGCGTGTCCGATCTCAACGTGACGTTGACGTTCACCGACTTGAAGTCGAACAACAGGCACGTTATTGGCTCCTCGTCGACGATCTCGCTGCGCGTCGACATTTACAATCGCGGCGAGCCGGCGTATCAAAGCAAAGTGCACATCTCCATCGAGACGCTGTCGCTAGCGAGTATCCCGCCCGAGTGCACGGAGGACTCGCATACGAGCAACTTCCTCGACGTGGTATGCGAGATCGGCAACCCTCTGAGAACGAATGTGCGTGATGATTCTTTCTATGTGCTCATTTACGGGGAAAAAGCAGCGTCGTCGTGATTGAATATTCTTGAAGTCAACATATCGTCGTTTCGTACAAAATTAATTCGATATTAATTTTCTTAATGAAGTTAGTCTAACTTGGTTAAAAATCAACTTGTCCGCCGACCCTGCTCAAATATTAGTTTCGACGATAATAATGCTATTGAGAGATTCAAGAGGATCTATTACGAGACGCTGATTGACGCGGCATTTCTCTCTCGTAGAACGGCTGAAAGAGGATTCGTTTTGTTGCAGAGAACGTTATCGCTGCAGCTGGACACGAGCATGGTGACGTACGACGTCAAGAAGGCGGTGATACGGGCGAATGTGAGCACTCACAGCAACGAGTCGACGCTGAGTGACAACCATCACGTGACCACCGTGTATTTCGACGTGGACATGGACGTAGCGATCGTCGGGTTGGTATAGGTTGTTCGGATAAAAGTTCCTTTCATATCGTGTAAGTTCAGGACGCGATATTTCACTCAAAGAGTAATTTTATCGAAGCAAATGACCTATTTCTCGCACGATGTCCTTGGAACAAAAGTTTCTTGCGCGTCGATCGAGATGAATTTTGAGGGCTTTCGAACAACCCGAATTTTTCGTCCCGAAGAAAATGTTTCAACGAGGGAAATGGTGCGGGAGAATGAACGTCCCATTCCATTCCGTAGCTTCTTATCGCGACATGAGGTCCGGCGTTATCATGATGGAAAAACAATTCATAGCGCTTCCGGCAACCTTCGGTTCATTCAGCTGAGGAATACACCACGCCCTTAAAATCTTATCGAGGTAAGGAACCTTCTTCGGGCGAAGCGCCGAGCTGTCCGGTGAATGACAGAGGATATCTCATTGAGAATCTGCCACGTATCGTCAAAAATGGACGAAATGGTTGCACTTCCCGCGAGGTTCCATCACGGCGGACTCACAAATCGTCGTTCTCGCTCTCACTGAGCATCAACGCGTGAAATTTGAAAACGGACTTTCCTGATATTCCGTCGTACTTCTTAGTGCTCTCATCTCGCTCGTTCTCGTTGCTCAGGAAAGCGCTGGTGAGTTCGTACTCGTACACGAACGAGAAGACGCCGCTCGAGAACGTCAGGTTCCAGCACTTCTACGAGATTCAGAGATTCGGCATCAGTCCGATCGAGAAGGTCGGCCTGACCGTGAGGATCCCGACGCACTGGCGACACGGCAGCGGAGATATCGCGGTCGCCGCTATCAACAACACCGTCGGCGTGATCGACGGATCGCCGTTTCAGTGCGGCGATACGATCGAAGGACTCCCGTTCGCGGCACTCGACTCGACGCGCGTCAACACGGACAACGCCGGCAAGAACGCATCAATGAACGTGCCGTCTGCGAACAGAACGTTGTACATTAATTGCACGAACGACGCGGTGCGGTGCGAGCAGATCACTTGCTACGTCGGCCCGTTTCCGAGCACGCTGTCCGTTGCCAAGCTGCTGGTAACGCTCGACCTGCAAATCGCGGACTTTCACGGCAAGTAAAACCGGCTTGAAGAAAAAAAAAAAACGGCCAGTGTTTACATTTTTCTACCGACCGCACATTGCTCACTTTATGAAGACATCCTTTTCAGGGATGATTCTTCATACTTTTATTTACATATTACACGAAGCCCGTTACAAGAAGTTGATATATGATCGAAATATCTCGGGAACTATTGATTTCTGTAGTTTTGCACGGATCTTCTCGATAAAATTATTTAGTCTTTGCCGTAGGACTTTATTTTATACCTACTATAGTTTTTTTTTTTTTTTACCAACGAAGAGAGGAAAAATTTTGTGGCAAAAAATCGAAGTTTGAACTCCGAGTGTTAAAAACTTTGTCAAAAATTAATAAAAATCGGTATTAAAAATAGATATTTTGAGTACCGATTGACGAACTTTACGGAAGTAATAATAACATATAACGGGCTTCATAATGGGGGCCTTCCAAAAGGACATCTTCGCAAAGTCAATAATGTGATGAGCGGAATAATTCAAAACATTGGACTTTCTTGAGCTGCTCGGATGTATGTAGGCCCTTTAGGGCAATACGTAGAAGAAGGATAAGAGAAGACACAGGAGAGTGAGAATACGGTTCGCGTATATTACCTTTATTCTCAAATGTGCAGCCACTTTGATGAAGGACAAAGACATCGTGTTTCTCGTGACTGAGGGTGAGGTTACCATAACGCAGCCGTGCAACATCAGCCAAAGGAACGGTCATAAGCCGGACGTCGCTTTCGTCGCTACAACGTTTCTGGGCTCGCCGGTAGCCGAGCGAATTGCCGCGTGGATATTAGCACTTTCGATAGCGCTAGGGATTATACTGCTGATACTGCTAATACTGGGTTTGATAAAGATCGGCTTCTTTAACAGAAAGCAGAAGATGGAGCTCGAAGCATTGAAAGCCGCAACTGACGTATGTTCAGCGTTCTCGCAATGTTCCGTAAATGAAAGTTTCGACCATTAACATTACCCGCTAAACTGTAATTTGCGTTTCAGACAGAGTATAACGTGGTACTGGAAACGACGGCTTCGACAGAAGCTCTTGACCACGATCAGACGAATACGTAGCACGATAATCTCACACTTGACGTAAAATGATTTTAAAAAAAAATCCACTCGAGATATACATATAGATATATATTTTTTTCTCAATATAAATAACCGTAATAAATAATATCCGAGCATCATCTGTAATTAAAATATATAAGGCATATATGTATCTCTCTCTCTTTCTGTCTAAGGCCGCATTCTCATGTAAAATAAAACATTTTTATAAAAATATATAATAAATCTCAAAAAACATCTCAATATCGTCGCTATAACTCTTGATTGTAATCATCCGTTTCATGGAAGGCTTTGTGAAAAGCGGAGTGTAGTCGATTCTCTGGCTCTTATCTAAGATATGCAACAACCTTTAAAATCCTTAAAAAGCACTTTTTAGACCGAGCTTAATTCTACTAAAATATCAACCGTATAACATTACATTTTTACGAAACTCATACGTATAATTTCCGAGAGAATTCTCCCGCAGAGCTGCGTCTCGAGCAACCGCTGATTATGACTTAAAATCTGCTACCGTCGAGAGATAAACAAGTGCGTTTCGCGATGTTTCTGATAAACGTGATTTTTAATGTGGGCTTCGCTCCGAAACAACTAGAGAGCATAGTATCGTCGCTCGGCGTGTACTTGCGGGATCCGCGTTCTCGGTGTTCGTTTAATCCTCCAGTCCGAGTCCCTTCGAGATCTCGTCCGCGGTTAACTTATGCCCGCCGGAAGATGCCGGGGTGCTCGGGGCCGCTGGTTTTGGCGGTTCGTAACTCGGAGGCGGCGGCCCGGGACGATATTCGTCGTGAGATTTCTACGTGAGGAAAAGTTCGCGAAATGTCATTACCGAGAGCCGGGAACTTTTCTCCAAATTGCACACGTTTCTCGAGTCAAAAGTAAAGATGTTGCGATATCATGCAAGTGTCGATACTAATATTGAAACGGGTATCTAATAAAGAGTATCGATATCATTAGTGATATCGGTGTAAGAATAAAAATATCGATCTTTGAACAAAAATTAACTTAAAAAAACTTAAACTTGAAAAAATTTAAAATTTAAAAAAATATCATGATCAGGACAGTGTTTATCTTTTAAACTACTCTTGAGGATTTCGTGCGCCTGCGCCCGTAATAATTTTACTATGATGTAAAGATATTTCCACTTTCTGCACTGGACATTTTACTCTTTGTGATCTAGAAATCTTAGAAAGGCTCCTGTGTCTTCGCTACGACTGTCCTTGTTTGATGACGTCAGAAAGAACGAAAAATTCGCGCGGCAGAAATTATTACGATACACATGGAGATAAAATAATTAAAATGGCATTCGTGGCAACAAAACAACATAATTTTGAAATATGAAACAAAAATACACGAGATATCTTGAAGATTGACCGAGTAAAAAATTGAAAAAAAAAACTCGAAATAAAATGAATAAGAATATCGCAAGAAAAATGTCGATAACCAGTGTTATATCGGTAGTTTCACAACATTTTCCTAGTAGTGAAAAAGTAGAAGTCGATTCGCTTACCTCTTTTCCACGTTTGTTCAGACCATCCAAGGCCGAGCTGAACAAGGAGGAACCGATCGCGGATCCGATGTCCGATATGAGATTCTGTCCGCCTGAACCTTGGCCACCGTATCCACCGGATGATGGGTAACCACCGTATCCTCCCGAAGGTTGATACGCTGGTTGTTGCTGATGACCACCGCCGCCGCCGAGAACACCGCCGAGTATAGATCCGATCGTTCCTCCCAGGCTGTCGCCACCGGGTGGCTGGTTGGGAGCATACGCCGGCGGTTGAGGTGCTCCACCGCCTCCGGTACCACCTGTACGCAAAAGAGCAGACGTCGTAAATCGAGAGAGAGAGAGAGAGAGAGAGAGAGAGAGAGAGAGAGAGAGTAAATTGCTCTCATCCTAATTATCGGGAATGTATCTCAGATGATCATCTGCTGCCATTCGTCTGAGAAACACTCCCGTCCTTGGCGATAATTCCAACGCGATGATGTCACCCGGCTAGTCACGCCGGCGTTTGATCACAGATATTATCCCCACTTGCGTTCGTTTTGATTCGGATCGTTGCGTCGTGTCGCAAATATATAACGCATAATAACCGATCATATCGCACAGCATTTTTGAGACACAAGTTATAAATATATCGCACCCAATGCCCCGAGAATAGATCCCAATACACCTCCGCCACCGGACTCTTGAGCGGGATAGCCTTGCTGTGTGTGCGTGTTGCTGTGCATGGCGTTGCTTGCCAGGCTGCTAGCCAGGGCTAACCCAAGAGAGCCCAGATTTCCCAAGCCGCCCTCGCTCTCCGACTTGGAGGCGTCCGATTTCTCATGGTCCTTTTCATCAGTCCCCTCCTCCTTCTTCTTCTGCAAATGATAGTATGTATTTGAGAATTGCGTCGTAAATGCCGCTGAGTTTCAATCGATCTTTACATTCATCGCGTGCATAGCTGCGGCCACTCCTCCGGCTGCCACTAATCCCCCCAACGCTAATCCAACTTTGTTCAAGCAGCCTCCGAAAGCATCTTCCTCCTCTGGTTTCTCGTAACCAGGCTGGTATCCGTAAGATCTCGGCGGATTATAGCCATCAGGACCGCCGTAGGCACTGGGCGGGGGACCGGCGGGGGGAAGACCATATCCACCTTGAGGTCCTAATGTCGGGTACAATCCACCTGGTGCTGGAGTCAGAGAAATAGGTGATTCACATCAGCATGTTCCGTTTCACATAAGACTCAATTATTCTTTATATTGTTAATTATATTTAGAAAATAAGTGGTTCCTCACGTGGCGGCCCGAAGTTAGCAGCCGGTACATCCGGTGCTGCAGCAGGAGACTTCGACGAATCCAGTTGTATCTGTTCATAAGAGATCGAGTGTATCTCCACATCACCGTCGATCACCAAGTGAGTAACTTTTATGAACGGCAAACGATGAGCGAACTCAGTAAAGTGCTTGCCGTTTATGGCTATCTTGAAGCAGTGGTAATCGCACAGGATCAACATCTCAAACTCTTGGCCCGGCTGGATCCACAGTGGGCCAGCGTTCTCCTCCATGCCCCAGCTCATCGATTCTATATGATTTCGGGTGATGATGCCTTCGGGAAAGCGCGGGGACACGTGAATGGCTATGTCGTCCCTTGGATTCAACGTCGGCCCGAGCTGATAATTGACGGCGAATCTAACAGCATCGGGAGGCACTTTACCCTGTATCTTCAGCATCGTACCTGCTCTCAGGCCTCCCTCTACCTCTCCCACATACGGGATTGTCTGCCGCAAAAATTCGATTTCATGAGGAAATTGCCAAAATAATGTTATATATAAATCTTAAAAATAACAGAGGGGATTCTATTTTGTGCGTGGTACAATTTTCTAGACGTTAATTGCATTCAATCAAGCACGAACCTTCTACATCAACAAGATCGAATGTACGACGGAATTAGCGTAGATAAATTTCTTATACCTTGGTGGAATAAAATACATTCGAATATGTGGATTTAACAGATAATTGCGAGCAAGTCTGTGTGCTACGGATTCATCAAACTGGGTTTGCTCCGAAATTCCGCAAGACCATCGGCAATGCGGATGCCGTTGCGGTGATCAATGAAAATCCCATTAACGCGTGTAGCAGTCGACGAGTACTTACCGGATTTGTTACCGGAGCATTGGCCATTTTCGCGTCTCAGCAAGCCGACCTGATCTCGACGCGAGGAGTGTCGTTCGGAGAACCTAAGCCGCGAACGATTCAGCTGCTGCTGCGCACATCAAAGCCGACCCGGAGCGTTTCCAGCACTTCTATTTACAGTGCTGACGTTTACCGAGCATGAAGTATGCGCGCACAGCCTGGCAGGGATGTGACGTAACGTCCACTGCGTAATCTATCGCGCCGCTACGTCACGCCCGCGAGCCGCGCAATTGGACGCGAGCAACGACCAATCCGGGTGGATCCTGTAGAAGATAACTAGGAGGGTACATGCAATCGACGGGCAGATCGTGACGTTGATGTTGCGCGCGAATCCACCAGAGTGAGCGCGCTCGTCAAGCTGTTGTTTCGTCCGTATCGGATACTTCTGCGGTTTTAAGAAGTGAAGGAATAAAGCGACAGAGAACTGACAAGAGTCAATCCGGGGTAAGACTCGACCGAAATTAGAACATGAAAAGGAATTAAGGTTAATAATTTAAATAAAGTGTGAATTTTTTATACCATGTACTTCAAATGCTGCGTTCAAGTAGTACGCTATTAGAGTACTATTCTATCCTTGTTTTACGTCTACGATAATTGCGTGAGCGATGAAGATAGAATAACGAAGAAATTTTGATAGTGCATTCCCCGAATGCAGAAATCTAAAATTGGAATGTAAGTCGTCTTTAAGATGTCATTTAAAGATATTTTACAGACGTCTTATTTAGAGACGACTTTAAGATCTCTGTCTCAAAGACGTCTTATGTCCTGGGTTTTTGTGCGGCCTGAGTAGACAAGATGGCTGTCCGATTGCTACGTTCCCTTTGGGCGCTGTAAATATCATTTTATGTTTCTTTAACATGCAATGAAGAAGAGAATGACGCTTATAGATGATGCGTCCAGAGAAAACTCGGTAAACAAGAAATCATTGATACGTCATTATAATGATATTTTATAACGTGTGACAATACGTCATTGTTGATACAATATTTGATCCAAATATTAAAAATAATATATTTCTATACCATGATTGTAATATTTGGGAATATTACTATTACCAAGTAACGGTCTAAAAATATTTATAAAATATTATGTCAAATTTATAAAATTCGCAGTATTTTAAAAGATTGATTTAACATTTCTTGTTTATGGGGATGTTTATATGAAATCGGATGCTCGATGCTCTGAGAGAAATGATATATGCTAGTAAATTACAAGTATCGTTTACAATAGAAATAAATCTTGTTTATTTGTCCAGTAAAGCGTCCTTCATCCGATTTCGGAAGCCGACCGAATTTCACCATAGATCACCTTTACTTTTGACGTTCATTCGGACCATCTCAAAGGATTCAATGTAAAGGAAATGCGGATTTCCAAGAGCACGAAGTCTCCAGAGACGATCGACGGTAAGATTACGTGATTAATCGGGACTATGGTGCGAGTGCGTGCGCCATCGCGCCTACGTTCATTTTCGTCTATTCACTGTTTAATACCGGACGAAATTAAATAAACCCAGCCGGACGGGATGAAACAGTGCAGCGCCGTGGAGAGTCAGTTTTCTCGACGTGGGAAAATAAATAGACGCGGATGGGACGATGAATAACGCGCAGGCGTGCCTTTGAAACAATAAAACGCGAAAGGGAAATTATATACAACGAGCTATCCGGCGAGCAGTGGAACGTTTCGACGAAACCTCACTTCGTCGGAACGACTTTTAATCCGAAGACATGGATTTTCTCGTTAATAATTTCCAGGTGCATTTCCATCCAAGGAAACTCATGTGAATTCATATGGTATTTTAAAGATCCATATAGGAATACGCGTGGTGTATGAAAATTCATATCCACGGGAAAGAGGGAATTAACTGACCATGTAATGTAATTTAGAGACCTAGCTGTGAAAACTAAAAACTGAGTACAGGGACAAAAAGAATTAGCTAAATTAATTAAATCTCAGTTGTATTATATGAACAGCTAATTTCTCAGATAGCACGATGAACTCTTCAGGTGTTCCTAAAGTTTTCTCCTTTCCTGAATTGTATTTCTTTAGGAATTCATAGAGAAAAAATTTATTTGGACACTAGAAAGATTTGTTAAGAATATTAATTGCTATTTACCGGATATATGGACAGCAAAATAATATGGTTATGCTAAGTTTTGTTACAACGGCAAAATTATCTTCTCCATGCAACAAACTTTTTTGCTACCACTGTAATTTGCTATTCCAGCAAAACTTGTTTTCTCCGTGTATATGTGTTATATATATCTAAGTTTTTGGCGCAAATCTTCAGGAGCAACCATAGGATTCCGTATGAATTTCTTATACGGATTCCCACCTGGTTCTTCCAACAGGATTGTGTTTTCTCTCTCTTTTCTCCTCATACTCGACTACTCTATTACAGGACGCCACATTTTTGATTATTGTCAATGGACATACTACAGGGTGTGTCAGAATAAAAGGTATCTGGAGCGTGGTAGGGCTGGGCGCTGGCGCACCCATGATAAGTACACTTCGCTTCAATCAATCATCGTCATCATATATTCGATTCACGCGCATCGGCGATTCGGTGATCGCTCTTCTTATGGCTCTACCACGCCGATGCGTCGTGGACTGAATTAATTGCGTAGCGTTCGACGATAATCCTCGAATTCTTATCGGGACAACGCACAATGACGAGACAATTAATATTTTCGTAATGGACTATCGGACGCGCTATCGAGAGAATAACTATTATTGCTTAACCGTGTCGAGAGACTGAAGATGCGGGTGACCGGAAAATCGACCGTTGAAAAACCCAGAAAAATTCTTTAGCTTAGAGCGTCCTTACCGGCGCCACTGCTGGCAGGACTTCCAGATCAATAATAAGGACTTTCGGCCGACACGCAATCGAACAAAATCCGCCCGAACGAACGCATTGGCGCGAATGTGAGACTGCGTCCTCTCGATTCTGTTTTCGAACGTAGTAATACGGAGTGTTTTATGCAATACTCGATCTTAAATTTGACAACCCAAACTCTTCAAATCATACAGAGTCATCTATTTTATCTTCGTTAATATCTTTCTTTGATACAGTGTCAATTTTTTTGTTTCAAACCTTCGATTAATCTGCAAATTGAAACTTATTTGCGCGAAGATGCACAATGCTGAAGATTATAGTTACAAATTTGAGCGGCATTTGCGGCTATCTAAATCTGTCGAATCTACCGTCGAAATTAAGGTCGTGTTACGAAATACTCGGCGCATGTCGATGAATGTCACGACACTGGGAAAACATCGCGGGGTCGGAACTTTATGTATGAAAACTTGGTTAGACACGACCTTAACCGGAGAGAGAATCAATAGCTAAAATAATAGGAGCGATACCACGAAACTGTCGCCGCAACATCAATCTTCTCTTTAACGAATCTCTCTCTCTCTCTCTCTCTACGTTAACCTATTTCACTTCGCAAATAAGTTTCGAAATTTCATCTATCGGAGTTCACCTGCACAAACAAACGCCTAACAGCGAATAATACAATTTCAGTACCGAGAATATCCGCTAGAATTTGTCCAAAGGCGAGAGAAAGAGGGTACCCTCGTACGCGAAAACATTTCTTTCTATCTTTCATCATTTTGAGGATATTTGTATATCTTTCAGACACTATTTGATTTAATTGGATCAATCGGCTTAGATTCTTTTTATTTCCCGCGAAACGTTTCGCTCAAAAATAAGTTGTAACAAGTGCCGGCTATTGTGTAAAGGCGGCCTGCTGAGCAAAAGATTCCATAAGTAATCATTAGAATTCGCCATCTAATAGCGGAGATACTAAGAAGGGCTTTATATATCCACAAGGGCTGTAATATTATCTTCTCCTCTAGTAGATTTTTATTGTCTATCTTTCCTTGGTTAAATAACCTGTGTAAATATAAAGTTCATCTTTTTAAAGGATTGTTTCACCCTCTCAACCAGCGATCGAGGAGAAGAGTTGTTAAAATAATCTTCAACAGTTCCGTGCGATTTCACGGAAAAGTACCCGTTATAACGAGACGAAGAAAGGCACCATGCCGCAGGAACGATGCTCGGTGTCCTCGCTCTTCTCCCGTTTCTTTTCATCCTCAGGATTGGAGCGAAACAAGGAGTCCCGTCGGGATCAATAGCGTACGTGAGAGGACCCTTCTTCGCCGAGCCTTCAAAGCTTCCTTACGCGTTCACCTTCATAAAACGACGCGCACGCACATCCCCGTAAGGGCCAGGTGAGTCGCGCAGGTACGTGTAATGTGAATATCACGCGCATGTAGTTGTGTGTCGGCGAGTATTTTACGCCACCCAGTGGTATTCGCTGTATTTGTAAGTAAGCGTGGCCAACGGCTGAATGGGAAAGGTGGGTACGCATGTGCGTGAGCACATCGTGATGCGACAAATCGTGTTGGACAATGTGAGGCGATCGTTCGCGTCGCGATTTTCCCTCTCACATTCGTTTCATACGCATCATTCTTCGCGATCAAGTGGATCTGTTGTATTTATATACGTTTTTTTTTTGCGACAAAATGGTTATTACGCTGTCAGAAGTTAGAAATGCACACCGGAGCACAATTGAGCCGAACTTAGGATTAAACGAACATTTTAATAAAATAACGGTGTCGTTATCTCTCTCTCTCTCTCTCTCTCGTGTTCGCGAGTTCACGAGTCGAACATTTGCAACACAAGACGACCGGCTTCCTCGTTTACGTTTCGCGTACGCACAATGAGAGTCGCTATTTCGGTAGCACCGTTCGTGCTCTCTCTTTCGGCGCAAATCATTCCGCGGACCTGTGCCATAACCGTAACCTAATGGACTCTTGTAACACACGGAGACGCTCAAATCACAGTCCGGCCGATTCGCTATTTTATGAGGCAAGCAAATAGCGTCTTGCTGACACGAACGAGACAGCGCGCAGGTGAGAAGCAAAATAACAGAGAACCGTGCATTCTCAAATTAGAATGCACATAATTTCCACTCTTACCAGGTGAGGCAGAAAATCGCATAATTCCCCATCTAGGGAATTGCAGACATGACGCCGGCCGTTATCACATTAAATGCGTGAACGGGGAATTGAGAGAGAGAGAGAGAGCACAAGTGTGATTTCGCTAATATTTCAAATATCAATAACAACATTATGAGAGTAACTGTGTGCGACATATTCTTCAGTGTCAGCTGTAGCGCGTGGTGTAATCAGAGAGGTAGCGGCGGTGCGGCGGGCATCCGAAGGTGGTGTGCGGTGGAGCGGTTTAAATAGTGTTTTCAGCCCTCGACCCGCAGTTCAACGCGGCCCGCAGCCTTCGACGGTCGTCCGTCCGTCGCGCTTTTCCGCCGCCGTTCGCGATTTTCGCGCTACGTGCGCGCTGCATTCGCGTCTGTCTTCGCACGCACTCCTCGGCGATTCGCCTCGGCAACGAAGTGAAAAAAAAATAGATTCAAAAGGAGAGGAAGATTTAAGGAAAGATTCGGAAACACAGTGTGAAAAAAAGTGAGATCGTCGCTTCTCACGAGCTGGACTTCGCGAGCGATCGAGCGAATTGTACGAATGGATTGTACGTTCGAATTCGTCGAGGTGCATCCGAAGAGTGACGTCCCGGAGCGATGCAACGTGGCTGTCGGAGCTGTTAGAGCTCCCGCGGAAAATCGCACGGTGAAATGCTGGTGAGAGACTGCCGGTTCGCTCGTCCAACGCGGGCAATTTGTCGCTCGGTTATCGGTGCTCGGTTTATTTTTACTACGGGTCGAAAGAAAGGACAATGATAAGGCGATATGTTTTCACTCGTCATTTCGACCGTACGACCGTAACGATAATCGCGCGACTTCTTGATCGTTCAAGGCTGTAATTCCAGAATTGTAAGACTCGTAACTTATTTCCGTGAGACTCGTAAGAATTTACAGTCGGAACTGTAATTTCATGCGTGTCGTAAAATGTGATCACTCGTAAATATTTATGATTTCTCGTACAGCTGGCGAGAAACTGTCTCTAAGTTATAAGTATTATGGAAAATCTCTCGGTAACTGTCAGAAAATATGAATAAAAAATATTAGAAATTGCACATGAAACTTAATAAGTAGTACATACTGTTTAGAGTAATCGGAACACTTGAATCTGCAAAAATAAGTCGATGATCGCGCAATTCTATACATTTAAATTTAAAGTTTCTAAACTATTTAAAGTTATATATCTGTATTACTCATCATTATATATTCATGGTTACAATAAATGACTAATTTCAGATATATGTATATTAAAAAATTATAAAGTGACTTCCAACACGAGTGCTTTTAGACTTTTTATACATTTTACACTGTTTACTGTTTCGCCAACATGTTCCCGTTAATTCCACGGCTGTCTCATGCGTTCTTAATTCTTGATACGATGTTATGAGGGTAATTACTTTTTTTTTCTTCGAATTATTACGCAGAGGATCGCACGCACGATTGATTACGCGAGCGGTTACTTGTTCGCTGGGTTCCATTAAAACTAGCAGACGGCACTTTCAACGCACCTTTGTCTAATCTCGATACCGTGGCACTTAGAAACTTATCACTTCCTGACATTCGTCGTGCTGTCCCTTAAATAACACCGCGACGTAATTTCTAAAAGTGAGCAAAACACATCCTCCACCTCGTCGACGCTCGTCAAATGCCCTTAATTACGTTTAGCGCCGTTCCGAGCACTCTTCGGGCCCGACTTTCACGCGCGACGAAATAAAGACGGCTCGAAAGTAGCAGCAGCAGCTCGGTAAACGACGACAGGAAAAGATGTCGGGATGCCACCTTGATCTCAGAGGGCAAGACGTTCGCGTTTCGCACCGCCCGCCCTTAATTGGCTCTAATTAATGACCACCGTCATCAAGCTTGTGACTCACGACTCGCGTGCAACTCGAGTAGAATTCTAGCATTATCGCCCTTTTATACGTCGTACCGCGCGTTCGTACGGATACTCGCTATTTACTGTTCCGAAGATCTTTGTGTTTTTCTGAAAACACGACTCTCGAAAAGTTACACCTCGGTGAAATAAAACTTTTTCCGTGAGGAAATTATTCTTTATTTAAATTCTTTTCAAGGAAACTGTGTGAGAGAGTAAAAGCGATAAATTACATAAGTTTTTTCAAAGAATTACCATTCAATGTATATTATAGTATATAATAATATAACATGCGTAGTGTAAGAGCCTTTGTTAATCCAACACTATTTACCTCTTATTGTTTTACCGTATAATAAGATGTATAAAACACAATTATCATTCTAAGATGTTTCTACAATTTTTTCGCTCTTACATTTAATTATGTATATCTTTAACTTCAAATGTCTTAGATAAAAGAGCGTCGCTATTTTTTTCAGGAATCAATCCTCTATAACATATGTCAAAGTCAAGGTTACTCGTGCTGTGTAAGTTTTTCTAAGGATTTATCCAAAACACACGTAACAGAATTATATATATATATATATATATATATATTATATATATATTTGTCTAGTAAATGTTTTCTAAAAATAAATTTTGATATTCTCAATATTACTACTAGTTTCAAAACATATAAGTAAACGTCTCCACTTATAAACAGGAAAAATAATATATAGTCAATTACATTTCTACTTCTAGTACATATTTGCCAAGCAATATTGGAGTAACCATTTTACTCAATCAAATAATTAGTATATTATTTGAACGGTAGCACTTTTTTATCAATGCGCATATCGCTATCGCCGTTTCAGTAATTGAGACCGGAAGTAAAACTGTAATTTATCTCAGCGTACTGACTTCTCGACTGTCGGAGAATTGTTAATTCACGATGAGGCGGGCGAGAAATCGAATTCGGCAGCGACCGCACTGTTAGGCGATTGCGTTTCGCGGAATCGTTTGTTTGGACGATAAAATTCGACGGGGGGATCGCGCGCGTGGTTTCCGTCCAGTGTCGCGTCGTAAAACATACGTAGTTTCCGTCGTCGGTACGAAGAGGGAGGGGGCGCCGAATTAAGTCGCGGCCAACGGGGGATGAATCATCCTCTAGGACGGGGCAAATCGAGCGATCGATATTATAGAACCCTCATGCGCGCTCTTGAATATTAAAATACACAGTATCGATCGGCGGATACCGGGAACAGATGTGGCGATCAATTACGTGAGATGGACTCGCGGCGACCGGCGCGATCGAATTCAGCGTGTTATTCTTTTTAAGCGCCTTCGAGTCGCGACGCAATGACCGAAGAAGGAACTTTTGGGACCACGCTTCCGAGTGAACTTCCCCGTTGCGTATTTTTGCGGTAGCGATCAAGATTCCTTCAGATTTAATCAATTTTATCGCATCTAAACAAATTTCATCATTGGCGTGCTCCAGAGAAACTAATGTATCGATCGTTAGATTCTTCGACGAATATGTTTTAAACGAAAGATAATTCTTTTATAAAGAAATGAATTATTTGTTTGAAAGAAAGGAAATTATTAAAGAAAGAAATTATTTGTTTCATCTTACATATTGTAACCAAATAATATTTTATCAAGATATATTGAAAGATATTACTTCAAATAGTAGCATTCTTTCTGTTAAATGATAGAGAGTTTTCTTGAATGAGACGATACAATTTTTACTCAAACAAATGATATTTTGTATATGTCGTTTCTATGAGACAAATTTTAGTCGAAATACTGAATCTAAAGAGAGATCTTTTTTCTCTATGCGTGACACCAGCTGCGCACATAAGTACACTTTTGCCGTTGATCTCTCGCCGAGAGTTACAATACGTTATATAATTTTTACCACGTGGATAAAACACCGTCCCCTACGACGGTATCTTCCGTACACTTCCTGTTACGACAGCCGTTTTATCGCGCGCCAACCTGAGATTCCGACCACCGGAGGGCCGGGATCACCGTTGATCTCCTCGCATCATTGTTGCACTCGGCACGCATGGGTGTGGCCGAGTCGAAATTGATATATTTCGACGCTCTCGTTCAAACACAATTGTTGTCACACAACTGTATCGGGTCAGCGGAAAAGTTCGACTTTACCTCATTCAGCGGAAGCTAATTATTCATCAAGTAATCACCGTTGTTTTCCAGGACCCTTCGCCAATGACCTGGTAACTTGCGTGTTTCTTTGTCATAGAAAGCGATCGATTTACCACACGGAAGAAAAGGTTTCCTCCGTTGGATTTAGTATACTTGGATTTGTTTAATAAAAACAGCTGAACTTAGTATCTTTTTTCTTTTTAATGGAAATGTTGTTTGATAATGGAAAGAACAATATTATTTAGAGAAAATAATATTTTGTTCTTGAATAAAGGAAAATTTTATTTCGTTGTACATTAAATATTGTTCCACTTAAAACAAAGAAGTATTTTAATATTTTTCTAACATAGTTACTTCTTTCAAGTAACTTATTGCCTGTGAAGGTCATTGAGGCAATTGGATGAAAATACAAAAGAAATATATTATTTGACATAAAGATACTTATTGCTTGAGAAACCATTTGTTTGTTCCATTCCAAAAGACAAATTTGTCTCGATTAAAGAAATTTTATTAAAAATCCAAAGAATTCTTTTTTCTTTATGTGCGTTGAAGAAGATACTGAAAGTCGAACTTTTCGACTGAGATCCAACATTGCGCTTGCTTTATACAATTGCCGCCACTTGTAGAATATCTCAGGTCGCTTCGAGTGTTCGTTAACGACTTGATTTTGTTTTTCTTTTTGTTACATCCTTCCGTTCCGGCAGAAATTATCTCGTCCGAAGGAAGGAGTCAAAACGCGCGAGTCGACGATCGGAATTGAAAAGGAAGCGGATTCTCATCCGAAAATGAGAAACGAGGCGCTAGCATGATCGACATTGGTGCGATTGGTATTCTGATGATCTTACTGGCCCTTGGCAACCTCGAGGCTGTCACTGTCGTGAACCATCATTCCGACGATGAGTACGTCCTCGAGCACGAAGTCCTTCGCGAGGATGCGCTCGCCGAAGCGAAGAAACTGGAGATATATCCCGGTAAGAATGCCTTCTACCTGTTTCTAGACAGGATAGAAATGTTAACAATTCCTCCGATACACGATAAGAAATTTTGCGCTAATCTTGTTTCCTATGTTAGAGTAACGCAAGATTTCAGTTGACCCTTTTTAACACGAAATTTCTCACAGTGTACATCATTAGATTACATTCCTATAAAAAACAGAGACGTTAAAAGAACTAAAAGAACATTAAAATGTTGAAGGGAAGTGTCAAGAGAGAAAAATGAGCTTTTCGAAATCTATGCGTCACTTTTTTCAGACATGAAAATTTACGCAACGTAACGCATACATTCACGTGATGTAGATAAACTGGATATATCTTAACGCGCTGTACTTGCCTTTAGAGATGAGAACTCTTTCATCAACATGTAATCGATATTCCCTCAATGATAAGTTTCTCCTCGTTATCGTGTCATTAACGTTCTGAATTAGAGAACATCGATTTATCGGAAAGAAATACGTGTCTGCCGCGGGGGAGGGGGCGCGCGTTATATCCCGTGTATCTCGATTGCGTTCTTGCTGCGGGTCTTTCCAATCTAACCCAGATGCTAAAAGCGTCGCGTTAAACTGACGCTCTTGTTCGACTCCTATACGGCCGGTCTATAAAGCTTCTTTAAGGTACACACCGAAATGTATTTATCTTGCCGCCAAGAATAGCCACCCCTTTGATCCACCTACCCAACAACGTACGATTGATGTCTCGAATTTTTTTCTTCCGCCAATCGCAACCCTAGCGGACGAGAGAGGTACGCATGCTGAGAATGCGCTCTTTTTACTTATCACTCAGTCCCGTTGCTCGTTACTATTTTGCTATTACTTATTTATTATTATTATTTGTTACTTTTGTCATGACTTATTTCTACCACCTATTATTATTTTATTACATATACATATAAATGACATAATCCTTTCACGAGGACGAGACTTTTGTCAAGAAAAGTTTTTGCTTGAAATAATAATTATATTATACTTAAAAATTTGATCTTGTTCGATAAATCTCAAGACAATCGATAATAGCTTAATGTTACATTCTCTGTATTCGATCTTTCGTTCGCTATTTTTCTCGCTCCGCGAGAACAATGCATTTTCTTTGACTTTTGTCTTTTTCAATGTGTGAAGGAAAGCTGTCGAATGTAAGGGATGAGATAATCGAGGTTTACCAATTACAGATTTTCGCTTCGAGCAATATCTTTCAACGATACTTTCAATCCGTAGTTTCAAGTCAGAAAACGGGAGAGTTTCTCATTTTGAATACTATTGCCACTTTTATTCCGCTCTCGATAAAATTCTTATCTCTTCTCAGCAATGACAATGAACGAAGAAGAAATTGTCGAATTTCACCAGACGACTCTAAAATAAGCGATGCCGAAAGGTATTATAGAAGCGGGTCGGTCGTGATATATGTACAGCCTGGTTAAAACGGTACCTTGACCACTGAAAAATGCCGATCCGTCTCCCCGAAATATTCGAGTTACCAAGTATAGTACGCCCGTCGTGAACCGTTAATCGCGATTAGATCGAACGATCACCGAACAAAAGAGCTCGTCACCCTTGAGGTGCGTGAAATTTCCCGGCCCGCGACTTTTTCGCGGACGTTTCATCACGCTTCTTCTCTCGGTTGTTCCGTTGCGGGAATGTGTTGCATCGAGACGTTCGACGACGACGCCACTTGTTACATCGTAATACCGCGCTGCAAGCAGACCACGTGGCTCTCATTACACGCGATTATTCCGAAACAACCGAGGAAGTCGACGATTACCGTCTAATATCGCAGAATTGCGGAATTCTTCGCGTCTCTCTCGCTTGGATTTCATTAATTTAATTAATCGGCCTCCAAATGTGTCGAGTTATTAAGGATTCGCCGCGAACTAGTAAAGCGTTCGACTGGCTGATATTGGCCGGTTGTGACGGAATGAGCTAATTGAGGTCACCTCGCCCGTGCTTGAAAATTTCCGCACTTCTCAATGAATGAATTATAGAAGTCGGCTGAACGTCATTGCGATACGCCCATTCAAAAGAATAGGTCATCGATGTAAGGTGATTTGTTTAATTTAGCAGGAAAGTCTCCCTATGGAGTCCGTCCAACGATCGTACTCACTAATGGAAACATTAGTTTCTTTGGAGCGAGCACGCCAATTTGTTCGGATGCGATAAAATGAATGAAATTCGAAGAAATCTCTTTCTCAGTGCGTAAGGCCTCGAGAAAGCGGGTGATTATTATTACTAAATGTCGCGCGCGATTCACGGCCGCCGCCGTGGCGTATTTTCTGTGTGTGATTTAATTAACGGTTAATTTCCCCTTCGCGGAGGATACGCGCGTCGCTTATCGCGCGGATTTAGAACGGCCTAATGAGGAGGTTCCGATCCGTACGAAGACAAAAGTTATACAATGTTTCGCGATCGATGCTGATACCGCGCGGTGCATCGCGCTCGTATCGTCGCTCGCGAGCGTCCGCGACACGATTTCAGGAGGGGCGTTACGTAAGAAACGCTAATTAACTTGAATCACAAACGCGGCTGTTTCGACGCGACTGTCATGAATTTTAATCCCCGGGGTTTCGAGGTTAATGAAATATAATTCTCGATTAATAGAAAGGCGTCTCCTTACGTTCGACACGATCCTTCGTTTGCGTGAGCGAACGACAATGGTTGTTTTCAAATCGAGTTTCTCTCCGGTTACATCATCTATTGCCTTCTTTTCTTTGCCAAATGCGAGGTAAGGACAAATGGTGATATAACTGGACTTGTGTATCTCTCGCTGGAAAGCAATCGATTGTTTCCAGCGCGTTCTCCGCCTTCTTATTCTCCTCTACGCGGAAAAGGTTCCTGCCGGAACAAGAACAAGAACCGGGTAAAAACTCGGTGATGAGAAATAAAAGTGGCAACACTGAGAAAAAGGTTTTTACGAACTTAATAAATTTTATCGCGTCCAAATAAATTTCATCATTGCATGCGCCAAAGAAACTAATGTTTCGATCGATAAGTACGATTATTAAACTCTATATCTTAAATAAAACATTTGTTTCAGACGAAGGATCATTCTCTTATAAAGAAATTATCCCTTTATCAAACTAATATCTCATTTAGTTGAAAGATATTATTTCAAATAATAGCGTTCTTTCTGTTAAATAATCGAATTTTCTCGAATGAGACAATAAGATTTTTACCGAAACAAATGATATTTCGTACATGTTGTTCCTATGAAACAAATTTTAGTCAAATAAATAGGAATACTAAATCTAAAGAATCCTTCTTCTTTGTTCGATCCTCCTGATTATTCCCGCTAATTTCGTTTCTCGTGCTCGCAGGACCTATTCCGGGATGCAAGCCGTGCACCAACTCCGAGATAACTTACTGCTCGGACGGGAGCGTCATCAACGATCACTGCTGCTGCGAGGGAAGAACCAACAGTGGGTATCGCGAGTTTCGCGTTAAGCGGAAGGGCTGAGAGAGATAAAATCAAACGTCCCCGTAACAACCGCACGAGAGAAGCCACCGATCCGCCAATATCGGCAATAACCGAGGCAGGAATTGGATTAACCTTCCCCGACGACGGAAGTCGTGTTTGTCGTTCTCGTCCTTCGTCCGTTCGAACGAGCGAGCGAGCGAGCGGAGAAGTCGTATGAAAAACGATCCTGCCGGCGAATTCGTGCGTAAACGATCGGCCGTGACAAGTTATTGTGTAACGCTTCACGGAAATTTAGAGCAACGGCAACGGATTGTAATTTCAATGCGCGCAACTCCGCAATTATTTCTAGTCGATGTTGTTATTACATGCTCTTACTGTTGTTACCCTCGAGTATAAGAGACGATCGAATTATTCGGAGATCGACGTCTTCGACCGGGTGGAGAAAAGAAAGAGAAACGCGGGATGGACACAAATGCTGCGATATCGATTGAATTGGTCAACTGCACGCTGAAAGAAAAATATAATTATTTTCGGGCACACTATACCATCCTTTTTTATTTTAACCATAAAAATAGCAACATGCACGTAAGATTATTGTCACTAACACTGTAATAACACTTACTAGAGAAATAATTCTCTCGATTGTTTCCAATTAGATGCGTTTCTTTTCAATATTTGTACATCATCACAGCTACTTTGGAACATCGTTGCCGATTTATTAAATTGTCATGATGCACGAACTTTCGAATTACGTAATTCGCGCCCCTGATTGGAAATTTTTCATGTCTAGATAAGAAAATAATTACATTAATAGAGTCTTCTGTGCCAATTCTATCGGTACAACAGCATTTTCTTCCGCGCGGGCTAAACTGAATTCAGTTACACTAATGGAACTGTTTTTTTTTTTTTTTTTTTTTCCCCCAATGCAGAACGCATTACTCCGTTGTTACGTACGCTCTTAATATTATCACATATTTCCCCGCCGTCACTCGAGCGACATTAGGCGCGCTGATTAGAAACTCGAGCCAAGGTGCTGCAGGTCGATGAACGATAGCCGCGCGAAGAGTTCGAGAACGAGCGGAATGTTTAGGCGACCGTGGTTCAACGACTTACGTGAGTCACCCGATGGATACAAGCCGTGGTAGACACGAGCATTAACGCGCACGTGGAAGACAAGGATAAGTCATTACGACGGACGATGATTTCCTGAACAGGTGATTACCCTTCCGTTCAGCCGGAGGAAGCATCATCGAACGTTCCTTTTCTGTAAACTCGATTAGCAAGAAAGATAATAAACATTTTAAATGACGTTAAATCGGTTAGAAAATTGATAAAAATAGCTCCAGTCAAATGTGTTGTTCTGAGACGTTTGTGCATGTAAAAATAACACACTTGGATTTACAATCGTAGAGGTGGCGCATTGACGAAAAACATTATTCAAGCCGCCGAATCGTGCCGCGCTCATAGATGCAGCAAGTCGCATTGCTGCACGCAGCGGCGATGCGCGTGGAATATCCGAGCGACTCAACACCTTTCGATCCGCGTTCGTCCGTGAATCGCGCGCTGGTTCGTTCATCCCGCGCTCTTTTCTAATGGCTCTCGTGATAAAGCCGATAAAGCGCGCACCGGAAGCGTCCGATATCTCGTTACTCGTTGTATTAATCGTCGTGCCGCGGTATAAAACTACGGTTAATTATCGCGACGCCTACATTCGTCCGCCACGTAGACGACGCGTGCGTTTAATAAATATATAAAGCTCGAGCTGCACGTGTCTTTTTACACGTACAGCCGGGCCTACTTTACGCATCCCAAAATGTCTCTCGACGATTCTCCACATCGCGATGTGGCACGAGCACCGTTAATCCATAATTCAGCCTGCTATCTGGTTGCGCGGGAATTATGATAATTCGCTCTATTCTTGGCGAGCCGTGATAATAATTTAGACACGACGTTGTGTCGACGAGAATGTCCGAGCGACGAAGGCACGACGCGACGAATGAGACCCACTTTGAAACGAAATAACTTCGAATGAAATGATGAAGCCCACGATGAAATGACCCAGGTAGAATTTAAATACCGGCTTCTGGCCGGTAACTGTCCAGCAATTCTCTAACCAGCTAGTTTCTCACCAGTTTTACTGGCCGAAAACTTACGAGTTTGGCAGACTTTTACTCCGACTGGACAATAAAACTAACCAGTTTCCGATCACTTCCTAATAAAATATTTTAACCATTTCATTCGTTTATTTTTTTATTCATTATTTTACTATTTCATTTGTTTATTATTTTGTCCAGTTTCCGGCCAGGAAATGGTCAAGAAACACTAGCCAGAAGAGTTTCCGCTGGACAGAAACTGTCTGGTATTAACTTACTATTTTTTTTTTATAGTTTATGGCAAATAATTGGCTGCGAAATAACAATCAGTATTTTTTGAACAGTTTTCTGAATAGTTACTAATCTAATTAATTCGAGCCAGTAAAAGCTGTCCAGTTTCTAGACTCTCTGTCTAGTTCCCTAACATTTTTCCACTTCGGGAGGTAGGCCTGCCCACGTCAATCGCGTTTACACATTTATCTATCTTATTATGTTTCAGAAGTGTTTCTCTTCGTCGAGCACACGTGTCGCGTGGGACCGGAGGAATGCAAAGTGCAAGCCGGAGACTGTGCAGAATACACGAGACTGCGGGAGTGCTGTTGCCATTCGTACCTGGCCTCCGCCTGTAAGCGTTGAAGCTCCCCCGGCACAGAGAGAGAGAGAGAGAGAACAGCGTTTATTACAAGATACATAGTAGAGTCGAAAAGGAATAACAATATATTCTGCTGATTCTAAATCACATAAACAAAAATATAATTATGCGAGAACAAAAGAAAACTAAAAATGAGAATGAAAGGCCCAATTTTTGGAGCGTTGGTTAAAAAAATAATTTTAAGTTATACATGCGTAAGGAAAAACTTGAGAGAGAGAGAGAGAGAGTGATAGGGCGGAAAGAAGTTATATAATTACATATTCTCTTTACAGTCGCGCGGTATCGTTATATTACGAGGCGCGGCAATTACGTTACGAAATGCGATTCACGAGCAACCTCGAGACGACACACTTTTTGTAGATACGCACACGTAGATGTCCCGCTGGTCGGTAATTTCCATACAATCGTGCGTCCATGAGCGAAAAAAAAAGAAAATGTCTTATCTCTTCTCTTGCTTAGACCGGTCGCTCTTCTCCGCCCCGTCGGGGAGCGGTGCAAATAATATCCGCGAGACGATTTTGCGCAATGCGCCGATAAGATGCATGCACGCTATTTTCGTCCGAGCTAATATTTTCACGAAGGACGATATTTTTCTTTCTTTTTTTCTGAGAAACTCGCACTCTCGGGAATTATCGCGACGCTTATCGCGAAAGCTAGAAATGTGTCGCGATATCGACACATTTATAAGTTATTTACGCATGCGTAAATTAATAAAGTACACGCTCGAGGACATCACTCGACATCCGCGCTCCACATGTGCCGCTCCAATTGCGGACTCTTTATCGCGCATGTTTTTTTTTCTCGAAAGCGTTATTCAGCATGCGTGCCTTGTAACGTCGACACGCGAAATAGAATTGAACGGGATATCGTTATCGCGCGCGCGCGCGCGTTATCTTGTTTATTCCCGTTTCGGGGTTAATCAAATTTGGCTACAATACTCTACTTTGTGCCATCTTGCGCGATCGATCTCAATTTTTGCGCCGCTCTCTACGCGGAGAAAGAGAGATGAATTTTTGTTGTTCGTATGAAGCCTCATTTAATTTTAGTCGGAATGTTTTTTTCGTGTGAGAGAGAAATGAGATATCGATGACATATTTTCTTCTTCGCAGGGAAATATCTGGCGACCGGATCGCGCGCCGACGCGAGCCTCACGAAGTTCCTGTCGATCTTAACGGTGCTCACGCTGCTGCTGCACCTGTTGCTGACCTAAAAGCACACTCGCCAAATACTTTGTACAGTATCGACTGCTTTAATAAATTATTTTTCCATCGCAAAGAAAAAAGAAGAAGAAAACCGAGCGTTTCGCCATAATATATGATGAGACGGGATTAGAGGCACGCGATCCATTGTCTCTCAGGCCGTCTAATTGCCATTACGATACATCGTTTACCGCGCTCGCGCAAATAAGAAACCTGCACGACGGTAAGGTTCTTTATTAATTAATCGGTATGATGCACACGACGTGAGAGGACGTGATCGAACGATGGCGCAGCGGCGGATACAAATCGCGTTAAATACCTGAATCACAGAGTGCAATCAAGTGGTTCACGCGGAGGAAGAAGGTCGAGACGATCAAGTATATCTATGCGAAATTATTCTCCCGACTTTCTAACTCATCCGCCTCGCTCGCTGACCTACATTCCTTAATTCAGCAAACATAATTATAGTTCCGAATTAACATGCCTCTTCCGCGCACGGAAAGAAGGAATCAGTTGTCCATACAATGCGACTGAAATTTAGTCACCGTACCTCATAGTTTCTAGCTGCGGGAGTTAAGAAATTGAGAGAAAGAAACGGAACGGGGACAAGAAGAATGAGTTAAATTAACGAAATTTCAATTGTATTATTATGTTGCAAAGAAAAGAAATTAATCTTAAATCAAGAGTAGATACTCTCATATGTCAGCAAGAATATTATCTTATGGATATAATCTTCTTGGAAGATTTTTAATCTTGAATTGAGTTCAAATAATGCTTGCATTAATACAAATTCAATCGAAACGAGACTAAAAATCTTCTAAGAAGATCATAATATTCTTGCTTACACAAAAGAATATTCTCTATTCTTAATTTGAGACTAATTTTTTTGTTTTTAATTTTACCTGTGGGCGCTGGTTTTTCTTTTTATAAATCGTATATCCCATCTAGGAAGCTACTTCTTTTTTTCCGTGCGATCTTCACGCGCGTGAAGCGTCGCGATCAGATTCGTAGCGAAATTTAACGGACTCATCCATAGGTTTGGCAAGGAATTAATTTTGTACGAGAAAGAGAGAGAGAAAATTAATATATAATTATATTAAATTAGACGAATTTGTAATTTTTCTTTCTCAAAACAGAATATCGTTCTTTCCCATACGAAGAACACAACTCCATTAATGTGATTGAATTTTCCTGGAGACTAGACGAGAATCTTTGGTAGAAACAGAAAAATTTCTGAAGGAGATTCCTCTCAATCAAAATTCTCAGTTATATTAGTCGGATTTTAAGGAGCGTTCATCTGAATATTCTCAGTCACAGAGATATGATTTCTCGTCACCGAATTTTCATCTGGTCTCTATTGAGTTGCAGGAACTGAGGACTCCTCTGTACATTAAAAAAATATATAATTAGCTTTTTAATTTATTTCAGTCGTGTTATATCTGTAATAATTGCGCGAAATGAAGATATTTGACGCGACGATCGCGCTACCGAAAAATCTAGTGAATTCTTATACGGGCGTCGCAGCGCTTTTTTTTTCTCTTGTCTTCGGCACTCACCGGCACATAAGAAGAGGAGGATGTTCGTCGGCCAGTTACAAGTAACGGGCACGTCGACCGCGTTCTACGAGGAAGGTGAGGCCGGTGAATAAATGCTGCGCGTGGATCTACGAAAGAGATCGAAGCCAGGGGAGATCTCGTTTCGTGCCACGAAAAATCTCAGTCGCGCGGAGAACGAACGTGTGTGGAAACCTTGATCTTCTTCGATTGGTCTTCTCATCGGTTTTCCTTGGGAATATGTCGCTTCTGGTGGTTCTGCTCGGCATGGTTCTCTTGTCGCATTGCTGCGCGTCCAGTGCATCCGGTGAGTATCGAATATATACTCATTCATTTCCATCGCGTACTCGAATCAATAAGTATTTGCTTTTCCTCTTGCGGGCCGCGCAAAGTCGAGTCACGCTCGTGCGTTTTTCAATGAACTCGATAACGAAAACAAGGATTAGCTCGGTATGTACGCCGCATCTAAGGAAAATTTAATTTACCAAGTATTATTTATCACGTTTAATAAACTATACAAATAACACTTGTATATTGTTAATTATAAAAAAATTTGAAAAACGAAATATTTGCTTTTTATATTTAATAACTTTTAGAGAACCCTCGTATTTTTCCTATGTATCCTATAGAGGTGGGAGATATGATCATTCATGGATTGGATATACAGCTTATAAAAAATTTACAGTAATTTAATACAGTGACTTATAAAAAAAAATACAAATAAACTGTATGTGAAAAGTTGATTAAGATATAAGAACGATAAGGAAATAAATGAAAGAGCTAAGCACTTGTATTTTGCTATATCCCATCCTTTAACATCCCTCTACACTTATGTATCGCGAAATAATCATTAAACTTTTTACATTCCCTGCAGTAATGATTTTAAGCAGGTCGTAATATACGATTGCGCTACAGTGAGAAGTCGATTCAATTCACGAGGGTTTCGTTAATATTGACACTAAAAAAACTGAAATCATAACACAGTAATAACATAACACAAAAGGCATATAATAGTGTGATTGCGGGTAAATTACTCCCGCTCTTTCTATTTTTTCTGACCTCTGCGACGTAAATCCCTGCACGGTGTAAATACACCGGAGTTACTTTATAATTTTTTATCGTGAACGAAAACAGAACTTACGCAATGTGTGTTATTCGAGGAATATTTTGCAACTTTTTTATTTGTGGTTAAAGTTAATTCAGATAAAACCACCACGCAAAAGCCGGTCAGTAAGATTATACGGCAACACAATGAAGTGAAAAGGCATCGCGAATAAAACGTAATAATAACAATTATATATTTTATGTGTACTATATTCTTTTTTTAATATATATCGTCTAATGTATATTTGTACATAAATTTTCGTTGGATAATTTACACAAAATTATGCTGGAAAAAACGGTTTGGTGATAACGTCGGTTTTGTTTCATCAATAACGCAAATTCCAAATTAATTTTATGATTGCGTTGCGATGTTAATAAAAGCGCGCTATTAACAAAGCTCTTACGGCTTATGCCAAGAAATACCGGCGTGACTTCGTTAATGACGAGGACTCCTTGCGAATATTTTCCAGACGAACACAGAGAAACGACGGGCGATCGTGCATCAGGGGCGAAAATGAACGAGCCGTTGACGCCTTTGCCACAGAACGAAGGACGACAGTTGCTCGATTATCCTTTGTTCCCTTCCTTCGCGCACAGATATAGACCGCAGAAGTGAGTTTATCGCAAGTACTTCATTTTTACCCTCACGAATTAGCCACGCGTCTCCCCTTGACATGCAACGTTGCGGATCGTCTCATTCATGAGACTCGCATTTTGACGCGATGGGAAAAAGATTTCTTCAGATTTAATAAATTTCATTACATCCAAATAAACTTCCTCATCGGCACGCTCCAAAGAAACTAATCAATAAGCACGATCGTTAGATTTTTCAACGTATCTTTATCTTAAATAAAAAATTTGTTTGAAACGAATTCTCTTATGAAGAAATGATTTGTTTCATTTCACATATTTATCGTGACCAAATAATATTTGATTCGGTTAGAAGACATTATTTCAAATAATAGCGCTCTTTCTGTTAAATAATAGAGTTTTCTTGAATATAAAATTTTTACTCAAACAAATGCATATGTTGTTCCTATTAAACGAATTCTAGTGAAATAAATAGAAATATTCGCTAATTGACTAAGAGAAATATTGATTAATTACAACATCTTCCTCATTGCAGATGTCCTCTTTGCGACAGTTCGATTTACCCTTACTGCGGCGAGAAAATGTTCCACGACGCCTGCTGCTGCACCGAGTATCATCAGCACGACTTGCCTTATCAGTGCAAACTGGCCGACTGCAGATTTCTGCACGCCAACAGTTGCAGGGAGCATCGGCTGATCGCGAACTGCTGCTGCAGCGATGATTATCGCACACTGCTTAAGGCTCTGACGATCGCGTAGAACTCTCTCCTCAGACGCCTTTCTCTCGAATTCAACAATGACACCGTCGCACGAGAACACAATAATATTAACATGATTAATATCACAAATTTATTAATATTACAAATTATTAATATCACAAGCCGGGGAAATTATATATGACTGATATGTCCACGACGAAAAAATACTGTTGTTTATATGCAAATACAAATCGAAGTAAGTAAGTACTTCCGGCTACTTGTGATATCGATATTCAATTGAATGACATAACATTTTCGTATAGACATATATGAGCAAAATTCACATATAATTTTATACAATTATACATATATAATGATTTTTTCCCGGGAAATGATCGACGCGCAAGAGACCGTCGAAAAGGAAGAAGGAGATACAATTTTCTTACCTATATATTCGGGCCCGAAAGATACGATCTCGGTCACGCAGCCCCCCGAAACGGGCGGAAGTGATTTGTCTTCCCCGAAGGAGCGCGAAACGCGATGAATCATCGGCCCCTCAGGGTGGACGGTCGTCTCGGACGGAGGTCAATGCGATGGTCGTACACGTGCCGGTTCCACGTGTAAAGTGGCCGACCTCTTCCCTCCTCGCGCCGGCGACGTTATTCGCGTCCCCGGGATCGACGGGCCGTCTAGACATTGTCAAATGCCGTAAACCGACACCTAGTTCGGGAAGAGATGGTGGAAATCGCCGATTACGGCCGTTTTTTTCTTATCGAAGATAAGCAATGTACATTCTTCAGCGATAACGTCGACTTGCAGCGCAGGAAACATAATTTTTTATTAAATCGAATATTTCACACAGGAGGAATCGCATACACAGCGGAAAATTTGCCGTTACAATTTACGCGGAGATGAGAATGCTGAAAACGGCCTGCGTGAGTGCGATTGAATGCGTAACCGACCGGCGCCTCGCGCGTCGCGATGAAACACGGATTCGACGAGCGAAGTGTAGCAAGTGTACTCGAACTGCAACTCTTTCGTTTCGAACTCCGCGTCTATTTCCGCGTCGGCAGCGGATCTCGTGCGCTAACAAAGGTCGGGAATGCCGAGTCTAGTAACGGACGATCGTTTTAACCTATCAAGCGTTTCGCGCGAATGCTGCGGAATGCGATGTCTCTGGATACTCGCAACCGAGAGGAGAGCTCGATCATGTTGACTAACACGAACCTGTACGAGCGAAATGGAGGAAACGCATTTATTTCGTTTGACAGGATGCATGTCGAGATTCGACGCTTTCATGCTTCGGTAAGTCACCTGTACCTTTTGTCCTCCTAATTATTTTTCGGATGTAACGTACATCGCGTTCGAATTTTTTATGGCGGTTTATTGAGATAAGTGGAAAAGTTTCTTCTACCTGGACACAGATGGCGCTACATGTGCTATCTGACAATACGTTATCTTTCGGTCCAAGTTAATGTCCTAAAGTAATCGTTGATCAAAAAGAAGTCTGTTTATTCAAATGTTATTTAAATAGCAGTTGAATAAAAGTGCATTGCTATTATTTCTGTGGAAATGTCACGAACATTGACTGATAATATATAGTTTTATTATTTTTAGTTTATATTAAAAAAAGAGCACTATGTCAATCTCTGCATTCTAACGACATATAATCATATCATATAATCACTCATTTTTCTATTATATTAGATATCGTTTCTTCTTCATGATTGATCGAGTAAGCAAATTTTATAATTTTCAACTTCTCCGCCAGATGACGTATCTAGTCTGTCATATCGTTAAAAGTCGGAAAAAGTTTTTTTGCTTTTTTCGTTGTATGAATATGTGACGATTAATACGATGACATTTACATTTCTGTTAATTAATAGTTATTATTAATCGCTCAAGTGCTACTGCGGTTAGTTTACTGATTAATTGTCGTGGCTTAGTAATTGACAGTTGTTTTATAAACAGTTTGTAGTTTCGAAATATGAATCCTGAAGCCGTATGCACCCTGTAATATTAGATAGTAATTGAATTAATTAATTTGCGATGCAGGCGCTAAGCTCGAATAGGTTTCGCTATATAAATTAAATTTTTTGAATGCTGATTTATATGTTAAATTTCGATTAAGCTAATTTTTGTTTCACTAAACATCAGGAGGGTATTTGAATTCTTGAAATTTATTTCCGCTTGCATATTATTACTAAAGTAAAATTCGTCATTCCTCGTGTCATCTCACATTCAAATTATGTATTATTCTAATTTAAAAATAAAATATTTCTCGTAATCTTTTTAAATATATCATAACAGAAATATACGCAAAATGATATACTTTAAATTGTATATTTTATTTCATATTACATTATGTTTTAATTATTTATTTAACGCATTTTTGAATCTTTCAATCATCATGCCCTATCTATTGTACGTCTAAATCTAAGCCAATATATTTTTAATCATAATATATTTTTTGTTGAAATCTTTGTATATTTCCTGATTTTCCAGAATGTCTATCGATATTGTGTCAGGAATATTTTTCTAAAATGTCAAAAAATCACAAGAGTTATTTTTATTCGGTTCTAGGTTACTTTATAATATTCATTTGCATGTGATAATTACTACAGTGTCGTGTATAAATAATTGGAACGTTTTTGAAAGAGAAAAAATAATAAATTGACATAAATTAAAATATAATCAAAAAATTTAAAACATCAAATGATTGTAAAACTATATGGAAGTGATGATATTTGAAGTAATTTCCATGTGCCCAGCATGTATTTATAAAAAGCGATTGATCATGCAACGGTACTCGCATGACTTTTTGTCAAAAAATTGTCACCAATTTTTTTACCAGTTTCGCGATCAGAAAAAAAATTCGACTGTTCGTTTCAGTCGGGCAAGGCTTAAGGCATTCTCGTCATAATATTTGCAATGTCAGATGCAGCTGTCCGAGTGCCGAAATTTTCGGTTTTCGATTAAATTCAACGATATTACACACACGGCTAAGGTGGAAGCGACATTTCCCATTGCATTTGACGCCGGCGACGTCTCACAAACGTCGTTCGTACTTCTGAAAAGAAATGACGCGGGTAGCGGCGTGGGAACAACGATTGAATGACGAACGGGAGTTGAGTGGCGCGCGGCACCGTCCAAATCGGAGCGCGCGATCGCGGGCAACAGCTGTACGCGCGACGCGTGCTGCTGGCTGCGCGTCCGGTGCGCGATTGAGCTCCACGGCGAGCGTCGCGCGTGCCTGCGCGGCGCGCGACTGCGCAGGTCGCGCGTGCGCCGTGACGAGCGTGTGCGCTCTGTCGCTACGGTGGCGCCAGTCATGGCGGCGGAAACACACGCGCACGCCGCTACCACCGCCACCGCCGCCGCCACCGCTGCCGCCGGTCGGTGCCTCCACGCCTCTACCTCGCCTCCGCCACCGCCACCGAACCCGCGACTCGTGGGTAAGTACCCTCACACTCCACGCTCCAATCAGTCTGCACTCGCATGTCCACGAGGTTGCTCGCACGGGCCTGGCGGCATTCTGTCTCTCTCTCCCTCTCTCTCTCTCCCCTTTGCTTCGCCCGTTCGTACCCCCCTGTTCTGTCATTCTCTGTCTTGCTCTCTCCCCCTCTCTCTCTCTTTCTCCGTATACCCTCCCCTCTCTCTCTCTTTCTCTCTCTTACTCTTTCATTCACCTGACTCTCAATACGAGCAGTGCGTTACAGAGCCCGAACGGGGGTGATACCGATCGCCAGTCGAGATACTGGACGCGGATACCACAGCCGCGGTTGAGGTTAGGTCGCCGGACCTGTCGGTCGTAGTGGCGGGACGCGGCGGATTTGAATTTTCGAACGCAGCCACCGGCGGCCGTGTCACGGCTGTCTACCGCGTTGGGTGTTTACTCCGCGCGCACACGTGTGTCACAATCGTACGTACGAGGACGATCTCTCCCGTGGTGGACCGTCGTCGTCTCCCTGCCGGCCGGTCGCGCGGGCTTGTGATCGTCGTCGGCCACGACTGACAGCTGCTGCGCGCGCCTGCAGGTTAGGTGGAGCGACGTTAGACCGACGCGCGTTTTTCGAAACAGCGGGAACGTTTGAGAGGATGGTGCGCCGCGAGTTTTTCTCGTCGTCGTCGTCGTGGTCGTCGTCATCGTCACCGCCGTTGTTGTTAATGTTGTTGTTGAAGTTGTTGCACTCGCGTCTGGTGGATACGCGCAGCGACGGAGACGAGCAGCGGGCCCTGTGAGGTTCTGTGAATGTTCTCGGACAGCCGCGTGCCGCGGCTAGCCGCGCACCAGTTTCTCAGTGCACACGAGGAAAACGTACGCGCACTGGTGATAAAAAACCATGTCATGCTTTCGAGAGCGCGGATCTCGCCGAGTCGGCGTGTCGCGTCGCGTCGCGTAACGTCGTGTCACGTTGCGTTGCGCGCGAGTTCGCTGTTTCCCGCGCTCGAGCAATGAGAACGTCGTGGCCCGAATTCGCGGAAACTCTGTTCGGCCAATTTCACTTCAAGTTCAGTGTTCACGCCGCGCTTCGAAGCGAATGAGAGAGAGAATGTACAAACGTCGGATCACGAGAATGGCAAGTAATTGTGATGAGAAACGTCGTCGGTTTCGGGGGTTTTTCGCAGCGAGAGCGTCGCTGTTCCAAAGTCTCGTTGATGCGTTTCGATTTTAGAAAAGTGTCGGAAGATCCTCGGTTGTCGATGCAATTTCATGTGAGAGAGAACGTTATTCCATGATATACTTTGTGTGTATGGTTATATTTGAATTTGCACCTGGAACTACCGCTGACGTCACGGAGATCACACGCGGTTCTATCGCAAATATTGTTTCTCGGACCCGCGTATGACGTGTCAGAATGACTCTGAATTTCTAGTTTCGTTATATATAGTTTCCTCAACGACAGTTGTGTATTAGCTGATTAGATAAACGTCATAAAAGTGTCAGTCGAATCAGCTGATTCACGAGCGATTGACGAGAGAGACTCGTATCTGTGTTACTGAATTGCTGCCGGTATAAAGGAGACTGTTTAAAAATAACTACGATGCATGTAGTTCGCGTTTGAATCTATACCGTACGTTGCGAGTAACAAGGGTATCGCATTAGCGTTGTGTGAAAAATTGCGTCGAAAACGCGGCAAACGCTGCATAACGTTATTATCGCGAGGGAGGAGAAATGAAATTTCGCGCAAACGTATGCGTATGTACATTTCAATACTCGCCGGGGATAAAATGATTTAGACGTGAAGTGAATTCGAAACCTGTTTGCTCAAAGTAACATTTTCAATCAATTGTCACTTCCATTACTTTTGTCACATTACGATATTATCGCATTACTCGTGAGATGTGCGCGAGATGTTAAATATAGCTATTCGTTTGAATACTCTCTTTTAAAACTTCGACTGCGCAAAATTGCTCATCATCTGACAAAGCCAGTGATTATAATCATTTTGATTATAATTATTTCACTCTTACGCCATATCGGTATTCAGTTCAGAGTGTCGTTATTTTCAATACGAGGTTAATATGAGGTTACACAAATTACATAAAACATTATTTTTTATTTCGAATTTTTGTTTCACTTTTTACTTTTTAACCTTAAATCTTGCGGTATAACGAAAATAATAAATCAGACAACGTTAAAGTAAGAACAGTTAAGTATTTCAAATCTTTCGTTAATCGCTCGTAGAAAAAAAAATGTGAGCATCTGCATATTATCCGTATAATGTATTCGTCGTACATCGTTTTCGCTAATGTTTTTCTTGCGTGTGATTTCCTATCGGAGCGAGCGTCCTCGTTCGATCGCCCGTCGCGCAAGAGAAGGCGATCTGGCCATCGATCGACGCAATTACTCGCGGATCGAATTCGATAGCTTTCTGGTTGAAAGATTAGAAGTAGCAGAAATTGTCGGCGGTTCGACACCCGACACACAATGCTAGTGATTAATTGACAATCGCGATAATTAATGATACACGCGGTGTACCGCGATCTCGTGCCGCGACACGTTGATGTATTCCATTAAATAGCGTTTTGCAGAAGAAAATATCGAGTAAATTGTAAGCAGACTTGCTAGTGTCCGATTACTTTTTTTTTTTTGAAAAATAATCGCGATAATTCCAATAATATCCGATATTATCGTAGATTATTTACACTACGTACGTCGATACTTCGTATTGAACAATATGGGAAAATTTTGCAATTAATTCGATAAGTGATAAGGTATTGACATGTGATTTCAAACGTTTTATAGTATGCACATTTTAGAATACACAATGTCCAGAATATCGAGAATTTTGAGAGTCGAGGATCTTTTGAATGCGTAATGATCTAAAATTTCAGAACCCAGAATTTAATTCAGACAATTGATTGATTTTTTGATCGCGTGATCTGAAAACTTGCAGAAATTTTATTAAATTTTTCCGAGATTCACGTATTCGAAACCTAGTTTTTTCATGCGCCCGAGATACATGGATAATAACGGCAAAAATGATAAAAGTTACTTCGTCGTTGAACACTTGTTAATAGACTCTCAGATATTTTGTCGTCTATTACACTTCTTCGTTAATGATATTTCATTGCATATATGACATTTATATATGACAGCAGAAGATTTATTATTGATATTGAATTTCATACTTCACTTTGCGTAAAAAAATGTCTGCTAGTTCTTTCACTATTTTTAATTTTAATATTTAATAGGCTCAACAGCTTAGTGAGGTAAAAGATATTTAATATGCTATATTGTTGGGAAGGTAAACAATAAAGTTTGACAGACTTATATCACGTAAATACATATGTCTAATGTTACGGACGATGAAATATCAAACTATGAATTTTAAAGGATGAAACGTCTCAGTATCATGAAGTATCCGACGAAAAAATATCTACGAATATCTTACGAAGAAGTGGCATACGACGAAGTATGAATCGGTCATGAATCGATCCTCAACATTCAAAAATTAATTTCGAAAATACGGTTAAAAAATGATTATCAAATAATGATTTCTAATCATTGCATATAGTCGACAGGAAACGTTGTTGGTTATTCCTGTCTCGAGATTCACGTAATTAATCGGTCCATTTTACGCGAAACGCTGATAAGAAATCGAACTAAGATCGTAATTTTATTCCATCCTGAAACCACGACGTAATTCTCATCGACGTAATTCTCATCGACGTAATTGATGCGTCACGATATCATTCTCATTGCTGAGCGTGTTAATCGAATTTGCTTCTCGATCGGAGACTGTTAGTATCCATTTGTGCTTACTTTGAAATCATAAAATTGGAATTATTACGTTAATCAAGATAACAATAAAGATTAATCGAAATTCTCCAAAAATGCAATTGAATAAGATAATAAATAGTAAAAACTTAGCATTTTATATATAAATTTTAATACATAATTTTATTAAATTTTTAGAAATTTTTTCTTAATATTTGTTGAAAGAGGTTTATTAAGAATTATTTCTTAATTTCTAGTAACTAATTTTAAATAAAACCGTAACATTCATCCACGTTAAGCGAGATTTTCAGCGAGATAAGAAATGTATATTTAATAAATTTTAAAAGAAATGTATGAGAAAATGCCTGTGTGTTTTGTATTGATAAAGAGACACTAGGAATTCAGTTTTTCAAAAAGACGTGAAACAACAAACCGAGAAAAATCACCGATCAAGAAGTAAACACGAGCCTCGCACAACGAGTAATATATTCGCAATTACATTATCACGGAAAATCGCGAAAACCCGATTAACCCGTAAATCCGCTTAACAATTAATGATCGATTAGCCGGTAAACGCGATTAACAAAATATATCGGATCGTCGTCTTCCACGGTCGCGCTTTCACGCGAAATTTTCTCTCGAGTTTCGCGTCAACGAAATCGCGATACTAAAAAAATAGGAAAGAGTAAGATCGACGAAAGGGGAGAAGAAAACGACGATGTATGTTTTTAGATGGATAATTCTGCGTACGTTCCGAATCACCTACCGCCGCCGTCTCTGGTCGTGTTCTCGCAGCCCGGAACGTTGCCCGAGGCCTTGAGAATGCAAAGACCCTTCAATCCACAAGTTAGTGTCCCATTGTCCTTGCCCTTCTAACGCCTAAGCCTAAGCTTCCACATCAGCTTGCACTTATACGGGTTATGGTGTGCTCCGCATGCTTGTTGAAACGCTCTTCAATCCTTTGACTTTCAGATACGAATTTTCAGATTTTCTTGGTATTATCGGAATTTCACGTCATTTAAAGGCGAAAGATATTGTCGCATGTGTAGTCGTCCTGATTATTTATTACGTACAATTCTTGCGGATTAACGTAAAGCAGTCGTTTCGTGTAATTATTTATAATCACGCGAAATAATTATTCCGTCGCATTGTTTGAATTAACGTTGTTTGTACAAATGTTTTACTATGTTGATGGGACGACGAGTGGGATTTATCAGCGAATCTGAAAGGGTTAAATCACTTTCACGCTCGCATCATGTGCATCGAAATTGCACTGCGGTAATTCGAGTGTATCGTGTTCGACGGTAACGTACGTCACGATTTGGCAGAAAAACAACTTGAAATGTGTATAAAATAAACAAATAACACAAAAAATAATTGCTGGCATTGATTTCAACGAGCGTGCGCGTCGAACAGCTCGAGTTACTCTCATTCCGCTTTGCATGTCTGTGCCGCTTTATGCACGCGGGTACTAATTAATGTGCGCGATGAATAGAAACTTGCCTGTGCGCGTGTGTATAGATGTGCATGCACGAATAATAGGTAATATTAAGCCAGTGATGCGCAATTTTCTTCTGTCGAGGGGCAGAATATTATTTTGTTTTATACGAAGTTCGTCTACGGAGATACAATAAATATCGAAATGAAAAATATATTTATCATCGTACTCTTTGTGATATCGTATTATGAATTTGACTGTTTGTCCGGCTCACATGTTGCCGCGTATGCATACGTATGTAAAGTTTAAATAAAAATATGAAAATTTTTATATTCATCTTTCATGTATAAATCGTGAAGGGAAACGTACACCATAAATTGCACATCACTGGATCTGTCTGTGACACTTATGCAGTGTTACGAGTTATAATTAAAAAGAGAACCAACAAAACCAGCGATATACACGCAGTAAGTATTCTTTATAATTAAGAATCTATGATATAATTCAAGCTAGTTGTATCATTTTCTGAATAATTGCGAATCATTTGTTCCTTTTAGGAGTGATCGATAAATTGTGCATGACGTTTTCAATGTATGTCTCACGATGCGAATTATAGAAAATACGAGTATTATATCCGATAATAACGAGATTCATTTAGGAGATACGATTTTATTCCGCGCATATTACTATCACATAACCGCGATTGCTGCAAACATTTAACGAACGGACGGCGTGGTTAATTATAAACGAATTCGGCGGCGTTTTTAAACGCGCTCGAATATTTTTCATACACGCGGGACATCAATCGGGTAACACGGATAACGCCGGTGCGAATAACGCGGTAGATACAGAACAGCACCGGTAGAACAAGAGAGACGGCGAGAGAGCGGGTTGCATCAAAATTCAGCGTCGTTAAAAAATGAGATAATTTCGGGGCGAACCTAATTGCGGTGGTGCGATGACAAAATACGCTCGCGTTTCGTCGCCCGCGGGAGCGAGTGGTAGAGAGAGAAAGATAGATAGACAGAGAGAGAGAGAGAGAAAGAGGGAGAGGGAGGAGGTAAAAAAAGAAGATTATTGCAAATATGCAAGCGGTGCGCGTCGCGCGGTCGCTCGGTCGCGAAAAAAGGGCAGGGGCCGCAATTAAAATAATAATGAATACCTAATAAATCACTGATTGGACCACGAGCGCAAATACGCCGGGCCGGGCGAACGCGAACCTCATTTCCCCGTATAAAAGAATAATAAACTAATCGCGGCGTACTAATACCCGCGCGTGTAACTCATCGCCCGCGTCATTATCGGTCGAATGAAATGTTTATCCGGAAACCAGCTGTCCGTTCTCGCCGATGAAATCATTTCGCACTTCCGTTCTGCACTCTGCAACCCTTAGTCGCGATGGGGATGTTGACGAGTAACCGTGGCTTATCGTTTACTTTTTTGTACGGAGATGAATCTTTCGATATAGAGCTCTCTCTCTCTCTCTCTCTCTCTCTCTTCATAATATTCTATGTATCCTGTCGCGAAACGGTTTGTTGCGAAATGGAGTTTTGTTGAAAATATACACAGTTAAAAGAAATTGTAGTGATCTCGAAATACATACACGGCATACATATTTTCCCCGCGATAACGGAAACAACGAGCAAATAATTCCACCGTTTTTTAAACCACACACGTCATATTTCTTTAGACTTTTACAAAATATTACGAAATAACAAACAATTTTCTCTTCTAATGAATTTCAAAAACAGTTTCGTAAATACTTTTGAAATACGACGAAATGCGCACATGCGTCGTCGTCGAGATACACGCGTCGGCGTTAAGCGTCGAAACAAATCTCTCATGTCGCTCGCGTCATTTTGCATTTCACGACGAAGTCGAGGCATCGGTAACACAAAACGCCCTTTTCGTTATTACTTCGCTTTTGTTCAATACATTCCGGTAATTCTTGCATTATAAATGTTACAAAACCCAATGCGTAGATGCTTCAGCCGAGTATTCAGTATGCGGCTTAATAGACTCGTCAATCACGGCGAATTGAATGATACAACTGACGGGATTGGAAGGGAACGAACGGTGCGGGACAGGGGAGGGAGAAGAGCTTCAGGTTTTGACGGATTATTATAACACAGTGGTTTCGCGTTATTAACAGTATACCGCCACGCTGCTTTGATATTATATGTCATTCAGACGTAGCCGAAAGCGCGGAAATACCCACACGCTGCAAATGAGCTATCGAGTTATGCAATTCAAACATTTTTCCGTTCATCGCGTACACGGCATAAAGTTATACCGCCAAGCTCGATAACGCGCGTGTTCCTCGAAATCAGAGTAAATATCGATGGTTCCTTTGCGAACGTTGATACCACTGAAGTTAATACCGCAGAGTGGGGATTAAAGACACGTGATTCGAAAAATTGACGGTGCGCAAAACCTAGTAATAAAATGTTGGATAAGAAATCCCCTTATCGCATTAAATGATCTAAATGTTCATCATCATACAATAGTGTTAACCTTTGAATAATATGTGAGTTTATTTGGATAATTTATTTATCTAATTATTTACGGGAGATATTCCTTTAGTACCATGTTTTTAAGACACGAAGAAAAAAATAATATATAAAAAAGTACGTGGGAAATAGAAAAATAGTATAAAATGATAGTGTGAAAATGAAAAAAGAAAAATACGATAAGTATAATAATGCGTGAATTCAAGACAAGCTTAATCATTGCGTTTATCTGCGGTAACTTCATTAATTCTCACATTCGAGTGAGATCATATCGAGACATGTTTTTTTACTGGTCTGTCGGAAATCTTCTATATTTCGTTGTTTATGAACTATTCCTGATCAAATTTATTACATCACGATGTGCCTTTTACTAACACTTACACCCCATTTAGTAATCAAGAATCAAGTTCCACATGGATATTTAAGTACGATCTGTTCAGTTTGGTTGAGTCAGACGCTGTGATCTTTCTACTTAGCTTATCTCTCTCTCTCTCAACCGTCTTCTTTTCTTTTCGTGTTCCCAGGTAACCGACTCGAAGGACCTGCAGGTGCCCTTCAGCACGGCGGCGTCGCTGGGCTACGGCTTGCATCACATGCTGCATCTGCCGCCGCAATTCCTGCACCCGCTCGACCATAGACTGCCCTTTGGCGGGTTCCGGCCTCTGGTGCCGTCCGCGTTCGCGCCCCCCAGCAAGTGCCTCAAGGTCGAGACCGGGAACGGCGCGGTGCCGGGAAACGGCGGTCTGCCCAGCATCGGCTCGCTCACGAGCATGTCGAACATGTTCTCGCCCACGTCCCTACCGGGCGCTGGCGGGGGTGCGGTGGTGTCTGTTTCCGGCGCGGCAGCCGCCGCAGCCGCCGCCGCTGCCGCCGCGGCCAGCCAGGAAGTCGGGGGCCCGCAGAGCCCGGCTGGCTCCGCGAGCCGATCGCCCACCGGTACCGGCGGCACCGGTTCCGTGCCAAATCGTGGCACAACCCCTGACGAGGAGGACCGCGACGCCAATGCTACACCTGGTTCTGAGAACACCGAACGATCCACTCCGGAGGAGGGACGACCATACAGACGTGAGTACGATACTGTCTGATTGCATGACTTTTGCTTTTTTATTTACCGTCGCGCGAACGGCTTCGAGAGCGGACTGATTGAGCAGGTTGAGACCCTTTAACTTGCCGGGAAGAACTCTCGAACTCTCGCGCGGCAGAGAGATTAAAGAAAAGTTATATTTCACAGGTAGATCAAAAAGATATATTCAAAACTCGATGAAATCGTAACGACTCATTTTTCAAGTAACGATAACGGTAACAGTTATTTTTTTTCAGTGGGTAACGAGTAACGAATTATTTTTCAAAAGTAACTTTCCCAACTCTGGGTTTCATTGTAAAATTGTATATACATACACACACGTTTAAAATAGTAATTGACTGTAAGTTGATTTTTATTAAACATGAAGACTAGTATTGTCCGTTCTCGAAGTTGCTCCGCGCCTATGTAACGTTTGTCGGTGTTTAACGAACGAGCGACTGACGATCAACGCAGTGAATCATTATCGCCTCAGTAGAACTTGGTTCATATTCGAATCGTTCGATTTAATTAATACATACGATTCACGGCTATCGTAACACTTGCCGTCACTTGCACTGATCATCTTCGTTCTTCACGCAATATTAACTTGAGTAATTTCACCGAACTCGCATCTTCGATATTATTCGCTAAGCTTCGTTAATACATTAATGAGACATCGCGCCTCGAGAAAATCGTAGAATATCCTCAGGGAGTCTTCCCTCCTTCGTGAGTCTTCGCGAAGCGTCTCTCGATCGAAGTAATCTCAACAAAGATCTTACCGCGCGTTGATCTTCGAGCGTTCCGTACGATAAACAAACTCAGCTGCGTGTCCGAGGTTTTCGAAGCGCGCGTTGCCGCGTCTCAAGAAGATAAGCGAGAGACACACAGAGAGAAAGAGAGAAACACTCGCCGTATATTGTTCGAGAGCGCGTATCGCCGTTGATCTCGCGATGCGAGGTTCTCGGGGTGGACACCCCGTATATTTTTTCACGATGACCCCGTCGCGCGGGCGAGTCGAGGCTGGCTAACGGAAAGAGAGCGCACTGAGATTTGTATGCTTAATCTACCTAAGTCGTTTATTTGAGCCCCGGCGACGTAACAGCTGTGCCACGGGGGCAGCCCCGGGGCAGCGCGCGGAGGGCTCGTCCTCTCTGCCGCGCGTTTGTTTATTTTTCGCCGCTGTCTTAATTACCGAAAGATAGAGCCATTCATTTTTCCCTCGGCGGCGACGTCGTCACCGCCGTCGCCCGCTTTTTCCGCGCTCCTCGCAACGCGTGCGCGCCTTCTTTCGCGAGTTCGCTCGCCGAGAGAAATCGCCGCTTGATGCGAAAAATAGCATTAATGAGATTCCGCTTGATTTTCGCGGCACATTATCGAAAGATGAGCAATTATTCACTGTAATCTATCTCATTATAGAAAACGGCGTTAATCGTCGCGATTATAAAAATAAAGTAAAGGCCGTCGAGATTTCGGGCCAATATTTGTCGATCTGTAAATACAGTATGTATTGCATTTTGCGATGCGAGTGCGTCAAATTTTACTGTTAACGAGCAATCTCGCGAGAAGTCATATCTCTACGTGTAAATTAACTACCGGCAAAAAAAGCGCGCGACGGTCAACCCGCCCCCGTACTATTTCTCTTTCTCTCGACTAATTTTCGTTTAATTACGAAAGAGAAAAAGAGGTCGGACACACACAGAAGGTTTCTCCCTTCGCATCCCCTCTCCCGTTTATCTTTTATTCCCACGAATCGTCGACGCGGGGATAACGATGTTTCGGTGTTTAAACGGTCGCGTTGGCTCCACGTGACGTTAGCGCACCGTTAATTAGACGGTACTAACTTTGTGACGACGCATTGCATCGCGCAACAGGGAACAATCGTCGCGTAAAATTACTCGCGTGTTTCCCAGAGAAGAGACGTTTTTAATTACGGGAATTATTATTACACGCATCTTGCGAAGACTCTTGTCCCTCTCTCATTCACGAAAGTCCAAGGAAGCAGCATCTTTCAAAGATGCTGACGACATACGTCGCGTAGCGACTTTCGCGCCGTTTATTTTATAAATTACTACCATATTAATACTTACTACGTGTAGGGAGAGAGAGAGAGAGAGAGAGAGAGAGAGAGAGAGAGAGAGAGAGAGAGAGAGAAAACGAGAAAATAAATGTTCGAGGGAAAGTAAATGTTCTTTCTTGATAACGACAGGTAAGAGAAAGGTTTGAAGGAAAGTAAATGTTCCTTCTTGATAACGACAGGTGGGAGAAAAATAATATAAGGAGTAAAATAAAATAATATAAGGAGTAAAAATAAAGTAAGCAATGAGAAAAGGAAAAAAAAAGGAGATGTAGAATTCCCTTTGGAAAGGATGTATTATTCCCTGCCTTCTCTTTGCACATACGATTCTTGATTAATTCAGGTTCAGATTTCTACTGAAATCTATTTTATGTGAAAGGAGAAAAATGAAATATTTCGTTACATACCTTACTATTTTGAATAGTGTTTGATTTATTAAAACTTTTTGTCGCTAACGCGAATCGGAGTGACGTAGATATTATTAACGTATTGTTCCACATCTCATCTGTCGACGCTATTGTGCGAATTGGCCGCGCGCACGCCTATTTTATACTCCGCAGTGCGGTATTTTCATTATACACTTGCGCCCTTTTTGAGCGGCTTCGTGAAGGGTGCGTATAGACGCGCGGTTGACATACGCTCACGCTCGTGCTTCACCGGTATTTATGGCAAATAACCATACGCGGCCGTATCGTGCAATTTACATTGCGTTTATTTGACTCTAATGGTGCGGCAAAAATATCGAGTTAATATTGACTCGCGTCTGTAACGCGTGTGTTTGGTCGTGCCCGCAAGTTTCTATAATCGACTATCATCGTTTCAATAGCGATTATCGCTCTTGAATTTTATTGTCGGTACGAAAATCCATGCGATTTTACATTTGCCGCTACCGCGAGATCTCAGATATTTCCGCTCTCGTTATGGTCTCGTTTATTAGAAAGTTACTATAATCAAGAAACCGTTATGTAACAGAGATAAATACACAGAAAAAAAGGGATTAACTGTTCATATATACAACTGAAATTTACTTGCCAGATCTAGTTTTTAGCTGTGGGAGCTAAAAGCTAAGTACATAGACAAAAGAATAAGCTAAATTAACTAAATTTCAGTTGTATTATATGGACAGCTAATTTTTACTCGTAGGAGCTAATTTTTAGCTATGAGAATTTTTTTCCCGTGTATACATGTACACTATAAACGGCAATATATTAATATATGATAATACCAATATTTATAACTTTTTCATGATTTTATAATTACAATATTAAATATACAGCTGTCATTGTATAAAACCATCATAGAGCTTTCAACCTGTTATCAACGTTTGAGAATATTCCAAGCAGACATTGCGCATATTCAAGCACGAAACGCAACATACGGACTCTAAATTGGTTCTAATCTCCATCGTTAACAGAATCACCGGCGACTTTTCACGACAAATCGAAATAAAATCGCTCGGCGAATCTGTTTGTAATCAGTTCGCCGATGCGGAGAAAATACCGGTACGCACAAGTAATACGCGCATTGTATCGGTCGTGCTCGTATCACTCCCGCGAACGTATGTACAGCCGTTGCGCCGGGGATACGTGGTGTTTGGCTCGCAGCCGGGGGTGGAGTGTGCAATCGTACCGTTTGGCAGCCTGTTTGAATGTTTTGCGACGAGTTTATTCGAGTTATCAATTTCCTGGCAAATATCTGCATTTCCGTGCTCCCTCGTTCTCCCCCGCCCCCTATGCCTTCCTGCCCCATCCCCCTCTCGCCATTCACAGTCCTCCACGCTCGCACCTGCAACGTGGCATCGCGCTGCGCGATTGCAGCCCTCGTCAAAGGTGTAAGAGCGAACTTACGAACCGCGTGAACCGCGAACGAGTTGACGAGTATACGGTGTAACGGAAAAAATAACGTCGCCGTGTTTTTGTTTATGAACAGTTTTTATAGATCGCGCATGTATACATGGAATATCTATCAGATATAGAGCTATGTTGAGACACGACCGAAATAACTAGATATGTAACTCTCGACGAGACACACGTTATGTATGTACGAACGAAAGTAGCATATGGTGGAAAAAATTATTTATTTATATATATCCGAATGTGTTATAAGAGCGGGCGGCAGGTAATTCCGAATCGTCCCGCATCCCGGAAAATACGTCGTGCAAATATTATTTTTTCTCGCTGTGTTTCAATATTTTACGTTTTTTTCTACTCTTTTTTTTTTACGTTATTTGTTACCGCCGTTTTTAATTCTATTTCGGAATTCGCAATCCTTATGTGGTGTCACCAAAATTGCACCCGTGTAAAACACATTTTTGTAACGCGAAACGTTACGAAACAAAGTCCACAAACGATGTAAAGGGTCATCAAGAGTCGTTGATAATTTGGAAAAAAAGAGTTAGGGTTTTTTTTTGTTTCAGCGTGTGTGTGTGTGGATGGTTTAAAAGGGCACTTTCCAATGCGCGTGTAAAAGCGCGCGATGCATTCGGATTGGGACCCGAGCGCACGAAGGCCCGAAGGGTCGCGCCTGTATTAGCGCGTTATCCGCGCGCGTGTATTTTTTTACGCACGCATAAATACGCAGCGGTAATATAACATAGGGACGCGCCGCTCGTCTCGACGAGGGATGACGGTCGTGAAACGGCGGGCGTAAACCGGAAGTGTCGTGATTTTTAGCCCGCCGCGAATGTATGATGTCGTTTTTTCGGTTTTGCGTATTTACGTTCGCGCAATTTTCCGTGAATCTCACATCGAGAATCATTTTTGCACGCACGCTTTGTTCGACGCGTATATACAGCCAATATCTGAAACGTATATCCCTGAACGAAATGCGTAAAATTTAGATTTGTGTCTTCGTCTTTTTTTTAAGTTAACAATGGATTGCTTCGTTTTTCCTAAAGTTATCTTGTAGGTTTGCATCAATATTTTTCGT